TTGAAAGAAACATAGGAAATAAAACTTATCAACATGACTGTTATCATCAAAACAATGCTCTGATATGATAACATAACCTACAACCGCCGAACTGCCAACAGCTCCACTGCTTCAGGAGCAGCCAGATAGGAGCAGCTTAGATATGACATCATACCTAGACTGCCGAGCAGCGCCAGCGAAATAGGTTCCTTTCTATTCCTCTAAAGCAGTGGTCAACCACAAGCAGTCACGGTCGTGGGCCGCGCCAGCGAAATAATACCTTAAGGTGCTCATTTGAAATGGAAATCCTTCCAGAGCTGACATATTCTATCATCTCCTGCTCTTTATTTAGTTTTATAGGTCGAAAAAATCACTGAAGATTAGAAACCCGACCTGCGTCTTACGTTTTTGGCAAGAAGTACATTGCTGCACAATATCATTGTAGTTGTTTCATTCTGAAGGCTACCTGATTTTAATTCTTTTGATTTTTGAAAATTGGGTAAGGGGTGCTGAAAACTGGCGCCTACGGATATTTTTAAATTTTTCCGTCTTACTATTAAAAACAAAATAAATGTAAGACACTGTTTCACATATATATTTTGAAATTAGGGTTCTTTACGGATTTAACAGAACCAAAATTATTGAACCAACTAACTGCGCGATTGAAAATGGGACTGATACATTTTAAGTTTCTTGAGAGTGTTGAAGAAAAGTGGTGGGGTATGAGCTATCTCAGTAGAGTAGAGACAGCACTCCTCTAGCGCTCAGCTCATACCGTTCCTTAGCTTATATTTCTTCCAACTTTAAAACTTCCTTTATAGAAATTGTTGTACGTGTGATTCACACCTGGCATAAAGACAATTATTTCAAGTGACAATCCCACCAAGGTACTTAAAGGATATGCATGCTGAGGTGTAGTCCTCACCTATCTTGAGTTCTTCCTTAAAAACATCTTCAGCCATTTAGTTTTGTCATCATTAATAACCAGGCCAAGTTCCTTAACTGCTCTTTCGAATTCTTCCAGTGTTTCTTCTGATACCGGCAGCAATCGAGATTACATCATCGGCATACACCGTATTCTGTGTTAATCTGTTCAAGATGTTTCCTTCTGGCTTAGTTCTAATTTTCCTGATGGTATATTCAAAGGCTAGATTAAAACATACCGGAGAAAGAGGATCTTCATAACGTAAGCCATGTTCCACGTTATATGCGTACGATATGTGCGAATGGACTTTGACTCTGCATTTCATGTCTATAAGAGTCATTTATATCAGACTTATAATTTTTTTGGGCGTATCTTACTCATTCCCAAGAGCAGTTACTTTCTGTCAATACTGTCTTATGCTTGCTTAAAATATAGAAATAAGTGGTGAAGTGTTGCTCATATGACTTTACCAACATTATTTGCCTAAGTGAAAAAAAGTAAGCTGTTCTGGATCTTCCTGGCCTAAAACCACTTTGGTATTCCCCAATCATTCCTTCTCTATAAGGCTATTGACGTACAGCCTGTGTGTCAGTATATTGTATACTTCTAAGGGGACTTAGTCCCAGAATAAAGTTCAATTTTCTATTCTATTTAGGAGGGATATAGATCTGTAATTCATGCAATGAAGTCTGTCCCCCTTTTTATCTTTTCATCCATCCATATATCCCATACTTAAGGAGTTCACTGGGGAGCCCATCAAGACAGGGGCTTTATTATTTTTCAATTCTATTAAGATTTCGATGATCTCTTCTCTGTCCGACGGAACGTCTGCATTCTCTATCCCACCTCCATTCCCTTCATCTTCCAGGATCAGCTCACTTCGACTAAATAAAGCAGGTAAATTCTTTTTTGTAGTATTGAGCCCAGATATCAAGAAATCTTCCCACATCTGCTATATAATTTCCTTTCTCGTCTAGGATGTAGTTCGAGTGGAATTTGAAACCAGTTCTGATACTCTTTATTTATAGCTTCCTGCTTTCTTTTCTTTGTATTTAAAATACAAAATAATAATTTTTGTGTTTTAGTCTCTTTTATATAAAATGCAGTTATACAAACAATAAATTTTATATTTTATTTTGTACTTTAAATACTTTATTTGAAATACTGCCCAAGTCTGGTCTATATTAAAGTAATATACATCTTCTGTTCATTTTTCCTACTTTTGGTGTCTTGAAGTTTTTTTATTTTTTACATAAATTAGGCCAATATTCACCAACATTTTATTGATACTCATTAATTTTGACGTTTCGACCATACTAAGGTTCATTTTCAAGTCTTGATGAGTCCTCCGTTATATGTTCATCATTAATGTTATAATTAATATGTTCAGTGAACATTAACTTGTCATGTTATATAGGGGCTTGGCCCACGTCATTTCTGGAGGGACTCAGTCCCTATATAACATGACAGGTTAATGTTCACTGGACATATTAATTATAAATTAATGATGGATATATAACGGAGGACTCATCAAGTTTTGAAAATGACCCTTAGTATGGTCGAAACGTCAAATTAATGCGTATCAATAAAATGTTGGTGAAAATTGGCCTAATTTATTATAAAAAATAAAAAAGTAATATACATCATCGGTTTATTATTAAAAGTCACAGAGTTCATTTTTGACGGAGAACAACTTCTAAAATCATTTGTGTGAATTTCGACATTATTTATCAATAAAAAACAATGGTTAATGCACTAAAATGACAAAAAGCCTTTTACATAACAAATATGATTACGACAATACGTTACAATTTCCCTATTTTGCAAAGGGAAAAGTTTAACTTAGTTTTTATTTATTTAAGATTATAAAATGTCACTTAATGAATTTCTGCTCTCTGTTCATGACAATTCCCTATGGAAGATCACCAACAAAATCCTCAAATCCCATCATATTTCCCATCCCCTTCGTCGAAGCGATGGCTCCTGGGCAGCGTCTGATGAAGATAAAGCTGAGGAATTCGCCAGACACCTCTCCAGAACATTTACCTCTCATCCGGAATCCAACCTCACCCATACCAGAACAGTAGAAGAATTCCTTACATCTCCCATTCCACTTTCCTTGCCACCTAAAGCAGTTAATCCTTCTGAGGTCAAACATCACTTACAAAAACTTCCTCTCCGCAAATCTCCTGGATACGACCTCCTTACCTCTCAAATCCTTCGACAACTTCCTCCTAAAGCTGTTATATTTCTCACCTACTTATATAATGCCATCCTAAGAACCACCCACTTTCCTCTTTTGTGGAAACATTCCACTATTATCCTGTTTCCGAAACCAGGCAAACCTCCCAACACCTCAACGTCCTACAGACCAATTAGCCTACTTCCGATTCTCTCAAAAATCTTTGAAAAGATCCTCCTGAAACGACTCCTACCCTTTATAGAATCCCAAAATTTTCCTTCACATCAGTTCGGATTCCGTTCACAACACTCCACAGTCCAACAAGGACTCCGAGTGGTCGATCATATTTCCGCAGCATTGGAAAGCAAGCAATATTGCTCTGGTGCATTTCTGGACATAGCTCAAGCTTTTGACCGGGTATGGCACGCCGGGCTTCTTTCCAAGCTGAAAACCTATCTTCCTCAGTCCTTGTACCTTGTCATCCGTTCCTACCTCTCAGATCGTACCTTCCGAGTTCGCTGCGGTAGTGAATTATCGAATTGCTATCCAATTGAGGCAGGTGTTCCTCAAGGTAGCGTATTGGGTCCCGTCCTTTACATCCTCTTTACCGCTGATATCCCTGTCCATCCCGATACCTTCCTGGCAACTTTTGCTGATGACACCGCCATTCTATCATCCGACTCAGATCCTGATATAGCATCCTTAAACCTTCAAAGACATCTCTCCCTGATTGAACACTGGTGTAATAAATGGCGAATTAAAGTAAACGAATCCAAATGCCAACACATCACCTTCACGCTCCGACGCAGTTCCTGTCCACCAGTACACTTTAATTCCATTCAGCTTCCTTTCTCGGACACAGTCCGGTACCTTGGCTTTCTCTTAGACAGACGACTAACGTGGAACCCTCATACTAGACTTAAAAGACAGGAACTAAACCGACGATACGGACAACTATACCGACTACTAAACAGAAAATCAAAACTTTCCATTGAAAACAAGTTACTGATCTACAAGACAATACTGAAACCTATCTGGACTTACGGACTTGAACTGTGGGGAACAGCAAAATTTACTAACATTAAACGCATCCAATCCTTCCAATCAAAAGTCCTTCGAACAATAGTCAATGCTCCTTTCTATGTAACCAACAAAACCCTACACCATGACCTTAATATCCCATTTGTCCTAGACCTTATCCCAGCAAAATTCTCCAAATTCCACCAGAACCTTACCCATCATCCAAATCCCTTTGCAAAATCTCTATCCAGCACCACCCATCCATATAATCCTCCAAGGAGGTTAAAACGGCAGTGGCCTCCGCGATCTTTTATAGTTTGTAAATATTGGAGTTCTGGCAATGGCCAGATTCTCCACTCACGACATGAGTGTATGTGGCTAAAGCACTCTTGCTCAATCTCCACTGGGTTTAGCCCTAGTGACGCGGTTGAGAGAGGAGTGCAGGGAACTCCTGGAGTCATACTTTTCCCTCCACAGTTGGAGGGACAAGTCTGGCTTGGAGTTCTCTCGCCAAGTTGTAAATATTGTATGTAGGTGTGCATGTGTTCTTTTTATTTATTTATTTTTAAGTTATTTTATTCTTGTTTATTGTATATATATTATTTTTCTGTATAATTTATTTTATTTACTGTATATAGAGTGTGAATGTGATCTGTGAACACTATTATTAATGTCCCTGAGACAGATTGTAATATATTTCAATAAATAAGCTATTAAAAAAAAAAAAAAAAAAAAAAAAAAAATGAATTTCTGCAATAAACAGAAATTATCTAATAGATGCACTTTTAATTTAGAACAAAATAAAATTATAGTTGTACCATATCTCTAAAAGTACTATTACTATGTTTCATTCTATTTATTATTTTATATAAATGTTTTCCTTTGTTACTTTAGGCTAACATCCAGACAAACACTGATTATACGAATGTTGCTGGGACATCGCGGGGCCGGACTGTAAACCCGAGAAACCCTTGGGGAACCAGACCTGCTGAAAACATTGTCGCGTCTCATAATTTCCCCCAATTAATCCCTGATAACAACGCAGGTCCGAGACCTGGGACCTCCAGGGATGATGAAAGAAATGTTCCCGCAGCTAGTTCTTCACGCGTCAATACCACAAGGCCTACCACAAATCCCGTTCAAGAACGAGACCCGACTAACCCTTGGAGGGTCCCAAGGCCACCTGTGACCAGTACCAGTACCAATAACCCCAGTACCAGTACCAGTACTAACACCAGTACTACCGACGCAGGGGAGTTCCCCAGCCTGCCGGTAGCCAGTAGAGGGAGAGGGCGTGGCAGGTTTAAGCCTAAAAACAAGTAAATTAACAGCGTTGGCCCTCCTCTTAATAACTGCAACAATTAAAAATTTTATTTTTTTACTTTTTTTTTTTTTTGTATTTTCATATTTACCCTGATTTTTTAATAGGAGTGTACTCAGTGATAGTTATTTTTAAATTTTATTTATATATTTTTTCCTTCCACTTTAACAGTTTAGTTTGTGTCAGCTAAAGTTTTCATCTTGCTCCGTTGATCTAAGTTGTTGTGGTTTTTAGAGGTTCAATTTTCTCTTCCCTCCTGGTTATCGGCATCAATCGTTAGTATTGGTGTTATTCGATAGTAAAGTTTTTCCATCTTCATTAATTAGATTTTATCATCTCCCAGTCTCATTTCAATCATTTGACTTAATATTTTTAGCAATATAAAATTTTTAACTGCAATAACTTAACGTCAATCATATATTTTAATCTTGTTGTTGTGAAAATTAATGTTTTAATCATGTTATTTTTAATAGGATCGTTAAATCCATGATTTTTCTATGTTTAAACTAATTGTGATATATTAGGACTAATCTTGTTAAAGTGGAATTTTTATAATAAATTAAATACTTTTTTACCTTCGTAAACATGTAATATCACAGTCAAATCTGAATTGATATTAGGAGGTGAAAAATAATAGTATTTTTTATTGGCTGTTGCTTCATTTGTATGTGGGAAAGTCGTGTAAAAACTGGATTAGGTGAAAATCTATTGTAAAATTTAGATTGCGCTCATTTTAAATTTGTGTGTATTTGTCTTTTTAAATTAAAAATTTAATTATTAAATTGTTAAAGCCTTTTATGGTAACGTTCTAATCGAGTTTTTCACGACCACCACAAGTTAGGGTTTGTTTACATTTTATGTAATGTAGTGGTTTTTATCTTATTGTAACTTGATATTGAATAAAATTAAATTTTTGAATGCATGTGTTGTTTCTTGTGTTTTTAAGGATCTTTTAAGTGCAATCATGAAAAACAGGAATTAGAATTAACTAGTGTTAGGAAAATAATTTAAATGTTCAATAATGTTTCATTAATTATTTAAAATTTAGTCTTAGCTTAAACTAACTAATTGTTCACAAATATCATATTTTTTTGGTTTTGTTCTGTTTCATATCCTTTCTTCCTTGGTTTTTTTTTTTTTTTTGTTCTCTTTAATGTTCTTTCATTAATACATTAGTATTAATATTAATATATTAGTATTAATATTAATATATTCTTACTAATGTATTTATGAATACATTAGTATTCTTGGTTTTTTTTTGTTATCATTCATATTGTTTCTGGGTTTTTTTATTCTCCTTGATATATGTATTGTACCGCATAAAAAAAAAAAAAAAAAAAAGTTTAGGCTATTTCTTCTATCCCTTCGTTTGCAGAAAAATAAATGTTTGATTACATTTATACATTTTAAATTTGAATTATTATATAAGTAAAATCATTTTTATATTGTAGTTAATTAAGTTTTTCATGATTGTCACTAATTTATTGTTAGCTTTTAAGTATTGTGGTTCTTGAAACTATTTTGAATTCTACATTGTGTTAGGACAAAAAAATTTGCAATCGTATAAAACTGTACTTTAACTCAAGAAATTTTAATTGTTTGCTGTGTAAACTCTCATTTTTTTACCGTTGTTCTAATTTAGTTATTCACGGCCGTCAAACATTTAATTATTCATATTTCATTACATTTTATACAATTTAACTTTTGTAGTTTTACATTGACTGTAAGCTGATATCAAGATGAAAAAAGACAACCGTGTATAAGTGAATTAGGAACGGTTTTTTAAAATTTTAATTGTTTAACTTAACTTTAAATTATAGCCTCTGTAAAGTAAATTTTATATTGTCCTATTTCTGTCTTTCACAAGAAACACAAATTTAGCGTTAGCGATTGATGCAAAATTAAGTATATAGTATTTAGGTTTGCATATGTAGTGTGTAGGTTCTGCAGAACAAAGAAAAATTTCCAATGGTATATGTGATTATTTCACTTCAAAAAGAAACTATAATACATTAGTATAAAACTTTATTAATCAGAATCTACCTTAAACTCTCGATTTGAATTCTATTTAAACCTATTTACTATTTTTTTTTTTTTTTTTTCCCCTGCCACCACAGATTTAGTTCTTCCAGTTAGTTCTGTTTACTGTATTATTATTATTATTATTATTACAAATATCTCAAATTGGGTTCTAGCAATTTCTCCTGTTAACCATTAATGTTATGTCAATTTTAGTTCTATGTAAACTCATCTTTTTTTTTTTATTTTTGCCGGTTACCTCAAATATAATTATTTCTAGTAATTTGTCCCATTCACCTTTAACTTTACATTTTACAAAATGTAACCCCCTCCCCCTGTATTCTTATGCACATGTAATATACACCAATTCTGCAGAACAATTAAATTAAGTATTTTTTACTTAGATTGTAGTTAAAAGGCTGTCGTGTAAAACTGAATTAGTTAAAATATATTTAAAAATGTTGACTATTTTAAATTTGAACTTTTCCCTTTTGAATTGGGATTATTAATTATTAACTCTTTAAAGGAATTATTTATATTTTATTAATTCCGTTTTTCACAATAACAGCAAATTAGTCCTAGTTTTCTTACTATGTAGTATGTAAGTTCTGCAGAAGAATAAATTTCTGAATTTCAATTTGAAAAGAAACTGTAATGCTGTCAAATAGAATTGTATCTATTTTAAACTGTCAATTTTAATTCTATGTAACTCATTTTTTTTTTATTCCACTAATTGTATTTTTCCTCAATTTTAGTTCTTGAAATTTGTTCAGATGGCCGTTAATATTAGATTACATTCTACAAAATGTAACACTTGTTTTCTCATCCATTTTGTAATCTAATTGCAGAAAAATAAATAATTAATAATATTTCCGGTTTGCTTTACCACAAACTTTCATACAATGTTCCTTTCCAGTAATAATAATAATGATTCCAATTTACTGAAGTCGTAGAAAATTCTTCAAGTGGCACTCCGTTAAGTTTATGAAATATACTTCTCATGGATTTTATAAGTAGAAGCTCCCCAAAATATGGTTTCCGGAAATCTAAGTATTTAATGAAAACAATACATGAAATTAAATCATAGTAAATTGTCCCCAGATTATTTAAAAGCATTATACTACAAGTTATAAGAATGTTTTTTTACTATTAGAATTTGTAATATTTAGCAATCAGATATTAAAACAGATACCCTTTTTACACACATGAAACCACTGAATGAATGTACCATGATCCCTAAATGGCTGAAAACCGACGTGTTTGTTACCCAATGTACTAAGATTAGAGAAAATATTACTATCTTTACCCTACAATTACTATTACTAACTTAGGTTTATATATTTAAATGTATTTAACAGTTTTTTATGTCTATGTCTTATGTGTTTTGTGAGAGTTTATAGATACATAAGCTCTCTTTATTAAAACAGCTGACTGAATTACTAATGCTAATGTATATTTTATCTATAAGATACATCTTTAAAGTTTTCTATGCATTAGGGCTTTTATTAGCAATACTTTAATATAATTATATATATCAAGTGAAATGACAATTTAAAAAACAGTGTGAATGGAAATATTTTGTTGATATAAGTATATGTATATTTTGTATTGTTCTATGTTTTTATTATTTTAGTTTGTTTTGTCTCTGTGTATTGGAGTATGTGTGTATATAAAACCTCTCTGCGTCCAAGCTTTTATTAAAAAAAGTTATTCACTATGTGAAAGTTGGTGAAAACAACAACATAACAGAGTGAATGCGAATATTTTATTAATGTAAATAAAAGTATATTTTTTCATTGTTTCATGTGTCTAAAAAAACAAAACATTTAAGACAGTTTGTCTTGTGTAGATATGTTTATACGTATAGATATAACTTGTAAGTACATGTATTTTTTTTTTCTGTATCAGGTTAAGACAGAATTGTGTTTATTTTGAGTTTAATTATGTTAAACCAGGCTTCTAACCATTTATCTTGCTTATTCCATACTCTTTTCATTCCAAATAATTTTTGGTTAGAGATAATTTTTTTTTTTTTAGTTCTTGTTGAATATAAGATTAGTTGTTAAAATGTATTTCATGTTTATGTATAAACTTCTGTGTTTTATATTTGCTCAATTAATGTTGGTTTATGTTCCATATAATGGATGTTTAAATATTTTTAATTTTCTTTTACACGAAAGTTATTTCTGTTTTTGTTTTGTATATGACTGTTATTCTCAAAAGACATAGTCCTAGAATAAAGTTATTTTTCTATTTTAATTTTTTTTTTTTTAGTATATAGTCACAGTACAGACCCGATCAGATAATTAACATCCAACTAAAATATCGGAAATTGGGTGTTTTCAATCAGATCAGTAAACTTGGTCTATTTAATGAGGTTCTAAAAACTCATAAACATCCACTTGAATAGTAAAGTAATTTTATCACAAAATCGAGGAAAAAGGTGTCCTACAAAAATATTAGGCCATTTGGCTTGACCATCACCCCCTGTCAAAATAGTAAGTAATAAGTTTACATGGACCAAACAGTCCAATATTTTTTTAGGCCACCTTTCTTCTCGATTCTCTGATCAAATTATCTTACAATTCAAGTGGAAAGCAAATAGGTATTCATGAGTTTTTAGAATCTCTTTAAATTAATTAATTTTTATGAGAAATGAACTTTTCTAGGTAATTAAGTTGAAGATTATAAGATGAAGTTTCTTGAACCCATTAAAGAAATTTTAGATGGATGTTGATAAAAAATGGTCTATACCGTCAAACTAATACATTTTAACCAGGGGTTAGAACTTTAAAAAGTTTTAAAAATAAAATTTCTTAAGGAGAGTTTTTTAATGAAGTTCCAGGTTTATGGTGAGCGTTTTGAAAAAGTTCAATTAAATAAAAAATAAATAGTAAAAGGCTTGATTAGAGTTATAATTTTTCTTAAACGAATTACACATGGTTGTGTCGTTTGTTTGAAAGAAACTGTTTAAAAGTTAGTTCCCTTCACTTGAAAAGTGTTATGAAAAAGTTCTAGTTCCAAATGAACTGAAAAATTACAGACAATAAAAACTTTTTAAAAATAAAAGTTTATTTTCCATGACAAACCCTGATTTTAAGACATTATAAAGCTACTAACTTTTTGAAGTAGTTATAGTATTAATTTCCCATTTCTGATTTTAATAAGGTATACATTCTAAATATATGAAATTATTTTGTTTTTCAACCTATCGATATTATTGTCAAGTTGTAGTAATAATTATCTATTAACTTTTAGTGAGGTTTAAGACTCATTGCATGAACATCATAGTATAAATAGGCAAAGATAAAACAGTTCAGTACCTTTTTCTATAGTGTTTTTAACTATTTTCATGTATTCTTATAGGAAGCCTATCTTTTTATTTTCGCTTATCTTTCAATGAAATATATAGTTAAGGAAAGTATTGCGATCCTAGAAATTTTCAAATCTCAGTTTTCGACGGAAATACACATTTTGATGCCCCCTGAGTCCAAATAACCAAGACCCCCAAAATAGTCTGTGTTAACAGTCTAGTTCGAAAACGTAAAGTCATGTGAAAGTGAAATTGCATATTTATGAGATTTTTTATGACTGGAATGTTACAGCAACTTTTTCATCAAAATCGGCTGACTGGAAGTAGCACTTTACATTATCAATTTATCACTTTTTTACGATTTGCTCGAAAACGATTTTGATTAAATTCATTATAGAAGATAGATAGAAGAATCAACTTTATTCTGGGACTACGTCCCTTGAGAATAACATTATTGTACATAAAATTAAACATTACATCTGGCCAAAATGTATATTACAATAAACAAAAACAAACAAACAAACAAAAAAAACCACTAAAAAATAAGGGATAAAAGAAGTGTTTACATAACTGTACAGATATCGGAAGCCATAATATGAGAAATAATGTCCTAATACTGCAAAATAGTTGCTATACACAATACGCTATGAAATTATAAATGAGCGAACAGATAATAATAAAGATGTTATAGTAATAGTAGTATGTTCGTAGAACATAATAGTATAATCGAAATACAATAATAGTGTAATCGTACATACACAATATATACACCCAATAATACAATAATAGTGAGAATACAATAATAGTACAATAGTATATATACAATATACATATATTAATATATATATACATATACATACATACAATGCAACAATAGTATAATAATACAATATAGGCTACCCAGCGTCTGATTGAATTGTAAGGAGGAATTGGAAAAGGAGGGTTTTAAATGTGGATAAGGATGGTGCATGGCGGATTTTAAGTGGGATGGAATTCCAAAATGTTGTGGATCGGACAATAAAGGAGTGTTGAAATGAGGCCGATTTGTGGAAAGGGGTATAAAGGTCGGAAGGACGAGATCTTGTGGAGAGGGAGTGGATAGATGACTTGAATTGAAGGAGATTGAATGCGTAGGAAGGACGATGATTATAGATTATTTGGTAAAGGAATGTACCTAGGAAGTACTGTCTTCTGAAGGAGGGGAAGAGCCACCCTGACTCGGCGTAGTAGTGGGAAACATGAGAACGTCTCGGGGTCCCATTGACAAATCGTACTAAGCCATTCATTATTCTTTTCAGTCTGACTCCAAGTTCCGATGAGAGGCCACCGTACACTACACAGCCGTAGTCAATGTGGGGGAAGATGAGGGCGGATACTAGGAGTCTACGTGTGGATATGGGTAGGAGATGGCGGAAGCGATGGAAGAGTTTCAGGATGGAAATTGAACGTCGGGATATGAGGGAAATATGGTGATTCCAGGAGAGGGTTTGATCTATGATAACACCTAAGTTTTTAACTGAAGTGTTGAAGGTGATGGGTTGGTCATTCAGGTACAGGAGAGGAATGTTGGTATTTGATCTGAGAAGGGGTTTGGAACCGAGGACAATGGCTTGGGTTTTAGCAACGTTTAACCTTAATCCATTTTCACTTGCCCAGGCACAAATCCGATTTAGGTCTTCTTGTATTTTGGCAAACGCATCATGCCATTCAGAGGGAGCGAAGGAGAGGTAAATTTGGGAATCATCGGCATAAAGGTGATGTGAACAGTGAAGGATTGATTTATGAAGGTCGTTAATATATGAACTAAAAAGGAGAGGAGATATGCTGGAGCCCTGTGCCACTCCTGAGGACAGAGTTAGATAGGATGATAAAGGTTGGTTCGGGATAGAGACTGCTTGGGTACGTTGAGAGAGGAATGATTGAAACCAAAGGATAGAGCTGTTGGAAAAGGATAACGATTTCAATTTGGAGAAAAGGATGGAATGGTTAATGGTATCAAAGGCTTTGGAAAAGTCCAGGAGGATAAGGACCGTTAGTTTTTTATCATCTATGGCTGACTGAACATCACTAACGATTTTGATTAGGGCGGATTGTGTGGAGTAGCCTGGTCGAAAACCAGACTGGTAAGGGTCAAGTTGATTGGATTGTTCTAGGAAGTTGGAAATTTGGGATTGGACTATTCGTTCTAGAGGTTTTGCAAGGTTAGACAGAATTGAAATTGGACGGTAATCTTCAGGGGAAGAAGGGTTCGGATTTTTAAGTAAAGGACGGACAATGGCTTTTTTCCATGAGGAAGGGAATATTGCGTTCTGAAGGGAGAAATTGTAGATGAAAAGTAGAGCGGGAAGGATTTCAGGTAGGCATAATTTGATTAATTTGACGGGAATACCATCTGGACCAATGGAATTGGAATGAGATTTCATGACGGCGGATATGAGGTCTGTAGGAGAAATATCTGAAAAATAAAAGTTGTCGTCGTTAAATGATATTCCAGGAGTAAAGAAGGAAAAGGTTGATGGAGGAATGCAGGAGGAAGCTGATATAAAATATGAATTTAAATCATCAGGTTTGACTGGAAAGGCTGCTGAGGAAGGTGATCTGGAAGAGTCACAGAGGGAGAGTTTACGAAGGAGTTGCCATTTGGTTTTGGAATCAGGAGCTGCTGAAAGGGCTTCGTGGAAATAGGAGGATTTGGCTCTTCGGATATTGGTTTGTGTCAGGTTACGGAGCACCCTAAACGCTTGGTAGTCGTCAGCGAGTCTAGTGCGTCTAAAGCGTCTGCGGGCTGCATCGCGTCTCTTCTGAAGATCTTTAATTTGCTGACACATCCAGGGAGCAGGGGGGCGACGAAAGGTAGAGGTTTTGATGGGAGCATGGGAAATGGCATATAAGTGTAAAATTAAGCATTTTGTAATATAATGTAGGTTTTGGAGGAATTAGATGGTCCGGGGTTGCGGTCATAAATAGTTTTGACCCGACTTTGCATGACTTCTTCAGGGAGGTGTGTTCAGCAAGGAGTTTTAGTTAAAACTGAAAAAACTAGTTTTTTTTTTTTCAGTTTCAACTAAAACTCCTTCCTGAACACACCTCCCTGAAGAAGACCAGCAAAGTCGGGTCGAAACGTTGACTTGAAATAAAATAGTTTTGCCACAATTTTAGTCTATTTATGACCGCCACCTTGGACCATCTCCTCCCTCTAAAATACTTCAACTATTAACTATTCATTAATGTAGGTTTTTTCCTCAAAAGTACCTTTAATTTTTTTTATTTGAAAGAATTTAACCATTTTACATTGATCTCTGATATAAAAAATAGTTAAATATAAAATACGAAACAATTTTATAATTAACTAAAGGAGAAACAAGAGATCATAGCGGAGTATAGTTGTAATGTAGCAACCAAAGAAATACGAGCTTGCCCGAAAGATTAGAACAGGATCCCATAGGTAACATGAGCTTAATATAATAGACTCTAACAATATTATGTGAACATACATATGCGGTTTTCATAAATGCTATTATGAATACGTATTATTTAATATTTGATTGTATAGATTACAGCAATATAAATATTAAAATTTGTATTTATAAAGGTGCATATACAAATAAAAATACCCAAAATGAAATATAAATAAATATAGCATCTATAATTTTTACTTTTCACTTCCCCTTTGTCCGAAAATACTTATTTCTGATAAGAGGGTGGTAAGTGAAAGTTATGTGATGCACACACCATGCCAAATTATTTTTTTTATAATTTGAAAACTGTGCTTCTGCAGAAGCATTTGAGATTGTCATGGCATCCCTGTCTCCCTATGTATTAGTTAAACAAAAGAAATGCATAGCGAAGAATAATTTTTCTCAAGTCGGACAAAGTTACTGAAACGCTCCTTCAATATTCTGGTCCATCTTGATTCAATAAGAAGAGATGAGAAGTACAAATGGTTTCCAAGTAAAATAATTTGTCATGCCTATCGCTTGTACTCAGGGTTTATTATATAAAGAAAAGAAAGACATAGAAAAAATATGGTGTGTCCACTCACATGACTCCTATGTAAAGTTTTGAATGCCAAAGTTTTAACACCAGAAAATTAGAACACACACACAGCAAGTAACATAGTCCTATGAACATAGACAAAAAGACATGGGCACTTAGATAATTTAAAATTGAATAAATAAATAAATAACAATAATCAACCCCTAATTACCATATATGTGATGATGAATGATCCCAAGGCAGCCCAGAATAAGACCCTCGGCCAACACTGCAAGCTCCCCGACATCAACAACTAGTTCCTCGAAGAAGCTCCCTGTTCTTTTAGGAATCATTCCGCGAGACCCAAACCAGAGGCCTCTCACTGTGAACTCTCTCTCCGAAGGTCTCCTGGAATTTCTCTTTTAGGAAAGGGATGCATTTCCTTCTTTTCTCTTTCTACTTCATTGGCTTGATCGAGGCCGTTGCTCCCATAGCGAATAGTTGGATCCAAGACCAGTGCCGCCTTTCCGGTCCCGGAGAATGCAACTATATCCGCCTATCTTGTTGATCCATCGCTATCAATACAATAGACCTCGTCGAAGCATACGATTCCCTTTCCCTAAGGAGCCTCATCAATTCGAATTTTACCCTATGGTGCCGACGTGTTGTGAGGAGGGAGTTGTTGGGGCATTTTCCCAGCACATGGGCTGGTGTTTCAGACTCTCTGCCGCATTTGCGACAGTGGGACCCAACTTCCTTCGACTCTCCACTGGCTCCTGGGACTCCATGCAACGGTGCATAGTTGATGTTAAGTTTCAAGGTGTTGGACCATTCTGACCCCGAAAGTACTTGCTTCTGGCATATATATTTATTAGCTTTCGGAGTCTCTTTGAAATGGCTAACTCCAACACCTTGCCACCTGCAACTGGCCCATTCTTCAAGGGAATTCTCTCTCAGTGACTGTCGTAGAGCTCTCATGCTTCGGTAGCCCTGATCAACACCCAGTCTCTCCGCACATTCGGCGTTATAATCAAATATAGACTGGAACAGGGCATCCGGTACACTGGGCAATGGACCAATGTTGCAAAGGAGCCTCCCATTGAGAAAAGAAGCAACAAAATCGGTCAACTAGTTCCCGAGATAATCTTGGCACAGACAGATTACCTATATCACATCGAAGGAGAGAAAAATATCTGACTGAAAACAGATAAGATTATACACATTGACAGTGTGGGTGAACTAAATAAAATATATATACGAGTGTATATCAGGAAGTTCCTAAATTGAGCTCATTAACATAAATCAAAATGTTGATTCACTGATTTAATAAGCGATGACTCATAAGTTCCATTGACTATTGGGGTCAATAGATCTGCAGAATGTAATCTCTGTTATTTCTCAATTTCCTTTACAGTCGTATCCAGTTTACTTTCTATTGATATGTGGGCGATTCTCAGATTATGGACTATTTCCATGATATAATTTTAACAGCATTTAAATACAGTTTTCTAAATACCTACACCTTCTATTGCCACTCAGCTTTATCTAAGCAAATGGCCAAGATCAATAATTACTCAGTAATTAAAGGTAATAATTCGGTTGTGGGAATGAAATGAGTTTTCAACTTAAGAAATGACATTTTCACGTATTTTATTTTGCCAAAACCACTGTGTAACTAGTATTATAATTTTTGTTTTTCCAACTGACTTGCTACAAATCGTATTCAAACGTAAATTATAATGAATGAAATAATTTGAACAGGTAGTGAAATAATATACCTGGTGGTAATAACAATAAAGGTACGTGCTCAACGTATAAGAAACGGCTACGTAGAGGGAGGCTCCCCAACTGGTCGGTCTATCCGCTGGTGGCTGTCCTTAAACTCCATGGCTACTACTTCTCTCTTTTCAACGCTTAAATATCTGATGCTATGTTTTTTGCTTGATAATGCCATCAAAGTGATGGGACGTTTCAAAATACTTCACTGTTAATAAAGGTTAAGATATATATATAATTCAAAATGCCTTATTATTTAATTATTCTTTAGGAGAGGAAATAAATTTCACTGTCATTTTACATAGGTTTCAAAAGAAAAAAAAAATTTGTTTACTAGAAAACTTAAGAGTGGGACAATACGTGGTAATGACATTTTAGTAGCTTAAGTAATTATAAAATCACACCATTCTTTAATATCTTAATTTTTAATATTTCATTATGGAGAAATACTTCTTTCCCGTATAGCAGTAGGGAAAAAATCAAGTTAGACTTAACCAAACACTCAAAAGTTGTAATGGACTAAAACTTGCCCCTAAAATGAGAATCACCCATATATTCTTGTTTTTAAATTCAACAATTCAGTAGGTAGGTAATTGCTTTCATATTTTTTGAAAACCTAATACAATCTAGCAGACTGTTCCTAAACTTACTTGCATAAACAGCTGTTCATGACTTGGATTTAATTAATTGATGAAATCCTTCTATGGAACTAGTGCTTAGTTAAGGAACTTGCCCTATATCAATCTGTTTGAATATTAAATATTAGAAGAAATAGGAAGTATATCATTTTCCTAGTTTTGTCATATGAAGTTCATATTTTATTGGATGTGTCAGACTCTTAAAGTAATGTATGTAGTTCAATTGTTATTAATAGTATTATTACAAGAGCTTTTCTTTAACAATTAAAGTTATTATTATGACTGTTGTAACATTATTAAAAAAAACAACTAATCTAAACAGAATGAGTGGCAACTAAACAGAGGAAATAAAATTTATACCATGTTGTGAAACAAATTTATTACAAAACTAAATAACAATTACTTTTCCGTCTTTTGGAAATAGTCAGATATTTTTCTTTTAACTGGAGTCCTGGGCGAGCCATAAGTATTCATCGCTGCTCGATAGGCATCCCAGCGAGCGGCTTCCGTTTCCAGACATTTTTTTCTCCCTTCTTCAGTAGTGAGCGAGCACGATTCACCAGGGACAGGTTCCTTTATGTTTCCGGTCAGATTCCTTTGATGTTCTGTACTGTCGTCTTCTTTCTCCATTACCACATCATTTAATTCTGGTTGTTTCGTAATCCCTAAGAACAATAAAGAAATAACAAGTATATATATGTATAAACAATAATGGAATAAACAGTTGGTGAAAATAAACTAATAATAACTATAAAGAAACAACCAAAAGGAAAATTCCACGGTGTGACTAATATCAACAAATCCTCATTTCCATTATTATTGTTAAAGACCAGATCTTATACTAACTTAAAATAAAATAATAAGCTGTCAAATTCATTGATTAGAATAAATATACATTTCATAAGAACTAAAAGCTCCTATGAAATCCAACACGCTAGAAAAAGGAAGGAGCACGCTAGACCAGATTTTCATCGTAAAACAAGAAATAAAAAAATACTGAGAAGTAGCTCAGAAAGTCCAGGCCCTAATTGTCAATTCCAAAGCAGGCTATGATTCTGTGGACAGGAATTCTCTTTGGAAAATCGTGACTGAACTAGGAGTTCCCATTAAGCTGGTGAGTTTGACAAAGGCATCTACAAATGACCATAAATGTCAAGTCCTAATACAAAGAGAAATATCTGAAACCTTCAAAGTTTAAATGGGCTTACGCTTGTTAGACTTAGCGCTGGAGATGGTGATAAGAACATCACATGTCCACGTGTGAATCATCCACGGTTCATGTCGGAATGAATCATAAACTCCTTGGATACGCAGATGATATAACTGTTCTTGGAAGTATTCAAGAGAACATTGAGTAACTCGCTAAGACTCTGATAAGAGAAGCAGAGTAAATCTGCCTACAAGTAAATGAAGACTAAACAAAATATATCATAAGCCAAAAATTCATTCAGAGCACTCCATCTGGAAGCCTCTACTGAATGCCTCAATACGAGGTAAAAGACAATGTGGAAGGCCAAAAAGCAGATGGATAGGTACAATCAAGAAATATGTAATAGATCTGCGTGCAGATAACTGAAAACAAATAGCCCAAGATAGGCAGAGATGGAGAAGGCTTGTTAAGGTGACAAAAAAACTAAAATAATAATAATGGTAGATGTACACCTTCATAACAAATCTCTGTAAAAAAAATAGCTAAGTGCCCTAGTAAGATAAATTTGTTTATAGCACTACTGTTATGCTCATAACAAGACACATGAGATTTTTATCAAGATGTATGTGTATTGTAACATCCCTCTCATATTTGACAAATAATAATAATATAACCTCGGAAGATCACTTTATCCGTTAGGATACTTCCAAATGAAACAAGAGGTTGTTATAATAATAAACAAAATTATAAGAGTATAAATATATCTATTTATCTCAGGTGTTCAGGTTCTGGCAATCAGATCAACTCAGACAAACTATTGTTATTTACACTATTTATAATAAAATTAAACACTGATTTCAAAATAAAGTCAAATCTGGATTGGCAAGCTAACGTTTTTTCTATAGATACTATTTCTTCCTTTGTTGCCCTAAATTCATTTGTCCTCAAATGCTTTCCAAAGTTCTGCCAAACACAACTTCCAAAATGGTAACACTGTTACTGGGTTTTACCCACTGGAGCCAGGTTACCTTCTCCTAACTCTCTTCACTACAGCCACGCACCAACTGCTTGCCAAAACAAAAACCTTTGTCCCTCTCCTCTTTGGAATTTTTCTTCTTGGGAAACTACAGAGCAGCCATTTTCTTTCCCCTGCACTAGTAGAACTAGATTAGCTTGCCTTTTAACAGTCGAACATTAATTTATTAAACCCTTTTTACCCACTTTCAGTAAAGGTGTACATTATAATATATATACATTTTTTTTATTAGAGCTATGGACAATGTAGATCTTTAGCCGCATGATCTGTTGGAGGACAGATAGCCTAGAGGGAGTCATTCAACCTCAGGATCGATGGATTGCGGCTGCTCAGAGTCAGCAGGCACAGGAGAACCTGCATTTCTTTCCCTGAAACGCATCATTTATGGACCTAACCTCTGGGGACAACTGACATCCTGGAAAATCCCCACTAATACTCCTAATGAAAGTACAAGGAGTAGAGTCATTACTCCTGTGTCCGGGAAGTGCTACAGTTAGAGAAAATTTATTTAACAATTAAAATTAATATAATTGTTAAGAACATAATCACTGTGAAATATAATAAGCAGTAAAAATGTGACAATGGTAGGTAATATAAATTTTAAACTTAATGCAATTTATTAGACATGTTTTTATTGGATTATTCTATTCAGTTTTAAATACAATTATAATCTAAATGAAGAATGTGTATTTGGTTATATACTAAATAAAAATGGTGAGGAAGTTATACTGTTTTTGTTTTTTTTAAATTATTCCTAATAATAATATAATAAAAATTACCTCTTACTTTATCCATTTCCTGGTAGATGTGTTCAAAAACAGAAATCTGACTATTACTGTCATTAATTTTTCGACCATAGGCACTTAAAAGTTTCCAAAGTGCTCCTAGAAAAAATTATTATATTCCATTAATAAGCAATGGTAGTCATTGATATCGTTATATTTAGTACATAGTTTCTTATAGTTTTTAAATTCACCGAGTGATTTCATAGAATATTATTTTTTATGAATTCTTTATATTTTTTTAAAAATTTTATTTAATCTTCATTTGTTTTAAGGGAAGAACCTCATAAAAATAGAGTCTATCTCTATATCATAAACATTATTACCCTGATGCTATTACAATTTTATGATATATGAATTATATCCTACAAATAAAGAATTTTTTATTTTATTAATTCAAAATTTTGGTTCCGATATTATAATTAAAATAGAAAATATAGTTTTTCCTGAAAATTTCTCAACAATGATTATGATTTACTTTGAAAATAAACAACTCAAAGATAAAAATAAAAATATTTCGTAAATGGTGGAATAAAAAGTTATTAAACAATATAAAAACTTTGTTACAAACCTACGGTGGTATTTGTTTCCCTGAGAGTAGACCACATTTTATAAATGTCATCTCTTAGCTTGGCATCGCCAAAAGTAAAGTATGCGACTGATTTGCCAGCAACCGCAGCAGCCATCAATTGTATCAGTGATTTCAGTCGTGGGTCGCCTCGGAATACTCCACAGCCCCAGTTGCCAGTCGCAATGCTACCTCGGTTTCCGCCAAAAGAAAAACCAGCGTAAGCCTTTAAAAACACAACTGACAATTATGAAATGCATATGATTACTAGCTTATTACTGATTAATGAGAAATAGACTATTTTTAGACAATGAAATGACAAATGTACAAAACAATAATATTAGGACCTTGAATAAGTTCCCACAGTTTTTTTTGTGAAAATTAATTCTTTATTTAAAGTAAGTGGTAAAAATATGTAACTCGAAGTATTTGCCATAACTAGCCAATAGTGCTTTACTATTTTCTCCCATCTTTCTGACAGCATACGATTCCAAGTTGGAAAAACGATTAATTTTTTAAAGCTATCCAAGAATCTACCCATTTCTTTGGTATCTTCAAAAGTATGAAAGTGCTGCTCAGCTGGACCAGCAATAGATAATGAATGAATGAATAAATAATTTTATTATAGGACTATAGTCTCCTAAGAATAGTAGCAGAGTTACATAATTATGAGGATTAGTAGAATACAAAATACAAACTAATTAACTGTCGATTGTTATTGCAATTTAGCAATAGATTAAATTAAACAGTAAGTAGACGCAATTAAATTTTACATGTTGGTGGATGTTTGAATATGGAATAGGTGGTGGAACAGGAGTTCTTTGAAGGAATTTCTGGATGAGGATTGAAGAATGGAGGCAGGAATAGAGTTCCAAAAGGAGATAGTTTTATAGGAGGGGATGTATAAATTGGTGCCCCGAGATACTACCATGTCTCTCACCACTACACTGAGTTAGAGTGGCTCTTCCCCTCCATTCGAAGACAATATTTCCTAGGTACATTCCTCTATCATATCATCAACAATCATCGTCCTTCTTACGCCTACAACCTTCTCCAATTCAAGTCCTTAGTCCATTCCCTTTCCACAAGATCTCGACCTTCCGATCTTTATATTCTCACAGATCTGCCTCGTTCCAAAACTCCTTTATTGCTCACTCTGTTAATTTTTGGAATTCCCTTCCTTTCAAAATTCTACATTCTTCATCCCTATCTACATTCAAAACCCTCCTATTCCAATTCCTGTCCCAAAAACAGCCAGATACCAGCTAACCTTTTGTGTAAAATTACATATTATTCATAGTAATGTGCTCACATATAGCTCATAACCTAAATACTTATTATAGATTCGACTTTCTTTTTTTTTTTCAACAGAAACACAGATCTTGCTGTTGTGAAGAATTTACATTTATTTTTTTTTTCTAAAAGGGTTTATTTATATTTTACCATTGTACATAGTTTTAAGTATCTTGGTATGGTTTCAAGAGTTTTGTACATAGATTTTTTTATTTTATTTTGTATACAGTATGTATAACTAATATATTTTTTTTTACTGGTTTATCTTTATCTTTACTTTTTATGTTTGTTTTTATTTGGCCAGATATAACATTTTAATTTCTGTACTTGTTTGTTATTCTGAAGGGACTTTGTCCCAGAATAAAATTATTTTCTATTCTATTCTAAATCTATAGGTTGAGACCTGGTATTGAGAGAATGGATAGAAGAACGTAGAATGAGGAATTTCAGGATGTAGGGAGGGTTTTTGGGTTCTGAGGACTTGGAAAAGGAAAACACCAAGGGGGTATTGTCGTCGGAGAGTAGGATAAAACCACTTCAACTCGGTGTACTAGAATGAAACAAGAGAACACTTGGAGATCCCAAAGATGTATCTTATGAAACAGTTCATGAGTTTCTTCAGTCTTATTTCTAGCCTGAGAGATAGCCCTTCTTACACAAAGCAGCCGTAGTCGAAGTGGGGGAATATAAGGGAGGTTACAAGGAGCTGTCTGGTTTTTAGAGGAATACAATCACGGAATCTTAGGAGTTGTTTAAAGACAGTTATGGATTTTTGGAGATATGGTTATTCCAGTAGAGGTTCTGGTTAAGGGTTACTCCTTGGTTTTTGACTGTACAGAATGGATGGGACGGTTGTAGAGAGAAAATAAGGAAGGGAACTAATGAGATGTCTGGACCCAATGAGAATAGCCTTAGTTTTATCTGCATTCGGCTTTACCTCATTTATTTCTGCCCATCTGTTGATGCAGTCGATATCCTCTTGTAGATTTTGGGTAGCCTCAGGCCTCTCAGAAGGTTGGAATGATTGGTAGATTTGGAAATCATCGGCATATAGGTGGTAACAGGAGTGTTGAATGGTGTCAAGAAGATCACTAAGATAAATGGAGAAAAGGGTCGGAGAGAGTGCGGAACCATTGATAGAACTGTAGAATAAAATAGGATTTATCTGCTTGTACAGCAGCCATTTTTCACTTAAAACACATCAATTGTAATCAATAACGATCTTCAGTGATAGTTTCATTTGGTTCGAGTAGCTCATAATACTAAATTATATTGTACTGATCCCACTAAATGGAGAAAAGCTTTGAATTACGGATATTTGGTTTTGCAGATGATGTTGACGCTTACCTCACAATTGTTTAAGCTTATGATTATTGGACTGTATTCCTTATTCATTGGCAGTCACAATAAGATACACAAACCTCAACTCATAGAGTATCCAATCTTATTGTTTCTGGATTATTTCTAATGCTTTCAAATCGTTATGTCATCTACTAGTAATGATTTTTCAAGTTCAGTTAGCATCTTTCGTGGATCTTCATTAAGTAATTTCTTCAATTGTTCGTCTTCGAACTTCTTCAGTGCTCCAGATCATTCTTTATCTCCAAGATTAAAATCATAATTTTAAAAGCATCAAAACCAGTCTCTAGATGTCGTTTCTGACAGAGTATTATGCTCACGGTAGTTCTCAACAAGAATTTTGTGTGCTTAAACAACTAAAAATAAAATAGTACAAAAAATTCCCCACAAATACTCTTTATTTGGCATAGAACTCGGCATTTTTAATAAGAAAACTTGGGTACTACTTCACTAGCAGGCCGGGTCGAAACCTCACTTGTTATCTATGTTATCTAACGTCACGTCACATAACCTCCCTCTTCTTATCCCGCCAAACCTTCCAGTTGTTACATTGTTTATTTTTCAGTTATTCCCTTATTACGTTCACTTATTAAATTCTTTATTTTTGGCCCGTTTGTGGAAACGGAGGAACTGCCAGACAACACCTCGATTCATATTTATGCGAATTTTTGTGGCGGCGGGTTCACAAAGAAGAGTTCCTCGCTATTTTAGATAGTATAAAACTATTTTCCCTACCAAAATAAATAAGACGAAATGAAAATAAATTGTACATATGTTGTTTATAGTGTTGCTATTTTTTCTTTTATATGTACTTATGTTCTTTAAGTGTTTTTTTATTATTTCATTTTCATCTTTTATATGTACATATCTTCTTTAAGTGTTTTTTTATTATTTTATTAATATATGTATCGCAAAATAAAATTTTTTTTTTTTGTTATTACATTTGTTTTTATTTCTGTTTACACTTTCAACAATACGAATATAATACAATAATACGAAGATAGGAATTATGAGAAGGTTTATCACTGCCTTATCGGAATTATCAGTGTTGAGGTTATAAACATTGGCAGGTAGCAGTCAGTCCCGGCCTGCTAGTGAAGAAGTACCAAAACTTGTTCAGACTACGGCGAAATAACATACACTGAAGTCTAAGCTTACAGACAGTAGTTTTTGGAAAATTCCGTTACCATCGAAATAAAACGTGCATAGGACTGGTACTGCCATCTTTTAAGAAACAGCGATAGCTTATTCAATGTCCTAATAATTTTCGAAATAATAATAATTCAAGTCCTATAAAAGGTGGCTACCAGACATAAAATAAAATTCCCTGACATTTCCCTATTTAATGATAGTTTTCCCATACTAATATGGTTGGGGACACAAATATTAAAAATGTATAATTTATAACTAAATTTTATACATGAAAGAAAATTGACAACAAAATGATTCGAGTAAAAAGAAAACAAAAAAGAATTAATCTTTTAAATAACAAATATAATGTTTTAGAGGAAGAATTTTTTAAGCTTGATTAGGATTTTTGTTTTATAAAACTAAACTTTTAGTAATTTGTTATTATCCCTTTTATTTTATTTTCATAAACTGAGTGGAGGTAGAAATTGATACTTGATATATAATGCTCTGATTTTCAATATTATGAAATAAAGTAACCTATGGGGATTCTAATATTAATTTAGTTTCTCATAAGTAATATAGTTTCTTTATTATTACAAACAGCATAATAATTATCCATATGACATCAACTGTGACATTCCTGGTAAATAAATGCTCTTTTATGGAACACCACGATTCGAACGAATAAGTGCTTACCAGCCAGATCTTGATCCAGATGCATATATTACAAATGGTAAATAGTATTGGTATGTTTTTCTTTAAAAAAAAAACACTGTTTTAATTCCATTTTGCTTAAATTGTATTCATTACTCTTTTTTGATTTCAATATAACAACAGTTACCCCATAAAGATTATTAAATATCCATTGTATATTGATTTCCAATTTTAAAAAAATATATATACATATTTACATACTAAAAAAATCCCTGACTTTTCCATTTTTCCAGTCCGTCGCCATCCTGTGTAAAACCTTCACTTGAAAATTTGCATGAAAAAAAATTCAATTAAATAACAGAAAAAAATTTTTAAAATCAACAATGATTTTTAATGAAAGTTAAAATGTCATTTTATTACAAACTTGCAATCTGTTTAGTTTTGAATATTATCGATTGTTTTAGATTTAATAATCTATACCAAAATTTGTTGATGATAAGATAACGAAGTTGTTACTGATATTAAATAAAATAAAATACCTTATTGAGTTCTCTATTAATAGCTTCTACGTTGTATTGTAGTTTTGTGTCAGAAAAATATGTTGCATCTATTGCAGCAACACACGTTTCTAGACGCCTCCATCGATCTCTTTTAGTTTCATCGATGAAATTTCCAGACCATTCAAAACTTTCTCCATAGCCTTCGTATGAGTTGAATCTTTCAGATCCTATCAAAACAATAAACTATAAATAAAAAAAAAAAATTGCCATTATACACTATTCTTTCTAATAAACAAATAGTTATAGTTAGGTTAGAAATAGTTGCTTCCTATTGCATACAATAGATCCAGCCCACCATCCAAAGAAATAGGAATTTTTATTTTTTCATATTTAAGGCAATAATACTTCCAATTTTCTTCAAATTATTTTACTTACATTTGTTATCTCTAACGTTTCGGGACAATTTTCCCATCATCAGAGCAATCTTTATCTTCACGTGGCACCGTTTGTCAAAAAATCAAATATTTGTCACATTTTTTAAAAATATTTGTTTGGTGTTACACATTTTTTCATATTCATTGTTACACTAACCAACATCTGGCTATCTTTAGTTTCATTTCTGTACTTTGTACCTGTCCTCTTATTTCTTATTATGGCTGTTAGTTGTGTTTTTTTTGTCTATTGTTGTTTTTTGAATTCCAATATTGGATATTATGTCTGAATAGTGTGTACCTAAATGTTTTGTATCTGTTTTATAGTTTACTGTTCTATTATTGTTTTTTGATCGAGAAAATTTTTGTTATATGTATAGCTTCCAGCAGTTTCCTATTATTTGTTTTTGGTTATATTGCTAGTATATCTGAGTTTTTGAAGTCAAAAGTGTGTAGTGATTTAATACTATGGTTTGCTAGGGCTGTTATGTTAATGTTTTCACTATTTTAGCAGTTTGATGTATGTTATGCTATTCTGGTTTTTAGTTTTTTTGATTTTTCACCTATGTATATATTTGTTGGCAATGTTGGCAGTCTAATTTATAAACAACATTTTTCTTGTCCAGTGGTTCTACCTTGTCTTTTGTATTAGTCAAGTATTTACCTAATTTTTTGTCTTTATATATGCCAAACTGAATTTCCGGTAGATCATAGTTCATGAATACTTCTTTAATTTGTTTTGTAAGTTGTGGTTTGTATGTCATTTTGTTAAATATTCTTTTATTGTGTATTTTGCTTATTTGTGGATTATTGTTTTGGATGTTGTCATTTGTTGTGTCTGTCTCCTTGAAAAACTGTGTAATGGATTGTTGTTTAGGCTTTTTTTGTTGTTCGATATTATTTATTTGTGTTTTTGGTATTTTTTTTTATTTTTGTTCCAATTTTGTATGTGTATTTAGTTGTGTGCTCTACTGAACCATAATTTATTTATTAGTTTAATTGGGTAGAAATTTTCTGTTAGTATTTTGTATATTTCAGTTTTTATTTTTGAACTGTAAGTTTGGTCAGTTAATGTAATTGCATTGTTTCGGGCCGTGTTTATTATTTGATGTTTGGGGTGGTTAGAGGTGAAATTGAGTATTTTATTGCTTGTTTGTTCTTTCTTTGTCCATTTTGTTAGTAGTTGTCCTTTTAAAACTATGTCCATGTTTAAAAATCTTATTTCATTATCTATTCCATTTTTTCCAAAAGAAATAGGAATTTTAATTTTTTTGTGTTGGTGGTGAGGATTGATAAATGTTTAATATCCCATATCTATTTAAATAAGTATAGTAGATACACAAAGATCAGGTTGTTAGACAGTCAGACAGAGAGAGTAAAGTTAGAAGGAAACATTAGATATTTTGAAGAACATTGATCATAAAGTTTGTCATAAAGAGAGATATTACAATAGATATGAATATATAGCGGTAATAATTTATAAGATAATAATAAAATAATTAATAAATATGAAAAGAACCATATGAACAACAATAAGAATAATAGCTTGACTAGAAGGAATACAAGTTTATAACGACTGAACTTACACGATAATCATAGGATTATAGCCATACATCAATAATTGGAGAGACTAGTAGAAGGAAAAGACATTACACAATAAAGCAAGGAAAAAGAAAAATCATAATATTTGATTCATAGGATTTGAGGTAACTGAAACTTAAAAATGTGGTGCGCGAATCACACAGCTTTCACTTACCACCCTCTTCTTAGCAGAAATACGTACTTTTAGACAAAGAGGAAGTGAAAGTAAAAATTATAGATGCTATATTTATTTACATTTCATTGCGGGTGTTTTTATTTGTTCAATTACCCTTATATATTGTAATGTTCTCGTTATGCGTTATGGCGTTATAGCCCCACGTTGGGCGCCATATTGTAATTGTCTCGTTCCCTCCAAACAACCAGTTTCTTTTTCAATATAACATTTATTTCTCCCAGATATATAAATTCCCAGGTTGGGTTTTGACAACCAACACACATCCTCATTTATACAATATAAAGGTATACATAATTTTATAACACTTGTTTATTATTTTCATTCTATTTGTCGGGTCTATTCTTGGCGCGTGTTCGATCTGTCCATTTATATATTCTTCACTCACCCTGTGGTGCAGCTACTTCTCTTCTACAACCTTCTACTGTTGACACTCACTACTTGGGGACCAACATCTTCTCACAGATCCTGGTTCCTAGCCGGCTGGCTACCTTCTGCCTTAACCTATGTCCTCTTCACTCGCTGGCCGGTCACCTTCTGCCCTATCTATGAGGCTTGCTCCACCCACCATCTGTACTTCCTGTCAGTAGTTCGTGATGTTACCACCTTCGCGCCAATATTCAAAAACACTATGTAATATTGACATTACAATATATATATATAAATTTTAATTTTTATATCGCTATAATATATACATTTAAATATTAATACCTGCAATATCATTTATGAAAACCACACATGTATATGTGTATAATATAGTATGAGTTCGTATTATAATAAGCTCATGTTACGTTTGGAAACTTCGTAAATAGCTTTATCTCATCGCAACTTACAAATATTTTATTTAGGAAAACTCTTGGAATTTGAACATTTTCAATCTGCATATCATCAAACTTTGTTTATTTATTTCGGTACTAAAAACTCATTAGTGCCCATTTGCTTTCCACTTGAATCCTGACATAATTGTCCGACAAACTCGAGAAAAAAGGTGGCCTACAAAACTATTGGGCTTTTTGGTCTATAACACCTCGTTATTTTGACATTTTAGGGGTGCAGGTCTCACAAAACGGCTCAATATTTTTTAAAGGTCACCTTTTTCTCTTGTTTTTAGCCAAATTATCTTATAATTCAAGTGGAAAGGAAATGGATACTTACGGATTTTTAGTTCCTAATTAAAACAAAGTTTGACGATCTCCAGATTGAAAACACCCTAAATTGGAGAATTTTCGTAAATAAAATATTTGTAGGTTACGATAAGATGAAACTATTTACAAAGTTTCAGGCGGATGTTAATAATTGGATAAAAAGGGGTCTCCGTACCACGGGCTAATAGGACCTTGTTCTGGCAGTGCTACCAGCTTGTATACTTTTTGAATATTTGTTTCGGTGGGCCAAGCTCTATTTGGTTCAAATAGTCACAAGTTAGGATATCGGTAATGTTTAATTAAATATATATTTTTTATAGAATACGTACCAATTACTATTACAGCTTCAGTGTCATCAAGTACTTCAGTGAACAATCGTGCGACGACAAGTTCTGGACAGATCAAAAACTTGATTTCTTCCTGAACAGAACCTCTACCAAGGACACCTCCTCCAATAAATCTAAAAAAAAAAAAAGAATACGATATATATAACAAAAAAACAGCTTAATTAAAAAGTAAAGAAGAAATATACAGTCACGTTCATAGAAACTGCATCACCTATTTCTCTTGATTCTTATGTTGATAGCATTATTCCATTGAATGTTTTTATTACTTTCACTTACCTATATATGAAATATATAGTAAGGGAAAGTACTGCTATCATGAAAATTTTCAAATCTGAATTTTCAACGGAAATACATGTTTTGAGGTTCCCTGAGTTGAAATAACCAAGTCCCGCAAAATGGTCTAAGTGTTTACAGTCTAGCTCAAAAACGAAAAGTCGTACGGAAGTGAAATTGCATATTTAAGGTTTTTATATTCTAGGGATGTTACAGCAACTTTTATGACAAAAATTGGTTAACCAGAAGTCACACTTTATATCATGAACTAAACTCATTTTTACAATTTTTTTGAAAACAGCTATAATGATTTTGATTAAATTCATTATATCAATGTAAAATTAAGCAGTTTTAAATAAAATGTGGGTTTTAATCTGATATATGTTCTCTAACAGGGCTTAAATAGCTAATTTTCAACATTAGCTTCCTCTAAAGTACCTTTAATTTTTCTTTATTTGAAACAATTGACCATTTCACATTCATCTCTAATATAAAAGATAGTTAAATATAAAATATTAAAGAATTTTATAATTAACTAAAGGAGAAATGAGTGATCGTAACAGAGAATAGTTGTGATTGAGGAACCAAAGGAATATGAGCGCACTCAAACTCGCTCAAATATTAGAACACGCTTCCATAATAAGTCCATAAGAAGAGCTTAATATAATAAGGACTCCGACAATATTATGTAAATATACACATGGTGGTTTTCATAGATGCTATTGTTGGTATTATTTAATATTTAATTGTATAGATTACAGCAATATAAATATTAAAATTTCTATATATAAGGGTACTTATAAAAATAAAAATACCCATAATGAAATATAAATCAATATAGTGTTTATATTTTTTACTTTCACTTCCTCTTTGTCTGAAAATACTTATTTCTGATATAAGGGTGGTAAGTGAAAGTCGTGTGATGCACCAGATTTTTTTTATTCACTTATTAAGGTTACTAAAAAATTTTAAAAACGTTTCTCAGTTCAGTTTTAACTAATGCCAGGAAAAAAACTGTAATTATGATCTGTATAAAAACCTTTCCTCATCAAAAAACTATAAAATTGTGAAATTACATGAAATAAAGGAATCTTCACGGGAAATAATAATGAAGATAAGATACCACCAACCAACAGGTCATAGTTTTGGAAAAAAATTACCATGGAGCGAAAGAAAGAAACTGGGAGAAGAAAAAACAAAGAGACAATTTGACTCCTTAATGGTGCAATTTTTTTTAGAATATTGTTTCATAACTGAAAAATAAATATCCGGAGATCTTGCAGTAATAATTTGGTAAATAAAATAAAATTTTCACTGGATGATGCAATTTCTATTACCCAGACTATGGAGGTAAAAGAAAAGAACAAATTGAAGGATTTCATACATAAATCTATTGGAATTGATAATATTAAAAACCAGGCCTTTCTCTGTTGTAATAATAATAATAATAATAAAAACTATAGTTCTTAATTACTTCATAAAAGTTCTATACATGTAATTTCTCTTTTTTTTTTCAGTAAAACTATAATTATTGTTGAAAAGATTTTATTTTATTATTTAGTTGTTTAAATACTATTATTCAAGTTATTGTATGAATCTTTATTAAGTTAGCTTTTGGCCAGATATGTATTTTTTCTTTTGTAACTGTTCATTATTGTTATTCTACGGAGAAATCGTCCCAGAATAAAGTTTGGTACTTTTCGTCTAGGGGGCCGCTACTGACTGCTATCTGCCAATGTTTATAACCTGAACACTGATAACTCCCATAAACCACTGATAAGCCTTCTCCTACTTACATGATATCTTCGTATTATCTGTATTAAATTCGTATTATTGAAAGTGTAAACAGATACAAAAACAAATTTAATAACAAAAAAAATACTTTTATTTGACGACACATGTATTAATGAAATAATAAAAAAAAACACTTTAAGAAGATATGTACATATAAAACATCAAAATGAAATAATAAAAAACATATTTAAAAGAACATATTTACATAGAAAAGAAAAAATATAAAACGAAATCGGTTTTATAAAAAGATAAAACATTCATCTGTTTCTCGGAAAACTCCACCAAACATCCACTGCTGAGATAAAACTCTCCCCACATGATTTTTTCGTTTAGAAAAAAGACTTTCTTTTACTTCAACCACTTTGCCAGGTCTTCCAATTTTTTTTCTTGGCCTGTATAACATGTCATGGGCACAAACCTCTCTTAGACATTTGTTCCACGTTACCATAGCTCTGTTGAATAGTTTCAGCTGCTCTTTGGCCCACTTCATCGTTGTCAAGCTATGGGACCATCCATAAATCAATTTTAAAGCTGTTAAAAACGAAATCCTCGAGCCCTCCAACCATGTTCCTTTCCTTATTGAAAGTTTTGTGTCATAAGTCCTACGAAAGCATCTCCATTTGGCCTTCCTGGTTGACTTCGTTCAATGACCTCGATCACACGTCGGCAAGTACCCCAACATTTTAAAAATATTGAAGTGCCTGTTCTTCTGAAGGCGTCAAATTCCATATTCTAAGAAGATCCATAATATGACGAAAAGAAACACAAAGGGGCCACAAACTAAAAAAAAAGTGAAATAAACACAAACGGGTCAAAAACTAAAAATAATGAAAAATAAACATAAACGGACCAAAAGTAAACAATTTAATAAGTGAACGTAATAAGGGAATAACTGAAAACTAAACAATGCAATAACTGAAAGGTATGGCGGGATAAGAAGAGGGAGGTTATGTGATGTGATGTTAGATAAGATAGATAAGAGGTGAGGTTTCAGTCCGGCCTGCTAGACAAAAAGTACCTAAAGTTTATTTTCTATTCTATTCTATTCATAAAATTACTCATTTAAATCAGGATATTAAAATATTTACAATAATTAATTAATCATAAATTAAAAAAGTATAGCACTGTTGTTACCAATGAAAATAATATAATTCTTGACAAAATTTTATTAAATTAAAATATAAATATTTTAAATACTTGTCAAGAATTTTATTATTTTCCATGAGATTGATTAGCTAATGGTCTATTTTTCAACTATATGATTAAATTGTTATTTAAAAGTAAACTTTTAATTGAAAATTTTAATTTAATATATTTGTTTATTTCTCTTGTTTTGTTTTGTTTATTTCTCTTTTTTTTTTTTACTTATTCTATAACTGTTAAAAAACATAGTAATTTAATTTTAATGTTTAAGAATTGATATGTGACTGTGTGGAAAGTAAAATCGACAAGTGTGAGAGAAAATTTCACACATATGCTTCAGTTTTTCAATTGAGTTTTCCAGAGTTATACAAAAGTAAAAATATCAACTTAAAGAAAAAAAAGTATTGATGAATAGATAAATTGGAAGATAACACAAGTTCAAAGGATTACACATAAATCCCATTTAACTAAAAGGAAACAATAACATTTAGCAACAATGTTATTTAACAATAAGATAACAATAACACTTAGCAACAATTCACTAAGACTAACTTATTGGCAAAGTCGATTTCAATAAGGCCGCTGCCTTCATCTTCTATAGTACCTTCGCTCGAGATATGAAGCTTCGGTAGCGTCTTGTCGATCGAGGACCAGATAGGTAGAGCGTTCGGGTTTATATGTCGTCTGCTATACGTTATGACACCTTCTGGTCCTGTTAAAATAAAAATAAACTAAAATAAATTTTTTAAAGATAATAATTTTTATTTTTTTCACCATTAAATTGGTAACTCATTTTTTTTTTTACATAAGTATATATTATATATGAGCGGGGTAGCTCAGTGGTAGAGCAACTAACTTCAAGCAAATTAACTTCATTTACTACTTTTATTACCGAAATATTGTCACCTTCAATATGTTTTATAGCATTTTAAATAAGAAGTACTTGATTGAGTAAAAAATGCTAGCACGAAACATCAAAGTCTTCAAAACTGTGTTATTATCGAAGTCATAAATTAGTCGTCAAATACATCATCAAATTATTCACTCTCAAAAATACGCCTTTAGAACTAAATTCTCAACCTTATTTCAACAGAATACTATTTCCCTGATTAACAATTTCACCAGATTATCATTATGTAAAATTAAATATTGTAACAACAAATTTGGACTATTGTCTGGACTTAATGAGCCAAATTTTCAATTAAGAACCTCTCTCCCTCGCTTTACCAATTGCTAAAATCTGGTCAACTTAGTCATAGAGGGAAAGAAAACCAAACTGAAAAATAAAATCCATTATTATAATGGATAAATAAAACCCGAATCATATGGCAGAACAAAGTTTTAACTTCTTATTCATTAATGTAAATTTAAGATTGAAAGGAATAGGTGTAATCTCAAAAGGAACATGGTTGTACTCAGTGTTCCGAGAGACCCATGGCACTTGGAGAGATAAATAAAATAGGAAAAAATAATTGAAAGTATTACTTTTTTTACAGATCCTCCTGAAGTAGTTTACGAAACATTTTAGCTTTTCTTGAACACTCCTCAATGATCCACACTGAAATAACCTAAAAAAAAAAAATTTATAAACCAGTTTATTTTTTTAAAAACTACTAGGCTAAATCCAGAAGAAGGAGAGGCCGTAGGGAGAATGTTAGAACCATGGAAGACAAAATAATTTAGCAACAAATGGCAAATATCCTAAGCTTAATTAAAAATTCTGTCCTCTGGCCTTTCCTAATCACTAACTCTAGATTTATATTAAACAGTACAATTGATAATGAAATAGAATCAAAACAATATAATTACCTGTTAAAGTTTATTGTAGGATATTTGCTATACTGGGTAGGTGAATTCCTTCTAGGAAAAGTAGAAAGAAAGGCGTTCGCTAGAAGGATACCAGCTTGTTCCTGACTGATTGAAATGCTTTTAGATTCCCCTTTCTTTAAAAAAGGTATACCACTTTTAAATGCGGTTTCGACTTCTAAAGCCAGTTTAACAATATCCGGAAAGATGTTGGAAAAAAAATATGAACTTTCTTCAGGAGCCAGTGTCTATATTTAAAAAAAATGTATAATTTATACTAAAAATATTTTAATAAACAAAAAAAAAAAAAAAAAAAAAGAAATAATACTATTTATTTTCAAATGAACATATTTACTTAAATCCCTAGGTAGATTGTTAGTAAATTTGGGATCAATGAATGTTTAAACTTGGTCGGTAACTTGCAGTAATCTGGTTCCTTCCATCTCCGGACTAAATTCAAAACTGTTAAAGGGAATGAAATGTATTTTTCAGGAGCCATAATGTCAAGTGGAGAAGACCTAATAAACTATACCAAGTTTTTTTTTAAAGAGCCATAATGCACTGCGCCCAAAACAGGCCTTTTATGTACCCTAATTCATTGCTGTTCCATTTCAAAACATTATTTTGACAGTAACTGCGAACCTGTTCCAACAGGTGATGTAATAAGCAGTTTCAAATTCTCAATTATAGAACCTACACAAAAGTGAATCTGTTAACCAGAATTTGAACATGTAATTCAATTTTCTGTAATCTGTATCACTGTAATTTTGCTAAGAGAATTTCTGCTCAAGTTAATCAGCAAGTTGCTTCTCCTCGCCCAGGATCCTTCCAAGTTTAAATATTTATAAATGTCAGTTTTATCAGCAATTTATCAAATTGTTATGAAATGTTCATCTTTATTACATGAACTAATTTCTCTACTAGTCTTTGGTATACAAAACTAAATAAGACAATTTATATTCATTTATGACGATTCAAATTTTGATAGCTTAAATAGATTAATAATTTTTTAACATGAAACAATAATAAATTACTTTCCAGTAATACCTCAGAAAAAAACTGATGAAGTGCATCGAAAGACCATTTTTGGCTATTTTTAGAATTATATGAGAAAATGGCTCCTTCAAGGTCGTTGCTGCATTTTATGCTTTTACTGAAAGCTGATTTAACCAACTGCCATCGTGGTTTTAATTCATTCTAGTGAAGAAAGAAAAAATAAATAAATAAATAATTTCATATAGATCTTCATAAAAAGTATCTAAATAACACAAAAACAGATGATTTATTTTTTTAGAAAACTGTAAATTTCACAACTAGCACTAACTTCAGATACAGGAAACAGACTCTGTGGTGACTGAGGCATTCGGACATGGATGGTATCCCATTTGTCGTTGAATGTTTCAGGAAATGGTTCCGGCCTGTATCCATCTATTAGTGGTAACTAAATATAAAGAAAATTCACTTTGATTAGTATTAAATATTTAAAAAAAACAAATAAATGTTTAAGTATTTACTTTAAAATAGGACTACCTTGAAACAAACAATGTGTGTAGGTGAGGGTCTGACTGGTTGCAAAGAATCGAATCCATTTTTTCCTTTTAACTCCTCAAGAGGTACACCACACCAAGGAGCTAATGAACAGTTATAAATATTATAGCCGTTAAATATTTTTAAAATATAAGAAAACTATCATCAAGAATCTTTATTTAGTAAAATTATAATTAATAAAAACAATTTTACATTTAAATAATAATTAAATTAATTATGGTCAAAAGAAAATATTTATTCAGAACAGAGGACACTACTACTTAACAGTTGTTACTCCACTTAAATGCATCAAGATCTTATGATCATACTATAAATTTAAGTACTTTTGATATTTTTTCTTTTATAGAGGTTTTGGTTTTTCTTTCTATATATGTAACTTTTTTTTTCTTTTATTTTTATAGTTGAGAAGATTTTATTTTATTTTTTAGTCATTTACATACTATTGTTTAAGTTGTTGTATGCATTCTTTGAGTTTTTATTAAGTTAGTTTTTGGCCTGATATGTATTTTTTCTTTTGTAACTATTCATTATTGTTATTCTGAGGGGACATCGTCCCAGAATAAAGTTTATTTTCTACTCTATTCTATTCTAAATGGAATTTAGATTCCGACAATAGGACTTCAGTCTAAACAGGCTGCTATGTTACTTTAATGAAAATTACAAATTTTATAATTCCATTTTGATGGACAAGAAAAAAATAAAAGATATTATTAAAAAATCTTGGAGGATTCTATGATTGAGAGTTCTTTTAGTTTTGTCTACAGAGAATGAACTTAGCTCTTTAACGTAGGAAGGAGAGTCCCACTTGACACAGAAAATTGATGTTAGGAAGAACCGTCTAATATTACAAATTAGTCTCCCAGGCAATAAATATGCAAGAATTCTTGCACAGTTATGGCCTGCGACTAAGGTATAGATTCAGAGTCAGATCATTTCTTTTCAGGACAAAAAAGTATGTCCGTAATGTGCAACTGGAGAAGATACTATGGCATATTTGCTTGAGGACTTGTATAGCCAGGGAGAACTCCTGAGAAGCTGATCATTATGTAAAGCATGGAGAATGGAAAGAAGTTGAAAAAAACTATTTTTTTTGTCCAGAAATGTCTTCAAGCAAGGAGCTTCTTAATTAAAAATAATTAACAATTATTTATTGTCGAAATAACTTAAGATAATTATTTATACTTATTTCTGTTAACATATATATATATATATATATTTTTTTTTTTTACTGAAGTATAAGTATTGCAAACAATATAAGATACATATTATTTATTTATTAAAAACCTTACCGTGCCTTTTAGGCAATATGGGTGTCTGCAATAGTAAGATGTTAGGCAGATCAGCTTACCATGTCACTACTGCAAGTAAAGCTTTATCATCTGTTCTGGATTTCTTGAGTGATTTTTTCTTGAATCAGACTTTTCAGCCAATAGTCCATTAACTCTCCCTCTTATTTCTAGATTGAAGGGAGCTGGGTACACCGCAGCTTTCCACCCATACACAAAATCTTTGTAGTACGGGTAGTTTTCCACAATGACTGAGGGAAATCATTCTCTGAGAGAATAGAGAGACATATATGATGCACATGGCAATACTTACCCATTGCTGTTAGTTGAAGAGCTTAAAAACAATAAAAACATTTATCTTTTTATATACGACTTCCACAAACTACCCACTGCTCCTTTTAATTTACAATCAAGGGCTTGATCAATTTAAATTAATTGCTGCTTAAAACGTCCGCTTACTCAAAAGAGATAAACAAGCCCACAAAAGGTCCATTAAAGTTGAGATTAGGGCTTTACCAAGGTTCGGTCACCTCCATCTACGTACACTCAGTCATTTCTGTAATTATTCTAATACTGTGATATGAAATTTTGTGGCGACTCATCAAAGTGAAGCAACACTCGTAAAGATGATATCAATAGAGAGCTAATAGCAAAATAAGAAACAATTTCAACACTGATCATCCCGATTATATAAAATAAATAATTCCCAAGTTTTTTATTTTACTGGTTTGTACAATTAATTAAATTGAAAAGACAAAACAATATATTAGTGAATAAAAATAATTAAACTTTTTCTCTGTGACGTATAAACTCTGAGTAAATTGACTAATTTATGACATGATTTAGTTAAATACATCATCGGTTTATTGCAAAAACTCACTAAGCACATTTTTGATAGAGCTGAACTCATAAGAACGTTTTTATGAATTTTGATCTTGTTTATCTATAAAAGAGACAATATTAAGTGCACTAAAATGTCACAAATCCTGGTTATATTAAATACTTCGAACATCGAATATAGTTACAAGTACCAAATTTTCTGATTTTTCACAAAGAAAATTCATCAAAGTTCCTGGTCATTTAATTGTAAAAATTTCACTTAAAGACTATTGCAATAAACTGATGATATATATTAATTTCAAGGAGTAGCGCACTTAATCTTTTAAATTGGAAAAATCTACTTGTTAAGTTCATATTCTTTGATCCTTCAATTTTTTCTTCTTTTATTATAATTGTTAATGAGAAAAAACTTCATTCTTTAAAAATTTATAATAATATACTTCACAAAATTTATTTAAACAAATATTTAATCATTCATAGCAATTCTTATTCTTCCATATTATAACATATAAATCATTTGGTACTGTATTCATTATTAACATGTCAAAGGACAAGAGATCTTCAAACATGGAATACAATAATGTTATAAGAATAACATCTTCATGTGTAACATATGTGATATAGTTAGAAGTTTTATAACTTAATTAGGATCATGTGATGTGTTCTCAAATCAATAACACAGATTCTACAATAGTAAAGCAGTAAAAACCAAACAGGCTTTTAAGAGGAATATGTTGTTAAAAAGTGAAAACGAGATTAAAGATAGTGAGTTAAAGATAATTAACAATGAGCAGATTCAATACTTCAATTATAAGTAGAAAAATTTTTAAGTACCCTCAAATATCCCTGATCCTTCTGATACATTGCTGTCTTCGAACATGTCATGAGATGAGTCCAAAACAGACATGACTTGCTTTTAGTTTTAAACCGTCTTCACATGATTACTATTACAATTTTCATTATGTTTTTTATGAATTTCGAGTCATTATGAAGAACAAATTTGGAAAGAGATTTTACCTTCAATTGTTAAATAGAATAATAGTTTAATACAATATAGACAGTTCACAACAGTATCGAAATAATACAAGTTATGCATGTTCATAAATACTTGTTAAGTGAGAAAATAAAAATTAAAAATTTTAAGGACATGGAGGGCATAAATATATGTCGACACAAACATAACCTGGTGTGGTCAAAGGTTGCGGTTTTTCACGTAATAGGTAAGGACTCGTTATCGGTTAGTTGATAATGTAAGCAAATTTTGAAAGTTAACATGGCTTGAAAATAGTTTAAAATAGCGAATGAATTGTCCGTTTAATTCTTTCATGGAAGATTTAATAAACTACTTTGGACTAGGAAGTTTCATTTAGCAACAGGTTGTTTATATCTTCATTTTCATAGTTTTAAGATTCTGAGGTATTTTATCTAAAGTTCATTACTTTGTTTTCAAACAGTACAGGCAAAGCCAGTATCATTTCTCAGATTTGTCTTTATAGGTAATTTTTAGGTAGCCTGGAAAATCAGTTAGTTAAATAGTGCTCTTATGTGTGGAATTGGAAATCCACTAATTTAGTAATGATCATATCATGTTATTTATTAAAGCAAACATTTAGAAAAATTCCGGGATGTCAGATCAGGCTGATTCTCAACTAGTGGGTCCATCTATTCAACTTGAATCAGTAGTTCTTTCCTAAGAGATATAAATAACCTCTTTGCCTAAGATACGTTTATTTTTATCCGAGAATAGCAGTTATTAGAAAATAACCGTTATCGATAACCCAATTTTTTAACTTTCGGTTTAACCACTCCGAAAATAACGGATTTTCAGCTGGACTAAAGCTTTTAATAGAGAAAAAGATAATCAATATCTGACAGTGTACCTGAACCTGACATCCTACTCGAAAAACGGGAATAGTACAATTTTAGGACTTTCTAGATCTCTAATTTTTATATTCTTTTTTCTATATTTTCTCCTTGCACAGGCGGATCGACGGAAGAGGGAGGACTTTCGGACTGAAGCCCCCCCTCTCCAAAAATGGTGACAACCATGTCTCATGAAAAAAATTATCGCTATCAGTATTATTGTTGGTCTAATTACATTTAATAAGACTTGAAGAATTATTTAAACACTATTTCATAAAGGTACTTAGTTACATTCCTGCTGGCGAAGTAAATATCCTCATATTTACTTACAAAAACAAATCCTGCAGGCTGAATCCCTTTTCCCTCTCCCCCAAAAAAATTAAATCCTGGATCCCCTAGTGTCTCCTTGTACATTTTTCTTCTTTGCTTTAGTATTGCCCAAAATCTCAACTGAAATAATGGGAGGTATATTAGGAAGGTCTCTCACAGTCCACTTCATGTCCCAGGAAGGACCATCTATCAGTTAAGGACACCATACCTTAGGTTTGCCTTTTTCTCTTTAATTACTCTGATTTATCCCAAAATTTGTGTTTGATTGTTTTTAAATTATGTTTTAACTTTAGATGAAGGCATTGGATATTTAATGGATGTCAACTACTGGAGCATTATAATGGGGACTTATGCCAAGTTGACAGGTCTATACTCTCATATATTTTAAGAGATTTACACAGTATAAGAGGTCTTCTTAAAAACAGGACCATTCACTGTCTCCTTTAAAAAAAAAAAAAGATAATGATTTGGATTAAATATAAAGCAAAAATAGTTTTTAGTTTATAGATATATAAATAGTTTATCTGATAATTAAATGATCAGGATACTTTTAAAAATTTTTGGCAAAAATAATTAGTACTCTTTTAACAGTCTTTGACAGCCTATGTGCATCCTATTTAAAATTTCCAATTCTTAACATATTGATTTTATATATGAGACAAAGAATTCCAAACCGATTCCATTTTCATTTGTTTTTTTTTCCTGATTCTTTTGAAGTTTTAGATTATCATTAGATCAAAGATCTATTTAAAAAAAAAAAGATATTACTTTTTGCAGCTATTTTGTTTTAATTTTTTTCCCACATTATAGAAGATGGCATATGACCCCCTGGATAAGCCCATGCCAGGGACAAGAGCAAAAACTGTTGATTAAAATAGGTGAAATAAAAATAGTAATAAAATATTTGTATTTACATATTAACCAATAATTCATTCATATTACAAATTAAAATATTTTTAAAAAATTAATATGCTGAAGGAGTCGGGCCATTCACCCAATCGACTATTTGACGGGTGGACCAAATATAATCGCCCTTAGGTGAAGTTATACCAGGTGGTAACAATGCTGCATATGTCGGGGCATCAGCACCTTAAAAAAAAAAAAAAAAAATTAAGACATTATGGGTGGTATAAAGTGATTAATAAAACTAAAGTGGTATGAAATATTTAATAAAATTAGAGACTATTTCCAATCTTACTTTGATAAAACAATATTATAATCACCATATTAAGGTTTACAAAAGCTATATAGTAGAACTTTCTGCTTTAAACATAGATAAAAATGAAATATATATATTAATATTAGGCCGTCCTCAACTGCAAACTTTTCTGATAGTGCTCCTTGTATCTTGACTTTACAGCAACTATCAGTCAGTGTCATTCTTGTTAGTCTTAACTAACTTTTTCGGTACATCTACAGTGACCATTGCTTTCAATAATTCGCTTCTATTGACACTATCGTAAGCCTGTTTAAAATATATAAAAAGATGATGAAGATCTACATTATATTCATTGCATTGTTTCAACATCTGTTTGACGGAAAATATTAGGTCGATTATAGATCTATTTGGCCTGAAACCGCATTGATACTCACCAAGAATATGTTCTGACTATACTTGTAACTTATTATTTAGTAGCAAGGAAAATGCCTTATGTACTACCCATAGGAGAGATATACCTCTATAATTTTCGCATTTAGTTTTATCTCCTTTATTGAAAACTGGTCAGATAATAGCTACCGTCCACTCTTTTAGCATTTTTTCTTCGACCTATACCTCCAACAAATTGTATACTTTCTTTAGTAGGTTCCCTCCACCATATTTCAACATTTTCACGTCAATGGCATCATTTCCCAGGCTTTTATTGTTTTAAGTGTTTCAACCACTTCGACAAAATCCTCATAATCAGGAAGCTCCACATCATCTTCGCCACTCAGCAATTCCTCTTGTGTACCCCCATGAAGCACATTCCTCACCTGTGTTTTCTCTTCATTCAGAAGTTCCTGGAAATATTGTCACCAAGTATCCAATACCTCTGCAGTTCCTCCCACCATGTTACCTTCTCTATCTTTGCAAACACCTGTCCTAGGTTGGAAACGATGTTTAAATTCTCTGATCTCTCTCTAAAACTTTCTGGACTGTTTTGTTTCCCATTCAGCTTGTAGCATTTCAACTTTGCTTCTTTCCATCATTCTTTTCTTCTTCCTATAAATAGTCTTGGCAGCTGTTCTTTTTGTGTTATAGACTTATAGACCGATTATACTCTTTATTTATTGTTGTTCTTAATTAACTAGTAGTTAACTGACTTTATGACAGGAAAGCCCTGATGTAGCATGTTAAAGCATAAATTTTAACATTATTGAGTCTAGCGATGTTGGTTTGAAATTTGAGGTGGACCCCAAGCAATGGATCTCAACCTTCCGATTCTGGTTAGAATAGGTTTATTGTGCCTCTGAAACAAGCAAATGTATGCCAGAAATGGTGAGGTAGGGGTAATTAAAAAAAAAAAGATTGAGTTGAAAAGTAAGGTTAGTAATTGGTTTCCTCCATTTAAAGTTTTCTTATTACTGCCTTCCTGGATAATCTTTCCTCTCATTACATATTGAGTTGAACTTTAACTATCCAATATCAAAGGAATGTTGTTTTTTATTAAAGTCAATCTTAGGCTGTGAACTTAAGGGAATTAATAGAGTAAAAACTAATGAAGATTAACAGAGTAACAAACAGAAAACAACTTACTATAATGAGAAGTTAAAAGAAAAAGAAATTATGTATCAAGTTTTTGGATATCCTCAAAAGCATGTGAAATTTTCATTCAATTTATAAATACACTAACTTTGGTCAAATTAAAAAGAAAATTAACTTTGTTAAAACAATATTCAACAAAATTTAATTGAAAGTTATGATAAATTTGTTTAAAACATTTTAATTCATCAAAGATCAAAGACATACGGCCCACAGATTAATATTTGTAATATATTTTAATTTTACCAAACACATAGGTTGTATCAATACCAAAGTTTTCCTTTGAGATAGATAGGATTAATCGGCTCTATCCCTTTACTATGGATGTCTTGTGGTACAGATGTCTATTAACATACGTAGTATTCTATTAACATTAAAAAAACTCTGCAAATTATTCCACAATGGTTTCCAGACAATTATACATCTAAAGTAACATTACCTTCATAGTTACAAAGAAAAATAAATAAAAGGTGATTCCAATTATTGGACTAAACTTTTTTTTTTTAATCATTGGTAATATGCTAAAAAAAATAGCATTACATCAGTAACATATTCAAAATTTAAAAACCAAACAAAAGATATAACATATGGAGTGGAACATATTAAAAAAAACTGGAGACCATATCTTTGCTCCTAATTGTCCAAATTTAACGATTTTTTTTGGAAATTTCGTAAACTTTTAAAAAACCATATACATTATCAGCAAAATTAACAATACAGCTGATTATTGAAAATTGAAACATGAATAATTGTTACCTTCTTCGATTGTTAGTGGTCCCTTGTGACTTGTCATATCGGTATCAACATAGCCTGGATGAACATGATTAATGACAATATCTTCCCGGGAGTCCTTCAAGAATTCCTGATGCTGGATCCTTGTCAAAGCACTAACTGCGACTTTAGATACAGCGTAGGCAGAATTCATCCAGCCAGCTTCAGTATGTGTTCCATCTTGGGCTTTTCTGTAAAAACAATATTTGAAAGAGGTCAATTTATTAAGCCTATTAATTAATAGATTAAATTTTAATAGATAATAATTAATTATTTAATTAGATAATCCATAATAAACTTAGTTTGATTATACATGATAAAAATTATTGTCAAAACGTTATGTCGATAGATATACAGTGATTCATTTCATAAAATGTTTGTCTGCTATCAACATGAATTAAAAAAAGTAAATTTAATAAATGTTATTAGTAGCGCTACTTACAAAATGAACTCCTTTATCAGACTCGTCAGATCGTTTATAGTCAAGTTAGGATCTCCTAATTTCTTTTTCAAGTCTTCACCGGGTACCCTTTTTAAAAAGCCTAGAGCACTAGACAAATTTACAACACGAGCATGAGGCCGAAGAAGTGGGAAAAGGGCATTGCAAACATCAATCAGAGCAAAGAAATTCACTCTTAAAGTTACTTCGGCCTGTTCTCCAAACGGTTCAGGGGCGTTATACTACAAATAAAATAATAATCAATCATTTAAGTGCTGATAGCTAAATCATTTGAATTCACTTACTTACTCCGTATGCAATCGCAGCATTATTGACTAATACATCAATTCCACCATGAGTATTTTTTATGAATTCAGCAAAGTTGGCAATGCTCTTATGATCATCTATGTCCAATTGGTGGAATTCTGGTTTCAGTCCCAGCTATCATAAATAACATAGTAAACCTATAAATGATATCATTAACAGATGTAGATGTCATAAATACTAAAATAATCCACCTTATTCAATTCTCCTACAGCCTTTTTACCCCTTTCAACATCTCTGGCAGTTAAATATACAATACCATCGAATTGTTTACAGAGATTTCTAACAATGCCGAAACCAATTCCTTTGTTGGCACCAGTTACCTGAATTTAAAGGACATTAGTAAATCTTAAAAACTGTATAAATATTAAAAGATGTATGAAAAAATCTTTACAATAGCTATTCTGGGTAGGGCCATGATTACAACGCAAATATTTGAAGAAGTTAGATAACAAACAACTTTGACAGCCAGTCATAACACAACCTGAGTATGATAACCTCAGCCTGATGGCGATGAATTAATTAGGGATGAGTGATAATCGATAGTATTATCAATATATCGATAGTTTAAAACTAAAGAAATATGTTAGTTTTAACAAAACCGGTTCTTCGTCGGCTAAAAACAGCAGTCCATAAGTTAAAGTTTTAGAACCTGTGGTTTCTTCAAATCAGTGGCGATTACATGAATGTTCTAAGGGGGGGGGGCGAACTCAAAACAGTTGAATCCCATACACGAAAGGATCCCAACAGTTTTTTTTTTTTTGTTTTTTTTTTTCAGTTTTATTAAGATATTCGACTCAAAAGAATAAAATAATATTTTCATAAAACAGAGAAGCATCTTACCGCAGTTATTCCTAGTTTACAGGAACAGTTTAATTTTTCGATTCGTTGTTGAGGAAATTCCTGAACTCGACGTTGAGCTCATCAATGGCATTAGATCGTTCTCAAACTCATCGAAGGTTGCCATTGATGGAATCCAGCATATTCTTTAATTTTTTAATTTAATCACCAATGGCTCAGCGGTTTCATCAAAAACCAATTATAACCTTGGTGTTGTCGCTCGGTGTTGAATTTCTCAATTAACTTTAAATATTTGTATTCAATTTACTACCTATCTATATTTATTCCTTTTTTGAAATTCAGCAAATCAGTAGGTAAATATTTCTTTATATAATTTTTATTCTTTGTATGTTTTGTAACTTTACAGGAATGATTAGCTTTTCGCTGGAATCCAGCAGGTCGTTTCTAAACTCATCAATATTCGCTGTCCATTGGTGCTGGAGTCAATCGGCTGATGGATTACTTCGATGGCATTAGCACCACTAGCGGATCCAGGATTTAATTTTGGGAGGTGCTTCAGCCCGAAAGATTTTTTTTTTCATATATATATTCATAAAAATAATTTGAAAAAAAAAAAAAAGAAACTAACTACCTATATGAAATGGTGTTTAAGTGGTTCCTGAAGTCCTATTAAATGTAATTAAACGAACAAGAATAATTTAAAAGATAGTTTTTAATATTTTTTCCTGTAAAACATGGTTATATTTTACCATTTTGGGGGAAGAGGGGGGGAGCTTCAGCCCGAAAGCCTCCCTCCCCCCGTAGATCCGCCTGTGATGAGCACTGAGTTTAGTAACTTGTCCTTCGTTGTTCCACCGACCGCTCCATCATGGAACGCAATTTGTTTGTATTCATTTATTCTTTTATTTATAGTTTGAATTTTATTGTTTTTTTTATTTATTATCTTTTTAGTACTGGTTCCGTTACTGTAACATCTTGAACATTTACGAGTAAAACGGTCTAATATTGGTTTGAGATTACAATCCGTTCAAAGGATAATTACTTTGGAAGAAAAAGAAACTAACTACCTATACGAAATGGTGTTTAGGTGATTCTTGATGTCCTATTAAATGTAATTACACGAACAATAATACCTTCAGAGATAATTTTTTAATATGACATGGTTATATTTTTCCATTTTGGGGGGTGGGAGGCTTTAGCCCGAAAGGCTTCCTCGTAGATCCGCCTGCACAAGAAGGATAACCTTACTATTATTTATTATATTTATGTGTGTTTTGGTAATAACGTAACGGTGGTGCCATCCTACTTCGCAGAGTGTCCAAGAGAAGAGTTACTTCAGCGGTTCTGCTGTGAAGTTATCACTGCGGCTTAACCATCTACGGAACCAGTGGAACAGAACCGTTCCTTTATCACTCTCAGAAACTAGCTACCACAAAGCGGGGTCTACTATCGATCTGTATGCGCATACCCTCTCCATGGAAGATTCAGTTTCGAAGGAACTGCTTCTAACCTTGTCCTAAAAGATAGCTCCGTAAGAAGGCGTAAAGGTTGCTGAGAACATTATATTTCTGCTACTGTTAGAGTACCAGTGGGCACCAGACGCTGTGGAAGGCGGATATGTCGAAGTGCAGGAACATGGACATCGTCCCCCTCCTCCCCAATTCCTCTGTTCTGAGTCCACACATACTCTCATCAGCTTTGCCTTTCATAGCACCATATTGACCTTGTTAATTGTCTTCGTAAGGAACATGTGAAATCGTCTAAGTGGAAGGCAACATTTCATAGTCGGCAAAACAAAATTCATAATCTCATAAAAATGTGCCCCTTGAAAAATTTTTGAAAGAGAACTTACACTATGCTACCCACAAATGGAGACCTCTAATCCGCTTATATATTCTCTTTCAGGGTTTAAAGCTACATTCTTGCAGGGAGTTAGAATTTGAAAAAAATAAATAAATTGAACAAACATTATCTAATTTTTTTTTTCGAATTCTAACGCGCTGGAAAAATGAAGCTTTCCATTTCGAAGTCATTGAGAACAACGACTCAATTCATAAAAAAATATAATAAAAACTCTACAATAAACATTTTTAATATGCATAACATTTTTATCACAGAAATTCATTCATAAAACAAATAAGGTACAATACAAGGAACAATTTAAGACTTCGGAGTAGGCCCATTCACCCAGTCAACTATTTCTCTAGTATACCAAATTAAATCTCCTTTCGGTGATGTTGTGCCTGGCGGTAAGAGTGCTGCGTAGGTTGGGGCATCGGCACCTAAGGGAAAATAGATTTTTTTAAATTTAAAGACATAATATATTATGAATTTTATAAAAGATATGAAATTAAGTCATTTCCAAAGCAGAGAAGGTATAATTTACCATTGAAAATTATTTGAGAAGGAGTTGAACGGTGGGTGTAGTCAAATAAATACTAACCTTTTAAAATAGTATTTTTAATTTTTACGCCGACGTTTCTATCCACTTTGTAAGTCTTCATCAGAACGTGGCACAGGCACTGCAGGCAGCAGACGATAAACTGCAGTGCCTGTGCCATGCCCTGATGAAGACCTATAAAGTTGGTCGAAACGTCGGCGTAACAATTAAAAATACTATTTTAAAAGGTTAATATTTATTTGACTACACCTACCGACCAACTCCTCATATACCACGATCAACCATCTCTACATCATTAAAAATTATCATTAAATAACGTTTGTTAATTTTTGTTTGTTTGTGATATTTACAACTGTATTAAGAAAGAATACATTAAGTAAATGTGATAACAGAAAATAAAAACATGAAAACACTTGTTGAGAAACTACCCACTGGTAGCACTCTAAAAAATATTGTATTTATAATAGAAGATCTCGAGGCTATCTTCTTTTCAGACGCCTCGGAGGGTTATCAGGGATCGAATAGGAAGCAAGGTTAGAAACGAGAGAGTTCGGATGGTTCTGAAGTTTATTATGGAAGGATTGGTATCTGTATTGGGCCAAATCGGAAACATAAGGAACATTAAGGTCATTATGGATGATTTTATTAGTGACAAAGTAAGGAGCATTGAGGATATTACGAAGGATTTTGGATTATAAGGATTGGATGCGTAAGGGATTCGATGGCTTGTGGATCCCCAACTCTCAACTCCGTATGTCCAGATAGGTCTTATTGTAGTCATGTATATGAGTCCTTTGTAATTAGCTGGAAGCTTAGAGCGTTTGTCTAGTAAGTGCTGGAGTAGTCGGAAACGCCGAGCGGTTTCTTGTCGTTTAAATCTGGTATGAGGATTGCATTTGTTAATTTTAGATTGTACACTATATTTTTATTTAGGTATTCTGCAAACATAAAAATAAAAAATATATACCAACAAACTTTAATTATAATCTTTCGATACTTCAGCCATGTTGGTCTATTGACCAATAGATCAACAACTGCATTCCCGTCTTACACTTTGCTCTTGTACTGGAGACAATTTTCTAATTTCACTGGCTTCCGGAACTTTTTCAGTTAGAACATTGAAATCTTGTTTCTCTCTGCAATAGTCTCCGGTATGCCGCAATTAGAGCTTGAGATGTCAATGTTCCTGGACTGACATTGAATTCCAGATACCTTGCTTCCAAACCTGACCAATTTTGCATTCATGTATGCTACATTATGTTTTTTTTTTTTTTTTACACAGAAGAAAGAATTCGTTTGGATTTAAATATATAACTTCATTGAAGTTAAGCGCTTACCTTTGTATGAATCCACCCCTAAACGTAAATAAAAAAATCTATACTATACTTATATTTGAGAAATAGTACCTTGCTCGATAGTAAGGGGTCCTTTATGATTGGTTAAATCGGTATCAACATATCCTGGGTGGATGTGATTGATGACGATATCTTCTCGAGGGTCCTCCAAGAACTGCCGATGTTGAATCCTGGTTAAGGCGCTAACTGCAACCTTGGATACAGAATAAGCGGAATTCAGCCAGCCAGCCTCAAGATGTGTTCCAGCTTTTGCTTTTCTGAAAAAAAGAAAAAGGTGGATGAGAATTGTTTATATATCCTTCTTTTAAAAAGTACTATATATGAATATGTATAGTGTGAATCTACCTTTTATTTAATTGCTTGAAACCACACAATAGTTTGAAAATATTATTCGTCACTGAATACCACATCATTCAAAGAGAAAGATCCCAAAAGACAATATACTCATATAACCAGATTCCGTCTCGACTCATATCACCACCGTCGTTAAAGAATTAAATACATTAGATATGAATTCGATCATTTTTATATGAAGATGAAGTTTCAATCATGAAGATAAAATATAAGTCATTATGAGTAACCCTGAAATGATAGTTTTCTGTATCCCAAGGTATTTTATTTGAAAATGGAACTTTTTAACTCCTTTCAAGTTAAAATGTGGATTATTGTTAATTTGTAAGCTCAGGGTATTTACCAAATTTTTAGGGCCTGGAGAATTCGAACCTCTTTTGTTGACTTTTTTTAAGCGGTTTAAAACATACAATAGTTATTCTGGGCACTAGTGGATCCAGGATTCAATTTTCAATTCAATATATCTACCTATATATATATATATATATATATCCCGGTTGAGATAGCCAGGAACCTTACGTTGCTACGAACCATGGTTTCCATGGTGCAGCGGCAGGCCACCCAAAGCTCCATAGCCGATCTCTTTGGGGCCTATCTGGCAGTGTCCTTCCCACTGACCTTCTCGGTTTGGACAGTGACAAATCGGTCTAGATCCATGGATTATGGCTACTCGGAGCCAGCAGGCGCACGAGGACCTATATTTCTTTCCCCGAAACAGACCGTCCATGGACCGAATATCAGGGGGGCTATTAACACCCTGGTAAACCACATCCCGATTCTTGATTTAAGTACACGGAGTAGGGTCATCAATCCTACGCCCGGTCGGTGTGAGTTGCCTCCAGTAGGCTGACGGGCCTCACATACCCGGTGGGGGGGAGAGACTCGGACAGTATGGTTTTCCCTGGTGGACGGTCACCCAAATCGGGCAGTCACCCATCCAAGTACTAACCACGCTCGACGTTGCTTAACTTTGATTACCTATTGCAAGCGCCTTAGCCCGTACGGCTACTCAGCCCCCATATATATATACACACACACACACACACACACATATATATATATATATATATATATATATATATATATATATATATAACGATAATTACTTTAGAAGAAAAAGAAAGAAACTAACTACATATATGAAATGGTGTTAGAGCGATTCCTGAAGTCATATTAAATGTAATTGTACAAACAATAATTACTTTTATAGATATTTTTTTAAATTAGACATGGTGATATAGTCCGTGGTAAGACCACTTTTTATCAAATTATTAACATCTACCTGAAACTTCGTAAATAGCTTCATCTCATCGTAACCTACAAATATTTTATTTACGAAAATTCTCATATTTGGGCCGTTTTCAATCTGGACATCAACAAACTTTGTCTATTTAATTAGGTACTAAAAACTGGTAAATACCCATTTACTTTCCACTTTAATCGTAAGGTAACTTGAGCATAAAGTCTATAAAAAAAGGTGGCCTTCAAAAATATTCAGCCGTTTGGTGTAACCTGCATCCCCAAATTGTCAAAATAACGTGGTTATAGAGACCAAACTGCTATATAATTTCTAAAACTATCACAAGTTTTATAATGGTCGACAAAATGTCGAAGGGTCCTGTCCAGGCGAATATTTCGTGTAGAAAATTTTAATATTTCGATTGCCATAAAATTTCGTATTTAAGGGTTTTTATGAGATACGAAAGACGGATATCAACTTTATTTCTCTTTGAAAATATATTCAATCCCATATTGCTACATCGGTTGGCCCACATTTTGTAGTTATCTTCTAAATACAACATTTATTCAAAACCGGTCTGGTATCTAGAGTAAATATTTTGAGATAAATTTGGGAAATGTTATGCAATGATGAAATAACCTGTAACATGTTTACAAACTGTGAAAACTACAATTCATCTTCTACTTTACCGATAAGATAATGGAGAAATTGATTAAATGACACTCATTACAAGTGGTTCCCTAAAATTTCACGTTAATACCACTTCGTAACTGTATGAGAGAACTTCACTTATATAATTCGCTATTTATAATTGTGGGTAAATGGTTGACTGTCGTGAATAATGAAGAGAAGAATAGTTGGGGTGATCAGTCAAATAAGAAGGCAAAAGTAAATGATAATATTTATTTTGACATTTGCCGATGTTTCGACCTGAAGTTCAGGCCTTCATCAGGGCTGTCTCCAAAGGTGTAAAACGGAGAGTTTCTAGGTTCCGTTCTAGGTTTCTCCGTTTTACACCTTTGAAGACAGCCCTGATGAAGGCTTGAATTTCAGGTCGAAACGTCGGCAAATGTCAAAATAAATATTATTATTTATTTTTGCCTTCTTATTTGACTGATCACCACAACTATTATTCTCTTCATAATTAGCTATTTAAATGAATTCATTCTCAACAGGGGTGCTCAGAAGGGGCACATGTTGCGCCATCACACATCATGAGGGAGGCATATTTTGGCGAGTTTTTGAATTTTTGAGGGTGGTACATTTCAATGGGGTTAGGAATTATCGGAATGAAAAGTTTCAGAATAAGGAGCAAGGAGAAAATTAAAAAACAGACCGCAGCAAGTGTAATTGTGTATGATCTACGATTTTTCTAATTCTACTTTCCCTTGCTCTGTTTTTATGAAAAAGTGAGCAATACAATACCGTGGAAGGAGGAGGGGGTAGGTACTTCGCCACCGAACTTGGAGAGCATGGGTTGGGGAGGAAGGTTAGCTCTTTCTGAGTGCTTATGTACAGCATTGAGCAGGAAAACCTGTGTACACAGTCACGCATGGTTTCTGCTATATCGCAACATTTTCAAACACTCATTCTTTCGGGCACGAATGATAGTATCATCTTAAATGAATATTTCTCATGAAATTGTTTATGTTATTTATTCGGCAAATGAATAAATATGTACCGAAGTTTTGACTCGCTTTTTATACGTTCTCCAGACCCATAGATTGCTAAATTACCTTCGTAATTTATTTTTGGAATCCCAAGGGACGCCTGTATTTCTCGTTTTTATGCAGAGTTTAAGTGGCTTTATTCTTCCTTCCGTCGTATTTACTGGCATCCTTCATCTCCCAAGTCATTTAATACTGCCGTCCTTCATACATCTCCGAGCTTTTTCAATTCAAATCCGCTGTTCGTTCCCGGTATTACCTTGAAGAAATGGGCCATGGATTTAAATAAGTAGTAATCCGCTGTTACGAGGTCCGGACTATATTGTGGATAAGGCAGGAGTCTCAGTATCATAAGGGTTTTCAATAAATTTTCACAAATTTCTAACCTCCTAGCTTTGCCTTTGCTGAGGAGTAAGTTAGTGAGGGACCAGTCTACTGCTCTTTTTCAACTTCCTCATGGAGAGTAACAGTATCTTTCGACACAACACACTCTATGGCAAGTTCGCGAGTATTCGTGGACGGATATGATTCAACAGCTTTCTCAATATCCATTAATGGTCGCCCGGAGCCCTTATTTCTTTCCAACGTCATATAACGTAGGGCACTGTCATGTTTTTTCTTTTTTTAAACAAATAACTAAACTGAAGCTTTTTTTTAAAGAAATCGAATGGGATTAAACAAGTTTTGAGAATGCTCTAAAGGGATTATTAAGTATTTGTAAGTATTAAACAGTCCTTTGAAATCTTGAATTTGACAAAACGGTAATTTTTAAAAAAATTGTATACCCCATTAAAACAATGTCGAGGTATATGTGCAGAGAGTATGCAGTTATCAGAAGGCCTCGACAGAGCGTTGCTCAGTTTAGGGGTAAAATGACTAAGTGGATGTAGGAAGATGAAAAGAAGGATGACATTAAGTGACACGCGGATCAGCACCCAATCACTCTCGATCTGCGGTGTAAGAGATCAACCTTAACACTCCGTAAGGATGGTAACCATAAGCGGAGGGATCAAACTCCGTACTTATGGGAGGATGAGATACTAACGGAGGGATCAATCTCCAGACTGTACATCGGAATACAAGCGGGCGGATCAGCATCCGGACTTGTATGGAGAGAGAATAGGAAAACGGTTTTGGGTAATTCTCAAAGTAAAAGGCAATGTGAGGTATTAATAAGAAGAGATTAAAAATATATATATACTTACGAAACAAACTCCTTTATCAGACTGGTAAGTTCGTCTAAAGTCAGATTTGAATCCCTTAATTTATTTTTCAAGTGTTCACCTGGTAGCGTCTTTAAAATTCCTAGACCACTCGATATATTAACTACACGAGCGTGAGGTCGAAGGAGCGGGAAAAGAGCATTGCAGACATCAATCACAGCGAAGAAGTTCACTCTCAAAGTTATTTCCGCCTGTTCTCCAAATGGTTCCGGGGCGTCACGCTACAAAGAAATCGATGATAATTAACAATCATTGACGTGTTGATAACAGAAATAATAAAATTTACTTTCTTACCGGGAACCCAATCGCAGCATTGTTGACTAATACGTCAATTCCACCGTGAGTAGTTTTGATGAACTCGGCAAAATTGGTGATGCTTTCAGGATCATCGACGTCCAATTGGTGGAATCCTGGTTTCAGACCCAGCTGTCATGAATGACAGTAAACCCATTAATGATTTAGTTCAAAGAAATTAAAATATTTTACATAGTTTTTAAAATGTTTGATCTTTATATTATAATGCCTATTCACACTTAAGTGTATACCTCACAGTTCAGTATAATAAAATTCATTATTATTTTTTGGGAGGATAAAATGTAAGTAACTTATATTTTTATAAAAAGTTAGTAAAATAATTTTATATTTATTTGAAAAGTTGTTTTATGGGTTATAACTCGTTTCTAAAATAATATATTGGTATATTTTTTGGTTTATTATTTTCAATAATGAACCATTGTGATCGACTAAAAAATTCAAAAACTTAACTCCCTCTCAAAATTTGAAGTTTCGCGTTTCAGGGTACGTAGAATTCGAAAAATGAATAAACATTTTTTTTTGTCCGTCCTTCTTCCGCGCATTTTCTCTGAAACTACTGGACCAATTTTTTTTCAAATTTGGGTATAAAATCGGAGGTCACCCAAGGATGATCCTTCTTCATCGACGTTACTATTCGCCTTTTACTTTCAAAATTGTGACCGGAAAACCTGCGTTGCTATAGACTGTAGCGCCTAAACGAATGTACCGATTTCAATGAAACTTCGCTAAAGTCATTTTCTCGACGCCCTTTAAATTCATCTAATATATAACATAATTCAACGAAAAGAAGCTGGAAAAAAAGTTACGAGGGATGGTAAACTTAAGTTCCGAATAACTCAAAAAGTACACTTTTTTGTTGATATTGTGATAAGATATTTAAATTTCCTAAAAAATGAAGGAAATTTCATCGAAATCAAAGCACTATTAGTAGAGATATCGCAATTTTTGGCTAATCATTTTCAATAATGAACCATTGTGATCGACCAAAAAATTAAAAAACTTAACCCCCTCTCAAAATTTGAGGTTTCACGCTTTTAGATTGCTAGAGACGTGGACATAGATTCCCCGAAACGTACAATAAATAATTATCAGAAGTTAATTTTGATTTTTATTATACATACCTGTGAGGTATATGCTTAGTGTAAATAGACATAAAAATATTTTATGCACAACAATCAAATATTTAAAATCCACCTTGTTCAATTCCTCTACAGCCTTTTTACCCCTTCCTACATCTCTGGCAGTTAAGTATACAACACCATCGAATTGCTTACAAAGATTCCTGACAATTCCAAAACCTATTCCTTTATTAGAACCAGTTACCTGAAATTTTGAAATACCGAATTTAAATTGCTATTATAGTATTTAATGTTTTAAACGGTCTGAAACATACAATGGCGACTCTGGATTGGGCCATATCATGCACGAACCTCTCTTGGGACACAAGGTCAAACACTGAGGGTGTCGGATGCGAGCTTATCTTATATAAATACATTGTGCAAATAAAATATAATTAATTTGTTTAGATTACTCAACCTAACATTAGTACTTATAGAGGATGAATATTGAGTTTCATAATCCGTTTGCTTTATTATAAGTAGCGAATAATTCGTTATATTTTATCTATACATAGTTTATTGTTGAACAAATGAAAAAATAATAACGAAGTAAGTTAATGCATTATATCACAAGATGAAGTCATAAATTCTCTTTTACTTGGTAATTGTAAACAATGCCGCCCTTAGAAATTCGGCACCCCTGGGCAATGACGTCGTCTCTCCCGTAATTTTTTTATTTTTTGTTTATACCTTTTGCACGGTCAATATAATTGAATCAATAATATCGAATCAATAACATTGAATCGATAATATTGAAGCAATATTCTTGAACTATAAATAGTACAGATGTCAATATAATTGTTACAATATAACCCTCAGACGGTCAATAAGTTTTAATTTTTTTGTTGTTGTTTTTTTTTGCTTTAAGACTTGTAAAAGCAAGTCCTATTTTGCCAGTAAAATATTTCAATTGTCATAGTGAGATGAAATAACGGTTTTTACACCGAAATTACACTGGATTTATATTAATTATTTATAGTTAGATGATCACTGAAAGTAACTTATATGGGACTTGGATATTAGATATTATGGAAACTAGAAAGACTAATGGTTAAAAACTTAAATGAATCAGAATTACAATTAACTGAGAATAAGTGGCAACTTATATTATATGACTGCTTTTATATCTGTCTTATTCAACAAACAATGATACGGAAAATATGGCGGGCAATGTGGAAATTGTGTATATACCTTGTTTATTTTGTAATTAACTGAGAATAAGGGCAACTTTTATTATATGACTGCTTTGATGTTATTCATGAACTTTATCAAGTCAAGGGTGCTATCTTTGTTCATCAACCGAATATTTAATATATAATATAATATTTAATGTTTGTAGTGCTGGCCTTAGACATTTGGCATCCCCATCTCCTGAGCATTGACATCTCCCCCCCCCCCTATAAAATAAATTTATTTCTTAAGCTGTTTTCTATTATGTAATATTTGAATTTTATTTTATTCAACATTTCTTTTATGCAGTTGCTTTATTGATAGGCTAAAATTAATTATTTAATATGTTTTGTATTTTCTTTTATTTCTAACAAGTGCAGATCAGCCCTAAAGATAGGCTGGATTCCCCAATGGGTGCCCCTAGACAATTGCCCAGGTTGCTTCACCCAAAGGCAGGCACTAAATGTTTGGTTCATTCATTCATGTTCAACTCATTCACTTTTTATCATAACTGTTTCTTATTACCTTCATCCACTAACCTTTCAATAATATCTGTCTTATTCAACAAACAATGATACTTACGGAAAATATGGCTGACAATGTGGAAATTGGGTATATACCTTGTTTATTTTGTAAATATCAGATGTACCAACAAAACTTCAATTATAGACTAAATATAAAATTTAATTTATACTTTCTACCACTAGCGGATCCAGGATTTGATTATGGGGGGGGGGGTTCAGCCCAAAAACTTTTTTTTTTTTTTTTCCAAAAAAATGACGATAATTACTTTGGAAAAAAATAAAGAAACTAACTATCTATATGAAATGGTGTTTAAGTGATTCCTTAAGTCCTTTTATATGTAATTACACGAACAATAAGATTTTAAGATAATTTTTTTTTTTAATATTTTTTTCCATAAAACATGGTTATATTTTGGCATTTTGGGGGGGCTTCAGCCCGAAACCCCCTCCCCCGTAGATCCGCCCGTGCTTTCTACTAGCTAAAAACTCACTAAGTAAATAACAAAAGAAGAAAAAAAGGTACATATGAATTTCAACATTGAAAAGAAAGTACAAATGTTTTTTAGAAAATATCATCAGTTTATTATAACAATCTTATGTTTAAATGTTTTGACACTTTTTTCTTTTTTAAAGCTTGAACACAATAAGTTCTTCGTGATGGTTTTAACATTTGGCAGGAACCGGTCCGTTTACCCAGTCTACTATCTCACGGTTGAACCAAATGTAATCTCCTCTTGGCGATTCTATATTGGGTGGTAAGAGAGCTAGGTAAGTTGGGGCATCCGCTCCTGAAATAAGTTGAAAATTGGTATTGAGAAAGTAATTTAAACAACAAATAATGCTTTTAAATTTTTTTTATGTTTGGTTATAGTCCATGTTTCTGAGCCGTATATAAGCACGCACTTGGCAGATTATGGTTTTGTAGAGATGTAATTTAGTTTGACAGGAGAGAACGTGACTACGACCAAATGTAATGAACAGATTCTCTCCTTGTGTTCGAGCGGAAAATCCTTGGAGAGCGCAACTGGATGGCGGCTGCACGAAACCGTGATGATTGGCAGAAGTTGCTGGATTCATTTAAACTTTAATTTGATAATTTCTAAAATTGAACTTTAAATGCTATAATACCTAACCTTATTATTCATAATAAGTACAATGTCTAAGAAATTTATTAAGAAAACAAAAATACCCTATCCATTTATTTGGTGTTATAAAAATTCTTGAATTGATTTCGAAAAATCGTAATTTAAAATGGAAAATTCTAAATTTGATTTGAAAAAAAAAACCTAATTTGATTCAGAAAGTTCTAAATTTGATTTTGAAAAATCCAAATTAGATTTGGAAAGTACAAAATTTTATTTTAAAAAATCCCAATTTGGTTTGGAAAATTCTAAATTTGGCTTGGAAATGCTACATCAAATATATTTTTTTTGTTCGTTTTCGGTAGTTTATATTATTTAATAAATTTCTATTACAAATCGATGGCGGTTTCGTGACTGCCCATAGGCCCAACACCCTAAGGCATTGTCTTGGCTTGGATCTATGTAAATATTTATAAAAATTATTGTTTGTATGTTAGTCCTCTAGAAACTCCCAAACCTTTCTATGGATCGTGCTTAGGAAACCTTCACAGAGATAGAGAAAACTAAAATAGATAGAGCCATCCTGTGAAGTATGGCTGGATCATCAGGACCATTTACCAAAAGTATTAGTGTTACTAAAATCAAATTAATGCATTCTCCTCTCATCTTAAATTTTGAAATTAACAATACAGCTGATTATTGAAAACTGAAACATGAATAATTGTTACCTTCTTCGATTGTTAGTGGTCCCTTGTGACTTGTCATATCGGTATCGACATACCCTGGATGGACGTGGTTAACTATAATATCTTCCCGAGAGTCCTTCAAGAATTCTTGCTGCTGAATCCTCGTCAAAGCACTAACTCCAACTTTAGAAACACAGTAAGCAGAATCTGGCCAGCCAGTATTAGCATGTGTTCCGGCTTTCGCTTCTCTAAACAATAAGAAAACCAAGAGTGAGAATCAATCACACTTTATGTAATTAAATAAAAATAATATTAATTCGGACTTATATTCGAAAATTCTCAAAAGAAATGCCAGTATTTTAATTTTTTTAAAAAGAAATATATCTAATTATAGCTAAGATAGAAAATTTCTAGTTAATATTTTGGTTAAAATTTCCATTATAAGCTGATCCAAGATAACTTGACACATCGTAAAGTAACTTGATGATATTATAAATTGGCCTCTGCTGCTCTTTAATCGCTGCATTTACAGAATCGAGATATTGGGTTGACAAATAAGTCCTTTTGGTTTTTCAGGGTGAAATAAAACTCAATGTATTATAGACATAAAATTTATTTTAATCTACAATATATTGACCATTATTTAATATGACTTTTCCCCATCTTTCCACAAACTGTGTAATGAAATGTTCATAGAATGTCTGGAGTTTATTGTTAAAAAACTGATCCAAGTGGTTTTTGATGTCCTCTTCCTTTTCTGCAGAGAGTGGAATAAGTGGTAGTCACTAGGAGCTAGGACTGGTAAATAGAGATGGCGAGGCAAAAGGTCCCATCTAAGGCTCAATCATTTATTGCAAGTGACCAATGAGGTGTGGAGGCGTTGTCTTGGTCTAACACAACACTCTTCCGATTTGCTAGTTCTGGATGTTTATTTTTAATTGATTGATCCAACTTTGTCAATTGTGAGCAGTATAGAGTTGAATCAATTGTTTGTCCTGATCCCAATAGCTCATAGGAAATAACTCTGTTGAAATCCCACCGTATGGAAAGCATTGTCTTCTTTGGATGCAATCCGGGTTTTGACATTCTTCTAGGAGCTTCACTTCTAGGTCTCCAAGATTTTCTACGAACTACACTATCGTAAAATATCCATTTTTCATCTCCTGTTACCAAACTTTTCACAAATGGGTCGTTTTGTTGCCGTCTCCGTAGTGAATCACAAACAGAAACGGGTGTTGCCAAGTCGACTTTGGTTAGAAAGAGAGGGACCCAAACATTAAGCCTGGAAACATAGCTGAGCTTATGAAAATGGTTTTCTATGCTTGTGTGCGACACATTTAGGGCCATAGCAATCTGTCGCACTGATTAGATGGAATTTTGATCACCAATGGCCTTAACATTGCTCGTTTCAATTTCATGTGGGTGACCAGATCGTTGAGCATCAGTGATATCAAAACTTCCTGAATGAAATTCGGTAAATCAATTTTGACAGGTGCGTTCGGTTAAGGCATCATCTCCATAAACACTGAAAATTTTTTCTATGAGCTTCTGCAGCACGCTTACCTTTTTAAGAATAATACAACAAAATATGCCGATAATGAATGATATTTTTTTCCATATTCACAGTGCAATAGCAAACACAATACTAAGCTAGTTTCAACAAGAGTTAACAGATATAGTTGTTGACATATTACAAACAGGATAAACAATCCACCTTAAGGATTAATACATCAGATAAGAAGTGTATCATAGTGAAGTAAAAATAAACAGAAAAACCGAAAGGACTTATTTGCCAACCAAATATTTTCGCATCAACTCGCTCTTCGCTTTAGAAAACAAACAAGTCGCACAAAGGAATGCCATGATGATGTCGCAAAGGATTTCCTAACACTGACTGTTTTTAAATAAAACATCTTGATGAACAATAAGTGCATTTTTTAAAATGGGAAATCTTGGCAGACAATAATTTATAATTTATCAGATAGAAAAATATCTGAAATGAATGACGTTTAATCTGTTCATTTCCTAGTTTCATGTCTAGTAAATCACAGTAAGTCAAAAAATATTAATTACATGACAAAAAGCAAGCTAAAATTGTATTAGTGCAAATTTTGTTGACAGGTAGGCCAAGATAACACTGATCACACAGTAAATGGAAACTACCAGAGCAAAATAAACAGAGGTGACTTATCTTATTTTTAAGTATTAGTTTATGTATCATTTTCATCTATACTTGCCTATTTTATAAATTTTTATTTATTTTTACTTATTAATATTTACATTTAGTTTTGACATTTTTGTTTAAAATTTCGGTTAAAGTCGTTAAACGTTGGTAACCTTACCCTTCCCTTCTGTACCTTCCACCCAAAACCGATTTACATAAACTTTCAGTTCTTGTCTCAACTTCCAAACTATAGGTAACTGTTAAGAAACTATTTGTATTTATTAATCTCTATTTATGTTTTTTTTTTGTCTTTTTAATATTTATTTATATAAATCGTTTTTGAATACTTCTTATTAATTGAATTGAATTGAATACCTTTTTCATTTATTAATAATACTAAAACATTTTCTTATCACATTTCAGTGTTTTCATTATTGTTAAGTTTATATAACCACTATCTCATTTATACGTTAATATTTTTCTTCTCTTATACTTTTATATTAATAATTTTTCTTATTTTATTCTTAACTCTTATTTCTATTATCTTATTTATTTAGTCTTATTAATGTTATTCTTCACTCATACTGCTCATACACTTTTATATTTTTCTGATGTAATTTAATATTTTTGAATTTTTAGCCTGATGATCCACACGTTTGGGTCGAAACATTGGCTACTCATCAAATAAATGTATGAAAGTAAATCCTTACAATTTTTTCATCCTCATAATTATTATGTTCACAATCAAAGATAATCTGTCCATTCATTAATATAATTAGTTTTATTTAATTAAATTTTGATCGATCGAAGCTTGCGGTCATATAGTTAATGGACGCTCTCATCTCTAGTCTGTCATTGGTCATAAACATTATTGTAAATACCATTAAATGTGTAAGTAAATCTACATTTGGGTCAAAATTGTTTTATTCTATTTTAAGTTGTCTAGGTCTACTTATCTGCTTGCTGAAATATTTATTAAAGATGCTTTGAGTATTTTATATTTCTTACATTGTTTAAATAATGAAATTCTTGTATTAAATTAAATCTATATCTCCAGGCTAATTATTTATTTTAGTACTATTTTACAAATCCTGCTCCACATTGATGGTTTGGTATAGCAACAGAAGATTACACTGAACATGGAAACAGAATAGCCCATTACTGTTGCGATCAGAGTATTACCTCTCATTATTTGGATCATGATTTACATAAAATTCTAACCGGCCTTTTTTTGTTGAGGGCAGGACCTTACGAGAGAGTTTGGTCATATCTGCCTACTTACAGATATACTCGGCTATATTAGGAATTCGATTCCATCAACAGTGCGATCATGAAATCTTATGCCCACGATCAATGTAGAGCAACACTCATGAAGTAGTACCATTTTGCTTTAGTTGGAATTTCAACCTAACCTGTCAAAAAGATAGACGAACTCTGCAAGCTCTGACATTCCAAGTTTCCATATGATGGATGTAATCTTGGTCTAACTGTCATCCACATTTTTACTGAAAGAAATATAAAGTATCGCTTGATACATGAAAAATATATATATATTGAGATTAGATTTAACAATTTTAAAAATTATGCTTACATAACAAACTCGTTCATAAGACGGATCAGATGATTTCGTGATAGTTGAGGATTTGCAAACTTTTCTCTCAGTTTGTCACCAGGAATCCTTTGCAAAAAGCCAGCAGAACTAGACAAATTAACAACACGAGCATGTGGCCGAAGAAACGGAAACAGAGCTGAACAAATATTAATTAAATCAAAAAAATTTATTCTTAAGGTCACTTCAGCCTGTTCTCCAAAGGGTTCAGTGGCATCATTCTGCAAAAAAAAAAAAAAAAAAAAAAAAAAAAAACTATTTACAAGGATTAAACAATAAATTTTAAAAAAATTTAGGATTAGTCTATTTTAAAATAATTTTCAAAATTGGCGTTAACATAAACGAATAGTTTTACCTTGTAAGCAATCGCAGCATTGTTGACCAGTACATCGATTCCTCCATGAGTCTTCTTGATGAAATTGGCAAAATCAGTGATACTTTGAGCATCATCAATATCCAATTGGTGGAATTCTGGTTTCAAACCCAGCTGCCATCAACAAAAATAAGCTCATACTTACTGATATTACATAGAAAAGCATAGCTGTTCAAAAATTAATAACTCACCTGATTTAACTCTTCTACAGCCTTTTTTCCTCTTTCAACGTCCCTCGCTGTTAAATATACAATTCCATCAAATTGTTTACATAAATTTCTTACAATTCCAAAACCAATCCCTTTATTTGCACCAGTTACCTACGGTTTTGAATGTTAATAACTACATTAATTATTTAAATAATGAGATTAAAAGTAAAATAATCTTACGATGGCTACTTTGGGAGGAATTGGTTCTTCCACTTCCATACCTAAACTATGGTTTCTCAAATAAGTAGGAAATAATTTAACACCTTTCAATCTCAACAATTTCCAAACTGAATAAGCTGGTTTTACACCTGCAAAAAGAAAGTTTTGTTATCAATATGCCATAAAAAAATACATTCAGTAATGACAGACATCATTATATTAATAGTTATATCTTTTAATTTTTTATGTTTATTTCAACAATCTTTCTTGAAAATTTACTTTGTATCAGCATATCAATTTAGTAAACAATAATTAAAATAGAATTAGATAACAGTAATCGAACCTAACTGACAACAAAACCACAAGACCTACCACAAAAAAAGAACCTATGATTTAGCAAGAGGGTCACACTATTATTAGACCAACTCAAAAAAGTATAAAATATAAACTATTGAATCAGAACGTCCCTTTAACTAAAGAGACTTATCACCGTATCATAACATGACACTCGATTACAGGTTATAAGAAATTGTTAAGCGTAACACCGCAACTCTTTGCAAGGAGCTACGTGAATAACCAACATGACCAAGTAAAACCTGAATTGTCCTATTTTTCTTATCACAGTGAATTACTTCCTTATTAAAAAAAGCAGTATTTAATTTTTTTCCGAAGTCAATTAATCAAATTGACGGGGTGAGCAAACAATATATACTCTCAAAAGGCTCTTTTCTAATGTCAACTCTCTCTCTCTCTCTCTCACTCTCTCTCTCTCTCTATATATATATATATATATATATATATATATGTAAAGAAGCTTCAGGTTCTAACGAATTCCCACCTTTGGGTTAATTATTTAATTCATGCATTTAACACATGATGTTGGATGGGGATAACCGTGTGGCGTGGTTTGTAATTGTTTCAGATTATTAAGTGTTTCATTCAGATAGTGTCGTGTTTTATTGTAGTTAACAACTATAAAAACTGATTTATAATCTTGTTTACTATTAACTGTAGAAAAACTATACTAACACGACACTAAACACTGAATAATTTGAAAAATTGCAAACCGGACCACACGGTTATCCCCATCCAACATCACGTGTTAAATGCATGAATTAAATAATTAACCCAACGGTGGGAATTCGTTAGAACCTGAAGCTTCTTTACGTTATATATATATAAAGTTTTCAATCTTCCAATTTCATTTGGCGTGGCTGTAGAAGTTAGACTGGAAAAAAACTGTAATGCCGAAATTAATCTAAAGTGTATGGTATTGTTCAGTGCGGCCTTAGACATTCGGCGCCCTCGGGCAATGGCGTCATCCCCCCTAAAAAAGTTAAATTTATTAATTAGTCTTTTATATTATGTAATATTTGGATTTTATTCCATTTAACATTACTCTAATATAGTTGTCTTATTAATACGCTAAAACTGATTATTTGAATACGTTTTGTAACTTCGGGCGCTCCCCGGTTGCTCCACCCTAAGGACGGCACCGGTATTGATCCACCACAAAAAGAATTTCTTTTCCCGCCTTACAGGTCGGATTTCAGCATATTTGACCCAAAGGGCTTTGATATGATCCTGTAATATCTTATTTAAAGGAAAATCTTAAGTTTAAAGGAAAATCTCCCAAAGTCTTCTTTCTACGTGTCAGATGTTGTTCGTATTTCGCCACCACCAGGAAATGGTCAGAGTCGCAGTCTGCTCTCCTGTAGCTACATGCATCCGAGATGTGAGAAAAGTGTCTCGCGTCTATCATTACATGGTCTATCTGACTTCTAGTTCGATCTTCTGGACTTATCTATGTTTCCTTGTGAATATTTTTGTGGGGAAACATAGTAGTCATAACCCTCATTCCTTTAGAAATGGCAAATTCTACTGTTCGAAATCCATTATCATTCGTTACTTCTTCATGTCTGCTATGTTGCCCAATTGTGGGTCTGTATATTTCTTCCATGCTTATCTGAGCATTGAAATCTCCGAGCACAATCTTAGTGTCATACTGTGGTATCTGCTCGCAGTGGTATCGCTCCTTGTGAAGATGCGGAGGAACTGGACAAGGAAACATTCTATACCAATCTGGCAAGCACATACGAGCAAGCTAAGTATATGCAACATAAATAATCACTAAAATATTTTATTCTGAAAAAAACACCTTGCAACATACTATATTTTATTGTAATACTTATAGGAAAGAAAAAATATTTGAGCAAAAATTTTATATAAGCATTTTATTGTATCATCACAAAATAAATTTGTTCATTACAATACTTAGTAAAAATACAAAATAAATATAATCCTAAAACTTAATTGAGTTTCTAGTCAACGTGTTATGTTGGATTCATCATAGAACATTTGGCTTTATTAGTATTTTTACAATGTTCAGATATTGATTTTTTTTTAAACTTTACCAATATCTTAGTAATCAAATTATTCAGTATTAAGCTGGAGTGGGTCCATTTACCCAATCTATAATTTTACGGCCATGCCAAAGAAAATCCCCTTTTGGTGACGTTGTACCAGCTGGTAGCAAAGCTGCATATGTCGGAACGTCTGCACCTATAACAAAATTAAATAACGAAATCATTAAATTGATCAATTAAATACATTTTTTTTTATTTGAGGAGGTTATACAATGTCTTTTACCCTAGCAAATGATTATGGATCAAGTCAGACATAGATAGAGAGACGTTCAAAGAACCGAAGAGACCAGTTGGAGTCCAGAACACGATAAAATTCCACATGCGAGATGGTGGTTTGTTAATGTTGAAGACACAAGAATTGGTCAAAATATGTAGATGAAAACCATATAAACCACCTTACCTAAGTACATTCCGCTAATATTTATAATTATACAAATATGGAAAAGTTCAGATCATCGAAGTTAACATGCTCTGTACGTCTCACAGACCATCGATTCCCAGAGATCCAAGAAATATTACTTATTGATGAAGGAAACTTTTAAAGTTAAGTTTTTCAATCGACAATGGGACCTTGTAAGGTCTTTCCCTAGCAGATAGCCCATGGGCCTTCTTTGTTTCTCTCCAAGTTCCTAGTAATTCCCTTCAGCTATTATTATTATTAATAAAGTATATTATAACCTAATATTAACATTAACGTATGAGCAAAGCAAAATCAATAAGAATTACCTTGCTCTACAGTTAGAAGTCCTTGTTGACTCGACATGTCAGTAACTACGTAACCTGGGTGGACATGGTTAATAACAATGTCTTCTCTAGAGTCCTCTAAGAATTCCCGGTTTTGGATTCTCGTCAAAGCGCTGACTGCAACTTTGGACACACCGTAAGCGGAATTCTGCCAGCCAGCTTCTGTATGAGTTCCAGCCTTCGCTTTTCTGTACACGTGGAAAACAGCTTTAGTCAATATCACCCAATGGGAAGGAGAGTGCAAGGCGCAACTTGCGCTATCTATGTTAATAAAGCATACTTACGAGATAAACTGGTTTATTAGATTTGTCAGATCTTTCAAAGTTAGGTTAGGATCGCCTAAAGTCTTCCTCAGGTCCTCGCCGGGTACCCTCCCCAGGAAACCTGAAGCACTGGAAACATTAACCACACGAGCGTGAGGTCGAAGGAGCGGGAAAAGAGCATTGCAGACATTTATAAGACCAAAGAAATTCACTCTTAAAGTTACTTCAGCTTGTTCTCCAAACGGTTCACGTGCATCTTTCTATAAAAAATAATAAAAACAAAGAATATATATATATGTATATAATACTATTCATCTATTTTGGTTTACTGTAAGCTTTATTTTAGCAAATAACATTCTGTTTCGTGTACATAATCTAGCACAGTAGTATACTATCCTTTCAACTCTTTTATTTTAAAATATTGGAAATTCTAATCAATAGCTTACTAATATATAAAATAAATCATTTGAAAAATTAATCTTATAAATATACTGTTTCTAATTTGATGGATTAGTGCCTTTTCCCTAAATATTTCCCAGAACAGATTCAAATCATGTAATTGAACCACAATTGATAATTCGTAACAAATTCGAACTTCGGTGTTTTTATAGGTTGATTAATATGAAAGTATTAAACGTAAAAGCTGCATATAAGCGGATGTACCGAAGGAGGCTTTACAAAATACTTGAAACACACTCCGATTCATCATTTGATCACTGTTGTAATTAAAAAATAATATATTTCTATAAGAATAAAAACCTTGTAAGCAATGGCGGCGTTGTTAACCAGTATATCGATTCCACCATGCGTCTTCCTAATGAATTCAGCAAAGTTGGCGACACTGTGAGAATCATCGATATCCAATTGGTGGAATTCTGGTTTTAAACCCAACTATCATAAATAAAAAAGAAAACGTATAAAGGATTACAATAAAATATATATATAAAAAAAAAACTCAAAATAATTAAATATTTTAAATTCACCTTATTCAACTCTTCTACAGCCTTTTTACCCCTTCCTACATCTCTAGCAGTTAAATACACTATACCATCGAATTTTTTACAAAGATTCCCGACAATCCCAAAACCGATTCCTTTATTGGATCCAGTTACCTGCAATTTCAGAAGTAAGTAGTTAAGTTTTTGGAACTAGTTCCTTTTCGTTACTCCAAGATGGCGGCTGGTTTCAGGATAACCCAGATCACGCTACTCCTAATGTGTTCGAAAGAAGATGGAGTGTACCGATCCACAACTCTGTAAATTATGCGCCATTTAAGAAGGGAGTTTTTACTTAATTATAATATTCGATAATAATTTTTAAAGTATTTAAATATGTATAATTTGTAGGATTCTGATCGGAGAATAGGATTATTAACGATGAATAAAATAACTATGACGATATGAATTTTGGGATTAATAAAAATTTCCTTGTTTCTTATTATTTTATTATGCGTGTTTTTTCTGAACATTTTTATTATGAAATGTATTCAGTCCGTTTCACACTTATCTTTATCTATCAATGAGAAGAGGAAATAATAAATTAATTTCAGTAAATTTATTCTAATTATTGTTAAGTTTATAATAATTAAATTGTTATCTTTATTTTATCATTGTTTGCTTCACCACTTTATTTCATAATCTCTTAAGTTTGTTGGGTTATTTCATAACCCTATGAAAGGTGATTTTGGTGCCCAGAAGGTGATTTTATGGCGAAAGTTGCGCCATCAAATTTTCTGAGGGGGGCATATTTTAAAGGGTTTTTGAATTTTTGAGGCGGTACATTTTACTGGGGTTATAAATTTTCGGAATGAAAGTTTTCAGAACATGGGGCTAAAGGAAAACAGAACAGACAGCAGCAAGTATGTATTATATATAAACTACGATTTTTCTAATTCTACTTCCTCTTGCTCTGATTTTAAGAATAGAAGAGCAATAAAATATCTTGGGAGGGATGGGAGGGATAGGTTCTTGTAAAATCGACCTTGAGGAGAGATGGGCACCCCTGTTCCATGACGAATGCCTGAAACATAATTTATTTTTGTATTTTAATATTTTCAGGGGTGTCCAGAAGAGGTTTTCAAAGCGCGTTTCACCATCAAAATTTCTGAGGGGGGCATACTTTGGCGTGTTTTTTTAAATTTTAGAGGGGAGCAAATTTCGATGGGTGTTATGAATTTTCGTAGCAAGAGACAAGGGGGTAAACATGGAACATACAGCAGCAAGTGTGATTTTAATTCTACCTTAGCTTGCTCTGTTTTTAAGAAGAGGTGAACAATAAAATATCTAGGAAGGGAGTAGGTTCTTGCGCCATCGATCTTGGGGAGGGTGAAACCACTGAGTACTTCTATGACTACAAACCCCAACCAACTTCTCTTATTAGAAAGAACAATCAATAACTTATCCAACCAATTCAATATCATTTTTTGTGTACGCATTTTGTTATTATACGTATTTTTCGGTCCCTTTCATCGGGGAAGGGGGATAAGATTTAATTTTAATTATGTATTCGAACATTTTTCGTTACACGCAAACAAGCTATATCAACTTATTTTCAAGCAGATAATATTTTCTTCATTATTTTACATATTTGGATATTAGAAGGGCGGAAATATAACCGAAGCCACTGGCGGATCTATGGCTTTTGTGCAGAGGCCCCTTCCCAAAATGGAAATTTATTTATTTTTTCATTGATCCATATTTTTTACTGTGAGTGATCTAAGCTAAATAATTAAACAATATTAATATATTTCATTTTAAAAGTTATAATGCATTTACCTCTGCTAGATATGACCACAAGCGGATCTACGGGGGAGAGGCTTTCGAGCTGAAGCCCCCCCAAAATGGTAAAATATTGAAATGTTTTACAGAAAAAAATATTAAAAACTATCTCTTAAAATATTCTTATTCGTGTAATTACATTTAATAGAACTTCAAGAACCACTTTAACACCATTTCATATAGGTTGTTAATTTTTTTCTAATTAATTATTGTTATATGTGTATGAAAAAAAAATCTTTCGGGCTGAAGCCCCCCTCCCCGAAATTAAATTCTGGATCCGCTAGTGGATATGACCACTGATGACAACAGTAGATATGAGTCGGTAATAGAATCAGCTTAATTAGATACGCGGAAGTGACTAGAATAACGTTTTGATTAAAACGACTAACTGAAATTGGCGCACAATGGACCCATTAGGGGTCGTCTTGCCCAGGGTCAACATTGAAAAAAAAAATGTATATATATATATATATATATATATATATATATATATATATACAATGGCGAGGTACTTTCAGGCTGAAGCGCCCCCCCCCCCCCAAAAAAAATGGTAAAATATAACCAGTTCTTATGAAAGAAATGTTGAAAAATTGTCTCTAAAAGTATTATTGTTCGTGTAAACATGAGAATCTGAGAATGTGTGCACTGTCTGATCTTGAAACCAGCCGCCACCTTGGAGTAGCGAAAGTGAACCAGTACCAAACTTTGATTATGTTATTAAATACTAGAAAATAAATAAAATCAAAAACATACAACAGCAACTCTGGGTTGGGCCATGGCTAGAGAGATATCGCTGACGAGACGCAAGGTCATAAACTGACAGTACCGGCTCTGAGCCTATCTTATATAAACAAACAGCAAATGCAGTAATGATTTCTTTATATCGATTGCTCAACCTAAATTATCTACTATCGATAGTAGATTATAATTAGCTTTTGATATCTAATTTGTTATCAGTCATTCTTCCGACAGTACTCATCGAGAGAAGTGATTGCACTTAATTCGTAACATTATTATACTCCTTTATAAACAATAATATTTAAAACAAAAAGTACAGAATCTGGCCGTATATTAGAAGGGGGGGAGAGGAAGAATCTGGTCAAATATAAAAACTAATTTAAAAAAAAATGATCGATAGCGATAGGTTTATTGTTGGTATTTTTAATATAAAAATGTACACCTTAAACTATTCTTTAGATTAAAATCTAAAGAATAATTTACGATTCAGCAAAAAGATGCACTTACAAAAACTACATTTTCAATCCAAAACGTAAGACTATTAAGAGCAGCTCCCCGGTACGTAAACAACACAACTTTATATACCGTCTTCCGACAACACATTATCGACCAACACTTATGAAATCTTTACTCACCGTTTCATATTAAATTACACGGACTCAACAATAGACTTATAAACGACATGCCTATTTTTTTTCATTCTTTTTTTTTTTTTAATGAAACGGAAAAGTTTACAAATATTCGTATGTGTCAGTTTTCGGCACGTCTTATCCAAGTTTTAAAAACCAAACGAATTAAAACTGGCAGCCTTTAGAATGAAAGAATTATAATGATATTGTGCAGGTATGTGTGTTTCTCGCCAAAAACGTAACGCGACACCTGTCGGGTTTCTAATCATCAGTAATTTTTTCGACCTATAAAACTAAATAAATAATGGGAGCTATAATACGCGACTACAAGAGGGATTCACGCTACAACTGCATCTCTTAAGCAGACCATACACGGTAATTCATGAATGAACGTCACAAGAAGTTCCAAGATTGCCCGCGATCGCTTTGATCATGAAGACCCTTACACGTTCAATCATTACTGATCATTACTTATCGTTGCTGATTTAGGTTAGATCGTTGCTGACCAATTTAGGGCAGTTGAAAACAAAGAAACAGCATAGATATTCTTATTTGGACATTGTCATTTATAATATTGGGCGTCAAGAGAAAAACGGAGATATAATAATTACTTCCTAGTGCCTGAAAAATATAAGTCAACTAGATACAAAAATCTAGAAAAAGTATTGCGAAAATAATCAATTTGTTAAGAAAAATGGAAAAATTAATGGCAAATATACACAACGATAATTTTTTTTTTTCCTAAAGTAAATTGTGAAGTTTCTCATTTTTTTTTTTTTTTAATTTGTTGCCCACTTGACTATTTAAAAGAAATAGTTGAAGATGGTTTAAAATTATATACAAGGGATATGAAAAATTATTTAACTATTTACATATAATGAAAATCAGAAATTTATAATGGTTGTGAGGCCTAGGTAACCTAACCTATCCAGCAGTATGGTTAGTCTCCCCACTACTTTTACCTCTGTCCCCCCTCCACTTCTCGTGAATGAACCTTTGATTTCCGGATGTTCGGAAATCCGCAGCGCACCACCATCAGTACTTCATTCACTACCTTACACGACAGTTCGGAATGTCATTAGTGCAATTCCGATTGACAGTGTAGGGTCTCCTTTAGATCTAGGTCATTCTCAACGCTTAACATTCTTCAATAACTGTAGTGAGTATCGAAAATTGGAACGTTTATAGTGTTATCCCTTTTTAATCTATTAAACACATAAGTTTGTTTTTATCTTTAATACTTTTTAAATGGACTAGCGATTTAAGAAGGAGAGATGGTGTCTAATGATATCTCACCCTGGATGTCTACTACCCACGATGTGGTCCTGTAATAATGCTGGAATATAACATACCTCAAGCTAAGTATATGCAACATAAATAATCACTCTAATATCTTATTCTAAAAAAAAAAAAACACCTTGCAACATACTATATTTTATTGTAATACTTATAGGAGAAAAGAAATATTTAAACAACAATTTTATATAAGCACTTTATTTGTTCATTACAATACTTAGTAAAAAATACAAAATAAATATAATCCTAAAACTTCAGTTTGTAGTCAACGTGTTATGTTGGATTCTATGATGAATAACATGTGGCTTTATTAATATTTTTACAATGTTCGGACATTGATTTTTTTTAAAATCTTTCCCAATATCTTAGTAATCAAATTATTCAGTATAAAGCTGGAGTGGGTCCATTTACGCAATCTATAATTTTACGGTCGTGCCAAAGAAAATCCCCTTTTGGCGACGTTGTACCAGCTGGTAGCAAAGCTGCATATGTCGGAGCGTCTGCACCTAGAATAAAATTAAATCATTAAATTGATCAATTAAATACATATTTTTTTATTTGAGGATGATATACAATGTATTTTAATTGATTATGGATCAAGTCAGACATGAAGTATGTTGGTGAATCCATTATTACAAAGCAGAATCATTATTTCAAAACCAAGCTCAAAGGATCCAAATTATTGCCTCATTGGAATATGAGGCCACCCGTAGTAAAATTCTACTTTATTAGAAATAAGGGATATTAGTTTGTTTGCTTAGTTTAATAGGTAATAAAACAGACAGGTAATCAATGTGTGTTGGTTTATTGGGATATGGAGTTTGTTGGTTATCAAACAATTCGAGCACGATCGAGAGACGTTCAAAGAACCGAAGAGACCATTCGGTGTCCAGAACATGATAAAATTCCACATGTGAGACGGTGGTTTGTTAATGTTGAAGACACAAGAATTGGTCAAAAGATGTAGATGAAAACCATATAAACCACCTAACCTATGTACATTCCGCTAATATTTATAATTATACAAATATGGAAAAGTTTAGATCATCGGAGCTAACATGCTCTGTGCGTCTCGCAGACCATCGATTCCCAGAGATCCAAGAAATAGTACTTATTGATAAAGGAAACTTTTAAAGTTAAGTTTTTCAATCGACAATGGGACCTTGTAAGGTCTTTCCCTAGCAGATAGCCCATAGGACTTCTTTGTTTCTATCCAAGTTCCTAGTAATTCCCTTCAGCTATCATTATTAATAAATTCTATTGTAATCTAATATAAACATTAACGTAAAAGCAAAGCAAAATCAATAAGAATTACCTTGCTCTACAGTTAGAAGTCCTTGTTGACTCGACATGTCAGTAATTACGTAACCTGGGTGGACATGGTTAATAACAATGTCTTCTCTGGAGTCCTCTAAGAATTCCCGGTGTTGGATTCTCGTCAAAGCGCTGACTGCAACTTTGGACACACCGTAAGCGGAATTCTGCCAGCCAGCTTCTGTATGAGTTCCAGCCTTCGCTTTTCTGTACACGTGGAAAACAGCTTTAGTCAATATCACCCAATGGGAAGGAGAGTGCAATGCGCAACTTGCGCTATCTATGTTAATAACGCATACTTACGAGATAAACTGGTTTATTAGATTTGTCAGATCTTTCAGAGTCAGGTTAGGATCGCCTAAAGTCTTCCTCAGGTCCTCGCCGGGTACCCTCCCCAGGAAACCTAAAGCACTAGAAACATTAACCACACGAGCATGAGGTCGAAGGAGCGGGAAAAGAGCATTGCAGACGTTTATAAGAGCAAAGAAATTCACTCTTAATGTTACTTCAGCTTGTTCTCCAAATGGTTCGGGTGCATCATGCTAAAAAAAAATAAAAAATAATAACAACAAAGAATATTACTCTAAAGGATTACTCTAATATTAGGATACTAATATTAAGGATTACTCTAAACGCCAATAAGACGAAAGCCATTCTGATCGGATCTCTCTCACTTCTCAAATCCATACAGATACTCCCCAATCTTTTCCTGAACAACTCACCTATCTCATTCCATACTTCCGTAAAAAAACCTTGGTGTTACATTCGATCAAACCCTCTCCTGGAAACCACACATCTCTGCTATCTCCTTCCATATAAATCCCGTCAACTCCTGGTTTCCTCCCTTTTGTTACCCCACTTCGACTATGGCTATCTGGTGTTCGGCGGACACTCGGGAGAATTTGAGGCCAAATTTAAACGCCTAATGAACTGCGCAATACGTTTTGTTTTCGGAATCTCAAGAGATACGCATATAACCCAGTATTACACCAAGTTGAAGTGGCTCTATCCATCCAACCGCCGTCTGTACTTCCTTGCTACCTTTCTATACCAAGTCATCAGAACTCAGCGGCCTTCCTATATTTTTCACAGCCTACAATTCAAATATTCCATTCAATCCCGTCTCACTAGATCTCGTACATCCGACCTCTATCTACTTCCCCACCGAACTGCAGCGTTTAACAAATCCTTTATAATTCAAACCATCTCCTTCTGGAATACCGTCCCTCCCTATATCCGACATGTACAATTAGTTTCCTCATTTAAATCTCTCTTTTTTAACCACCTACTCCTTTCCCAACCCGATTGATCATGAAATGCAGATAAGAGAACTTTTAAAGTTCCCCCAGAAAGAATTTTCTTTACTTATGCTATTTGCCACGTTTGTTTTATACATATCAGTTATTTTTTTAGTGTAATAAATCTATTTTTTGTTTTATTCTTTTTCCAAAATCTTAATCTTAATAAGAATTGTAAATAATTAATTTTATGTATGGCCACACAGGCATTTATTCTGTAACTGTAATTTGTCCTAAAGGGACAACAGTCCCAGGATAATATAAAAAATATTTCATTTCATATAAGCGGATGTACTGAAGAAGGCTTTACAAAATACTTGAAACCACACTCCGATTCATCATTTGATCACTGTTGTAACTAAAAAATAATACATTTCTATAAGAATAAAAACCTTGTAAGCAATGGCGGCGTTGTTAACCAGTATATCGATTCCACCATGCTTCTTCCTAATGAATTCAGCAAAGTTGGCGACACTGTCAGCATCATCGATCTCCAATTGGTGGAATTCAGGTTTTAAGCCCAACTATCATAAATAAAAAAGAAAACTTATAAAGGATTACAATAAAATATATATAAAAAACTTAAATAAAACAATTAAATATTTAAAATTCACCTTGTTCAACTCTTCTACAGCCTTTTTACCCCTTCCTACGTCTCTAGCAGTTAAATACACTATACCATCGAATTGTTTACAAAGATTCCTGACAATCCCAAAACCGATTCCTTTATTGGATCCAGTTACCTGCAATTTCAGAAGTAAGTAGTTAAATTTTTGGAACTAGTTCCTTTTCGTTACTCAAAGATGGCGGCTGGTTTCATTATAACCCAGATTACGCTACTCCTAATGTGTTCGAAAGAAGATGGAAGACTTTGCTTTAGTCTTGCCGGAAATCGTAATCGAAATAATGAATGGCAAATTAGGAAGATCATACAGGTCTGTTCGTACCATGCCTTAGGTTTGACTTTTTCTCTCTAACTACTCAGATTTATCTCAAATTTTTTGTTTGATTGTTTTTAAATAATGTTTTATCTGTTTTGAACTTATCTTGATCAAGGAATTGGATATTTAATGTGTCAGCTAGTGGAGCCTTATAATGGGTACTTTTGCCAGTAGTTGATAGGCATGTACTTTCATAAATTCAAAGAGATAAACGTAATATAACGAGTCTTAAAATAGGACCACTCACTACTGTCTCATAGTTGGATTAAATATATAGCAAAAATAGGTTCTCATATTGCCATAATGGTGAGCAGACGATAAATGCACAACCAATACCGGAAGGACCACTGCCCAGTCCCAACGATGAACCCGTCTTCTCTACCTTCAACCAGCTGGAGTCGACACTACGGCGCACCAAAGGAAACAAAGCGTCTGGACTGGATGAGATTCTGTACGTACTGCTGAAGATGCTCCCTAGGAAGGGTAAAGCCTTTCTACTGAACATCTTCAACTCATGTCTTCGAATCTCATACTTTCCTACCGCATGGAAACAAGCGATCGTTGTACCGTTACTAAAGCCGGCGAAGAACGGGGACTCAGCTGAGCACTATCGTCCGATCAGCCTCCTCTCGCACATCAGCAAGATTTTCGAGAGGCTAATCCACCATCAGCTTATGAAGCACTGCTGGAAAGAGAGCATCATACCACCAGAGCAGACTGGTTTTCAGAGAGTGTGAATACCTAGCTAAACTTCAGTTCTATACAATCGATGAAATGACTCTCAACAGAGCTACGGCGCTCATCTACTTTGACTGCGTGCCCCACACGCATCTACTTCGCCGTCTGGAAGAGTTCAGGTTTCCTACCACTCTATGCCGACTGATCCTAAGCTACCTCAGTGGAGGATCTCTCGTCGTTGGTACAGACTACTCAAACCAAGTCGATACCACCTGCGGAGTACCTTAAGGGTCTGTGTTGGGGCCAATACTGTTCGTCGTTTTCACGGCGCCAGTGGTGGCACTCAAGCATCCAAAGGCGGTAGTAGCAGCCTATGCGGAGGACATTGGCATATATGCTTCCACCGTCAACGCGGAGACTGCACTCACTCTGGCACAGGATGCTTCAGCCACAATTGTTGAAGAACTAGAAGAGATCGGTATCAGAGTGAACCCTGCGAAGACCGCTGCTATAGTCATGTCGTTTCAGAAGGGAAAGAAGCATCTACCCACACAATTCACCGTTGGAGGAGCTTATCATAAAATCTATACCTCGGCGTCACGCTGGATAGACATTTAACCTTCTCCAATCACGTTAGGCAGAGGATCAAGCTGGCACGAAAGAAGTCACGCCGGCTCTAACACCTACTGACATCGCCGCAGCTCTCGCTGAGACTCAAGCTCCAAATTTATAAAGCTATTACAAGACCTCCACTGTTCCACGGGGCCCCTCTCCTGCGATACCTATATAAATCCACGCTTACGAGTCTCCAGGGCTTCCAGAATTCTATCCTTCGGCGAATTGCCCGTGGTACCACCCTACAAAGGGCTAAGAATCAAACAATACGTGAGGAGCTCCAGCTCCCCTCGGTACCTGAGTTCATAGGCCGGAGGCACATCAAATTTTTTGATGGGCTGAAGGCCTGTGCAAACCCACTGTTCAGTGAGATCTCACCACCACCCAGACCTGGGAGGTGGCAAGGTAAACTCCCTTTGGTGGACATACTCGCCGATGGATGTGGTCTGGTCTCTGCGGTCCAATCCCATTAATGTGTATATATTGTTAATAATAAATAATTAGCAGAACGGTCCCTCCCCGTTCAATGAAAGTTACAAGCCCTTCTGCCACATATGTTACCCTTAGCTATCCCCAATCCTTAAAATGCCCTCGGGCAGTGGAGGGATTTTTTACTTGTATATATTGTATTGTTATGTAAACTATATGTGTAAATTAATTAAATAAACATTTTGGGGGGTTAGAAAAAAAAAATCATATTGCCATAAACAGGTTGTTGACAGTGATCAGCATTTATTGGTAATTGTAAGTCAAGAAACGCAAAAAGTTAATTTTATAATAAGTTAAAGGCAATTTTTGTTAATCTTAAAATGAATAGTATGAAATTTCGCATAATTACATGCTTGTTCTCATCCCTGTCAGTTATAGCACTAGCGGATCTAGGATTTAATTATTTTTTTGGGAGGTGCGGGGGGGGGGGGCTTCAACACGAAAGCTTTTTTTTTCATAAATATAACGATAATTACTTTGGAAAAAAGAAAAATACTAACTACATATATGAAATGGTGTTTTAGTGATTCTTGAAGTCCTATTAAATGTAATTATACGAACAATAATACTTTAGGAGAGAATTTTGAACATTTATTACCACAAAACATTCAGCCCGAAAGTCCCTCCCACCCTCCAGTAGATCCGCCTGTCAGCTATAGGAACATTCCCCAACAGTATCAGCTACTTGTACAACAAAACTATTCTCTCAATTTTCAATTTTTAAACATTTAGATAAATGTTCCATGGATTTAAAATATACCTTGTTAAGGTAAGAAATAGATCTATAAGATGAATCCATGAAAAATATAATAACATCAATATTTAAGTTTTTACACGTAAAAGTTCAAAGAAATTTCCTTAATCATGATAGCTGCTGGTTCCTTTATCCTACTGTAATTTTATATTCCCTTACTTCGTTACTGTTATTTTATTCGTCCAAGCTTTCTAAACGTTACTTTTTATAACTTCCTAAATATTTATATCATATATTCTCCATTTCTTATATTTATTAATGTTAAGTTTAAATACCTACCCATTATTTTACCATCATATTATTAATATCATATCTATTATTTCCTCAGTATTTATTTGTTGTCTTTTCTTTGCTTAGCCCTGATGTAGCTCGAAACATCGGTACAAAGAAAATAAATATATATATTTTTTGTATTTCTATGACTGCAACAACTTTTCTTATAAGAATCAACAGTCAACAATTTCTCAAAAAAAAAAAATGAGTAACATTTTTTCTCCGTATATATCATTGGTGCGGGAGGGTAAGAATTGATTTTAAATACCATGTTAATATTTTTTGTTGAAGAAAACGAGTTTTTTTTACTTTCACTTACGTATATATGTAATATATAGTAATGGTAAGTATTGCGATCGAGAAAATTTTTGAATCTGAGTTTTCAACGGAAATACCCGTTTTGGGGTACCCTGAGTCCAAATAACCAATTCCCGAAAAATGGTCTGTGTGTTTGTATGTTAGCAGTCTAGCTCAAAAACGAAAAGCCCTATAAAGCTGATATTAGGTATTTAAGATAGGTATATGCCTTAGATGTGACAGCAACTTTTTCCTTAAAATCAGCTCACCGGAAATGCCAGTTTATATCAACGCTGAAATACATTTTCACAATTTTCTCAAAAACTGCTCTAACGATTTTGATTAAACTCGGTGTATCATTGTAAAATTAAGTGGTCTTCAATATCAATTAGGTCTTGTCCCCATTTATGTCACCTTACAGGGCTTAAATGCCCAATGTTCATATACGTCTTCCTCTAAAGTACCTTTAATATGTTTTTTTTTTTTTTAAGTTAATCATTTCAGATTATTTAGAGTTACGAAAAAATGCTAAATATTTCTTTTGAAAGAATTTGATAAGTTAATAAAGGAGATAAAAAAACATGAAGAAAAATCTACGTTGCTATAGACTGTAGCAACGAAACGAATGTACCGATTTCAATGAAACTTCTCTAAAATCATTTTCTCGACACCCTTTAAATTTATCTATATAACATAATCAACATACGATATAACACACGAATCTATGGCTTTTGGGTTGAGGTCCCCTCCCAAAATGGATTTTTTATTCATTGATCCATATTTATTACTTTGAGTGATATAAGCTAAATACTTAAATAATAATAAGAGGTTTCATTTTAAAAATTATGATACATATACAACTACTGAATATATGTGTTTTATGAAAAAAATTACTTCTAAAAGTAACACACTTAAACATATTTTCATGTAGGTAGTTAGTTACTGTATTTTACTACGGGGGAGAGAGGGAGGCTTTCGGGCTGAAGATCTCCCCCCCCCAAAAAAAAAATGGTAAAATGTAACCATGTTTTATAGAAAAAAATTATTTCTTAAAGTATTATTGTTCGTGTAATTACATTTAATAGGATTTGAAGTATCACTTCATTTCATATAGGTAGTTAATTTCTTATTTTTTTTTTCAAAGTAATTACCGTTATATATATATGAAAAAAAATAGTGGGCTGAAGATCCCCCCAAAAATTAAATCCCGGATCCGCTACTGACCCAAGCTAACTTGTATAAGTTGAGGCACCTATATCAGATATAAACATGAATCTTAGAATAGTGTGCACTGGTTGATCATGAAACCTGCCGCCACCTTGGAGTAGCGAAAGTGAACCAGTACCACTTTGATTGTGTTGTTAAATACTAGAAAATAAATAAATAAAAACATACAACAGCAACTCTGGGTTGAACCATGGCTAGAGAGATATCGCTGAGGAGACGCAAGGTCACAAACTGACAGCACCGGCTCTGAGCGTATCTTATATAAACAGACTGCAAATACAGTAACGATTTCTTTATATCGATAGCTCAACCTAAATTATCTACTATCGATAGTAGATTATAATTAATATTTGATTACTGATTTTTTACCAGTCATTCTTCCAGCAGAACTCATCGAGAGAAGTGATTACACTTAATTCGTAACATTATTATACTCCTTAATAAACAATAATATTTAAAACAAAAAGTACAGAACCTGGTCGTAACAAAGAAGGGGGGGGGGAAGAGGAAGAATCTGGTCAAACATAACAACTAATTTCCAAAAAAGTTATCGACAGCGATAGATTTATTGTTAGTATTTTTAATCTCAAAATTTAAGATAAGATAAAATGTAAAAATAATTTACGATTCAGCAATAAAGACGCACCTACAAAAATTACATTTTCAATCAACAATTGTTAGACAATTAACAACAGCTCACACTAAATTACACGGACACAACAATAGACTTATAAACGACATACCTATTAGAAGATAACTGAAAAAGGAGCTGGATGAGAGATCTTCTTTCCTAAATTGATGAAGCGAATAACAGCAAGAGTTACTACGACTACACTTTTGCTTATTGTCAAACTCATGATAGGTGTGGATTAAAGTTCAAAGAAGAAAAAATCTAATGAATTTCATGTATAAGTCTATTGAAAGTAATTATGAATAATTGTATTTATAATTCACCCTCTCGACCACAGGCGGATCTAGAGGAGCGGGGCTTTCGGGCTGAAGTCCCCCCCTCCAAAAATAGTAAAATATAACCATGTTTTATGGAAAGAAATATCTCTTAAAGTATTATTGCTCGTGTGATTACATTTAATAAGACTTCAAGAATCACTTAAACACCATTTCATAAAGGTAGTTAGTTGTTTTCAAAGTAATTATCATCATTTAAATATATATAAATGAAAAACAAGCTTTCGGGCTGAAGCCCTCTCCCCCCTCCAAAAAAATTAAATCCTGGATCAGCTAGTGCTACCAACCACACTTTTTGTCCGCGAATTTCTTATTAAAGAAAGGGGCAACACTGATACATGATATTTAAAAAATTGGACAACGATTACAAATCTTTCACTTACCACTTTGCTTTAAATAATCATCTATTTTTGCTCAAACAGAACCAGTTAATAATTAAATCTATTATAAACTTCTAAGTTATTCAACCACGGTAATTATAATTTATTTTATTTTAAATAAAATTTATTTTTAATGCATTAATAATTGATTGTCGTAGATATGTAGAAGAGAAGTTGGTTGGCGTATTCAGTCGGTATTCAGTATTCAAATAAATAAATACTTGTTTGACTTCTCTTACAAAAATTTATAGTTATAAAATTTTAATTTAACTCATCTGAAAAAATGGATGATTCTGAGGGATCACCAAATCGTATACATTTTTTTGGAATATTTATTTTTTCATCAAAGTTCTCAATATTAATTATCTTTATTTATTATATTTTTCTTTCTTTTGGGTTTAACATTATCCAATGAATTGTATATGACTCATAAATAATATTGAAATAAAAAAATAGAATTTAAAAAATATATAACGATTTTACACTATCTTAAGATAAGTGTAATTAATTCGATCTATTCGATATCGTTTCGTGCACGCCGGAATGAGTTATATAAACCACTCGAGATCGTGTTTACAATTTTTTGTGATATACAAACTTTTTTAAACTTTCCATCAATCGAAACGTCTATTCAATTATTTTGGAAATTTGATCCACCCAATAAATATAGTTGGTCTATCAATATAATCTCCCTCCACAGGAGAAATAAAGAATTTAATATCTTGTGCAGTGCAAAATTTTAACAACCCACCCTAATTTGAGTAGAAATTAATTTCTGAAATAGCTAATACTTAATTATAATCATGTCTAATGTCAGTAAATTAAAGTCAAATTATCAAAATATGGTTAAAAACAAGACATAGATCATTACTACTTAACATGAGAGCCAATATTTGCAAATAGGTCTAGTTATAATACTTGTAAATTAAGTATAATTACAGGATCAATCCAGTACAACCATTTTTTTTAGGCCCAGGTGGAACTTAAATTTTTTTAAATATAAAAATGATAACATTCACTAAATAATATTGAATTAAATAATTATTATGAAATAAAGTTATTAAGCAATAATAAAAAAAAAAACTCATAGAACTTCCTTTGAAAGTGGATGCCAAGCTATATGTTAATTATTACCAAATCAAGTTAAAGGTACTTTAGAAGAAGCATTTTGAAAAATAAACATTTAAGCACTATCAGGATATTATTTGATTAAATATAAACCTGGGTGAGATTAAATATAATTTATTTGTTCATTGATATAATCCATTTAATTAAAATCATTAAAGCCATTTTTGAGGAAATTATAAAATCAAAAATATAAAGCGCTATTTCTGGTAAATCAATGTAATTGAAAAAGTAACTTTAACATCACAGGCATAGATAGATAGATAGATAGAAAGTAAACTTTATTCTGGGACAAGGTCCCTTATGAATAACAGATATGAACAAAAAATAAAAACTACATCTGGCCAAAAATTACATTAGTCAATATTAAAGAATATATAGTATCTTCAGTAAAATTAAATTAAAATAAGTAAAAATAACACCATTTTGAAAAGAAAACAAAATAAAAAAATACATTATTTAAATTAAAAGAGAACAAAATAAAATAAACATGGTTGATTTTTAAAATTAAAACTCTTATCAATTTTTACAACCATTCACTTCAGTCAAAATCTGTTTCGCAATATTTATTTCATTGTATAACGTCATTTTGGGATGTGAGAAGGAATTGGTAAAGATGATATTTAAATGAGGACAAGGAAGAGGAATGGCGGATTTCAGAAGGCAAGGAATTCCAGAAGGCAGTGGATCGGGCAATAAAGGAATATTCAAATGTGTTAGTTCTATGGGAAGGAATATAAAGGTCGGAAACACGGGATCTTGTTTTCTGGGAGTGGATCACAGGTTAAAACTGTAGGAGACTGTAAATGTAGGAAGGGTGTCGGGTGTTGATCGTTTGGAATAGGTAAGATCGAAGGAAATACTGTCTGCGGAAAGAAGGGAAGAGCCACTTTAACTCTTCGTAAAGGTGAGACACATGAGACCGCCTCGATGTACCGAAGACAAATCTTAAGCACGTAAGGCATAGGCATACCTGACCAGATAAAGTGGAGCCATAGATAATAGAATCCACTATGGATTAAAAAAATTAATATAAATATAAAATATGAATTTCTTAAAAATTGACAGGTTTATATTTCAACATTCAGTGAGAAACTAATTCCCCTCAAATTAAATTCCTATCCTTTAATTGACCTCTCTTCTATGACATCATGTAAGTTCTCAGGAACTTCTAAATTTACTTTAAAATAAAATACAGATAACATTATATGTATCATATCACATCTTTCCAAACATTATAAAAGGTTTTGATTGAATTTTAGTGGTAAATATAATATTTAACAAGGGGCCAGGAAAATTATACCTGAGGTTCTTGGTTTCTCTTCACCTCCCTGTTCTCAGCCATATATTTATCCTAAATACCTAATTTTAGTTCCACATAAAGTGTCATTTGTGAGTTCGGATGTAAACATCTAAAGAACATTTGGTTTAATATTGAATAGTCATTTCACCATAATACACATGTTTTTTATGAATGCCTCAATTATCGTACATTTTTTAATGAGCAAGAAGTTTCACAAAATAAATCTAAGGTATTAGGAAAAGATGTAAATGCAGTCACAAATTTATTTTAAATTCTACATTATTATTAATGAAATTAAAAGATTAATGATATAGAGTTATATGAATTCTACTCCATTAAATTTAATTTAACATTTTTAAAATTTATTCTTGTTAATTTTTTTTTATATTTTTCAAATTTAATTTTTTTTTTTCCCTTTAGTAAATCAAAAATTATTAAAAGATCGGGTGTTGATGACTGTGATGTTTTACCTCTGAAACAGTAAAGAAAAAAACATTTTCTATGACAATTGGGTTTCAATTTTTTTAGTTTTATTTATTTGATGAAATAATCTTAATTTTATGTTTTTTTTGCTAATGTGTCTCGGAGAGAGAGCCTACAAAACTATGATTCTTCATTTAATTCTCCCAATACTAAGATAATTGAAAAATAATATGAAACAAAGAGAAATTATGTCACAACATATTTCTATTCCGTGTTACCCAAAAGAAAATGAAAGGAAGACAGAAAACAAAAAATCATTAAAAAATTAAATTAAGGATGTAGTGTTTTAAGTGTCCTATCAAAACATGGTGCAATATATCCTTTTAGATCTTAAAAATAACTTGCAGATAAGGAATACAAATATTTTTGTTTTTTTTAGAGCCTAGGATTGCTTCAAATGTTGAAAACATGAAGTAACATAAATTAATAAAGGACAGTTAAATAATCATGATCATTATACACAGATATGAGTGTTTAATGTGATTATTAAATTGAGATTGATTGAGTACTTGTTTTTGTTGATATCTTTTCTGTTTGTATAATTTTATTATAATTATACTGAAGGCACTTTAAAGAAAAGACACAAATAGTTTTCTGGTTCTGAAATGTAAGTTGCAAAACCAATTTTATGATTATATTGTAATGAGTGGCTAATTCTTGCTTTAATCGTTTGTTGTTGTTGTTTTGGCAGGTGACTATTTTTTGTTACATCAATAATTAATATAGAAGAAAAAAAAATTATAAAATGATGTTTAAGTAATCCTTTATCCTTTAAGGCATGTTAATGAAAAAAAAACAAAAACATATTTACAGATATAATAATGCTTTCAGGAGAAAAAATTATAATTATTTTATGATAATGGATTGATGATTGACAGTAATTGAGGACGAGTTAGTTTGGGTTTTTAGTCAAAATATAAAGCAAAAATAAATAAATTATATTAATTTTTATCTTAATAATAAAATAAATATAATTTATTTATTTTTACTTTATATTTTGATTGAAAACACCAACCAACTTTTCACCAGGTATGATTTTTTTCTTGATTTGTGTTTACATTTAGTAGCTGTACATGCATCATAATTTTAAAATATTACAAATTGTGATTGTATAAATATTTAGCTCACATCTCTCAAAGAAACAAATACGGAGCAATTAAAAAAAATATTTAGGTGAAAGGTATAGTTAAAAAAATGTAGGTAAAATAAACTTAAAGTAAAATAAAGTAGGTAGAATAAACTTAATGTAAAATATAAAACAACGATAACAAAGTTAGGGATAGAAAGTTTATTCTATTATTATCTGTTTTTTTCTTAGTCTAGATAAAGGCCTGAATTTCGGACCGAAACATCTGGAAAAATAAAAAAATATATACATATTTATTTTTAAATTTTCTTTTTTTTTTTACTGATCACCTCAGCCAATCTTCTCTTAAAAAAAAAATTAAATTATTTATTATTCAGCCCGAAAGCCACCAGTACACAATTAGCAAAGCCCTCCAATCAAAAATCGAATTTTGGTTTCCTCCACCAGCTTCAGCTTTCTATTACAGTCACTATAATCCTCAGATAGAATCAGCAGTGGCGAATCAAGACAAATTTTCTCTTTGTTTGGATCAGCTCTGTAGTTGAAGCATATAAGTTGATCGTGCATCTTGAATACAGAATACTTAGTCCAATAATACATCTGTCCAGGTTTTATAATTAGTTCTGATAAAATGATAGTTCAAAGAAATAATAGAATAGTTTTCATTACGGATGATAAATAGTCAGAACTTAGACATTTTGAGATTTTTATTGTTGCCGATGTTTCAACACATGCCCTAATGAAAACCCACGAGCTTGGGTTGAAACATCGGCAACAATAAAAATCTTAAAATGACTGCACCCTGACAATTTATCACCAATATCTAGAACAGTTGACTAATTTGATTATGTTTATATCATAATAGAATGAAAAAATCAGATGCAAGTATCATTAAACACTCTACTGTGAGCAGCAATTATTTTCTAGCAAATTTGGGCTGTTAAAAAGGTATTGAAGAATTTTCAATTAAACTTAAGGATCATTTGATTTTTCACTGATATAGGGAGTTTAATTAAATTTCTTAGAGCAGTTCACGGGTGGATCTACGGGGGGGAGAGGGCTTTCGGGCTGAAGCTGCTCCCAAAATGATAAAATATAACCATGTTTTAAGGAAAAATATATTAAAAAATTATCTCTTAAAGTATTGTTGTTAGTGAAATTACATTTAAAAGGGCTTAAAGAATCACTTAAACACCATTTCATATAGATAGTTAGTTTCTTTCTTTTTTTACAAAGTAATTATCGTAATTTTTATGAAAAAAAAAAAGCTTTCGGGCTGAAGCTCCCACCAAAATTAAATCCTGGATCCGCTAGTGGAGCAGTTTAAGAGAAAATTGTATAAAATTAATAATATAAAGTAGCATTTCCAGTATAATTATTTTAGGAAAAAAATGGCTGTAACACCCCAGCTGCTTTAAATACCTAACTAAGTTTCATAAGACTTTTCTTTTTGAACTAGGCTGTTCATGTACACACATAGCCCATTTTGTACTACTAGGTTATTTGGGATTCAGGAGAACTTAAAATGTATATTTTCATTGAAAACTCAGATTCGAAATTTTTCAAGATTGCAATATTTATAAATATGTGAAAATAGAAATAATATTGGCTATGAAGAAATAAAAATTTCATAAGCTGAAATCTCAAAATAATTAAGCTCAATTAACACCATTTCCAGAATAATCTATTAGCATTGCATATCTATACTAACTAGATACAATGAAGACAGGAAATTTTAAGGAAACAAGTTGTGATACTCATAAAAAAAATATTTTATTGGACTGGAATGTATGTAACAGCATAAAGATAAATAACCTCCTCGCTTATGATAACAATGTTAAAATAAATAATATCATAACAAAATCTTAGAATGAAATATTAACTCAATATAAAAATTATATTTACAATTCATAACAAATATTATAAACTAAACACCCAAAGCTGCCTTTAATTCACTTAAAAGCATTGATCCAACGACTAACTTTTCACAGTTAACGGTAATATCAGCATCTTTTGAATCTCCTGGTATTAATTTCACATTAACCAAAACTAGTGACTTCGAAGACAAGGTTTGGCCACAATATCTGAAAAAAACAAATACCATTAAATATTTGTTGTTTTTTTTCTTATCCATAAAGAGATTATCATCTAAAAACAAATACAGATTATAACAATAGAGAAAGAAAACACTTAATCTCTGATTTAGAATTAGTATGACATAAAGTGATTTATATTATTATGATTTTTAAAATGTATATGACACAATGAGGCCATAATCTTTTAATTTTTATTTCAATTTTTATTATATTATTTTAAATAATGAACGTTTGCAATATACCAAGAAAAAGTAATATGTTAGCCTCCTTCAAATTTTTTTGCTATACATTTAGATGAGTAAAATCTGAAAACTTAAAAAATTGGTATATCCACCATTTGTCCAAACCCGTCCACAGCTTTCTTCTGAGACTACTTCAATCGTTTTAAACACTTTTTGTCACTGAAGGCAAAAGCAAATGGGTGTTCAAGAGTTACTAGCACTTTTTTTTTTTTTTATTTATTTATTTTTTTTTTTTGTTCTTCCCTACCTCGACTTTTAAGCTATACGGGATTTTCCCGGGCCGGGGGATGAGGGCGGGGAATTTAAAATCCCCTCCGGCACCGGGACGCGAACTCGTACTTTTTATATCATCTCAAATCTCTGTTATCCGGTTGCCAGGCAACTAGCGGTGCTGTTACATAAGCTTTAGCCTATTCGGCCACCCCACCCCCAGAGTTATTAGCACTTAATTAATGAGTCAGGAGGATGGATATGACAGAATTATTTAACACCTAGCATTTGCGGATGACGTATTCATTACAGGAAGGACATCCAATGAACTCGTAGGAGCCTTCGAGAAGTGTGAAGAAACTGTAAAAAGTGTTGGACTGGTCATAAATAAAGACAAAACTAAATATGTGTTAACAATGAGGGAGATGAAAGGTACTAAATTATAATGTACATCTTTATTGAAAGTGAGTAAAAAGGTTTTAATAAATCAATGTTGAACAATTAAAAGGCAAGCTAATCTAGTTCTACTAGTGCAGCGAAAAGAAAATGGCTACTCTGTAATTTCCCGAGAAGGAAAATCCCAAAGAGGAGAGGGACAAAGGTTTTTGTTTTTGGCAAGCAGTTGTTATGTGACTGCAGTGAAGAGAGGTTAAGAGAAGATATCCTATCCTGGCTACAGGGGGTAAAACCCAGTAATAGTTTTACCATCTTAGAAGATCGTGTTTGGCAGAGAGAATAGTTGTTTGGAATTGCAAGAGAGAGGATTTCCCAGAGAGCTTGAGTTGAGTGGAAGAATAGTGTTACCATTTTGGGATATGTGTGTGGCAGAACATAAGAAAATGTGTGAAGACAAATGAGTTCAGTGCCACAAAGGAACAAACATTGTATACAGAAAAAAAGTTAGCTTGTCAATTCATACTTGACTTTATTTTTAAACTAGTGTTTAATTTTAATATAAAAAGTATAAATAATAATAGTTTGTCTGAGTTGATCTGATTGTCAGTAACCCACACCTGAGATAAATAAATATATTAATATTCTTATAATTTTGCTTATTATTAAACAACCTCTTATTTATTTAGGAAATATCCCAATGGTAAGAAGTGAGCTTCCGAGGTTTTTATTATTATTTGTAAAATATAAGAGAGATGTTACAAGATATATCGAGAGAGCTGGACATCGTTAGAGTACTACAATTTAGGTATCCAGGCACTGTTATCACTGAGAATAACAACATAAGAGAAGAAATAAATGCAAGGATCGCAGCTGGTAATAAGTGTTATTGGTCCCTAAGAAAAATCATTCGAACTCATGATATACCAAGGACCATAGCGCCATCGGATGATGATGATGATGAATTAAAGAGACAAAGTTTGCTGATCTACAGATTAAAAATGTTCCAATGCCGAAAAGTTTGGTAAACAAAACAGTTGCAGATTAGAATGAGATGAAGTTATTCATAAAGTTTTAGTTGGATGTTAAAACTTTAATGGCTGCAAGTCTATTTAGCATAAAAAATGTTGCCAAGAGCCAGTAATATTTTTGAAGAATTAATTTTAAAACATTTTATTAATAACCAATAACTCTCGGCAGTAGTATCACACACATGTCGTGTGAGTGGCAAAGTGTTTATAATTTGATTAAAATGGTACAACAACTAAAAATAGCGCTTAAAAATTAAGAAGATGAATTTTTTTTTGTACAAACCTCTTTGGACTCAGGGGACCATAAAAGATCTAAATCAAGTGTCATATCAAACAATTTTTTAATGAATAACTAAACAATTTTTTTATCAGAAGCAAACAAAGTGATATTGGCGAAACATTAAGACTAACCTGTAAATATCAGGCTCAACAGCTGGCATAAAACCTAAATTGGCCACTTCAAATATACGCTTAGATATTTGGTTTAGATCACATTTCAATTTTAGAGGGCTTTGATGTTCATTCATTCCTTTCAGCTTATCTGTAAAAAAAATAAATAATAATAAAGCAAACCAACATTAATAAAAAATAAAAATATCATCAATCTTGCCAATTGATTAGTTAAGAGAAAAAATATAATTAATATTGTTTAATGATAGCACCAGAAGAAGCTTAAGTTATTTATTCTTATTTTTACAGGCAATTTCAATAAATAACAAAAATCTTTATGTATTATTTCTCAAAGATATTTTTTTGTCGGTACGCCATAGGTTCGTTAATTTTTTATCAAATTCAATTATTGAGTCATAATTTCGAAGATTGTCTTCTCCTTTAGGTGAGAAAAATAGAATCATCCCCCAAAAATTTCAAGACAAAAATTATAAACAAAAATGAAATTTATTTGCGCCCTAATTCAAAAAGTATACAAATTATAGGCGATTATACCAATAATTATTTTAAAGGTTCCTGAAATCTATAAAAGCAGACCAGTATATGCGATGATATGGCCAAGTATTACGAGAATGACCATGGGACCAGTATTTCGATGAGATGCTCATCATCAAATCCCTTCTTGGACATTGTTTGCTATTGTCTAATTGAACAACCAAAAAAGAACAAAAGGTGGGAAACGCCATGCTAACAGCAATAGTCCCTCTGATATTAGATATTATTAGTTGGAAAAGTAATAGTAATTATTACATAATTGATTTGTAATAAATATCATATATTTGTATGAGGAGTTAGTCGAGGGTGCGGTCAAATAAATAAAAAAATTAAAATAATTAATATATTTTTATTTTTTTATTTTTTTGACCGCACCCTCGACTAACTCCTTCTCATATTATATCAACGGTCAAACATCTCTACATCATATATTTGTAATTAAATTACAGCAGACGATGTTTTATCATTTTATCAATAGTAATCAGTAAATCAACACTTTCATTAAAAAATACAAACCGATTTTTCAATGGGTGGATTTTAGTATTAACCTGATATTAAAATTTGTTGGATTCTTTAATTTATTAAGTATTGTTTGGATTTAGGTATATTTGTATTTATCTGTAAAATATTGTTGGTGGAATAAATAAAGAAATAAATAATCTTGTTACTTCAACCTTAAAAAATAATTTACTATTGCATTGTTTCAGTTTTAAACAATATTTCTTATAATTTTGCCAGACTTGAAAGAAACATAGACAATAAAACGTATCAAGGTGACTGTTATCATCAAAATAATGCTCTGATATGATAAAATAACCTACAACCGCCGAACCGCCAACAGCTCCACTGCTTCAAGAGCGGTCAGATAGGAGCAGCTTAGATATGATGTCATACCTACAAGCAGTGGTCTAAAGCAGTCGCGGCTGTAGGCCGTGCCAGCGAAATAGTACCTTTAGGAAGACTTTTGGGCAGCTAAACTAAGCTAAATTCTGTTTTTAAAAAAATTGTAAATTATTCAGGTTTTTTTCATCATCATCTAACTCTACTACAGATAACCTACTTTTATAAAAACTTCTTCGTTTAATAAGCTTTAAATATGTATTAAATAAGTTTTTGATTTATAAGGGTAAAATTTGAGATTCACCTGAAGCCCAAGTTTAACCGCTCAAAAGCACTCTTTAGATGGTTTTATCAATGACAAACTATCTTCATTTGAAGTAAATTTTGTCTAGTTTACATTGAAGCAATTGCTCATTACATACATAAAATATTTATTTAGTTATTGCTTCCTATTCAACAAAAAACACGATTTACTTAAAAAGTAAAACACAAAACTTGGAATTCCTATGTTTCCGTTGAAAATTAGCCCATTGTTTATATGAACTTTTTTGTAGCTCTTAAGATCTGCTATCACCGCAGTAGAAATTTCTCTCTATTTACACCCTGTATAAAGGCAGTTCTAAATATACTCTTGACAATTAATATACAACCATTGTTTAAGAATAAATGATTCAATATAAATATAAAAATGTTCTATATTTTATCAATTTCTTAAGCATTTTTATTATTGAATATTACTACTTACTTTGCTCTTCCATAAATAACTGCTGCGGCATTGATATGGCTCGAACAAGCTCTCCGATCGGAACCTTCAGTGTAATACTTGCAGAACCTTGGCTCCAAGAGATTTCGAACTGAGCAGGCTGAGTAGAATCATTAAGGTCGAGCCCGATTGTGCCGATAGCACTTCCGTGAGGAGGTATAGTGTTAACGGGAGCAAATTCATACATACTCATTCCGTTGGGTAAACTCTGGAATAAGGAATTTTTCACATTTTTTTTTTTTAGCAATGAATATTATGGAAAGTTAATTAATAAGAGAAGACATTTAATAATAATAAAAAAAAAAAATACCTTTGAGGAAACTTTGATGTCCGTAAAAGTATCGGTATTGGTATGGTTGGTAAACTTCAATTCGACAGAGGTCATTTTAGGTGAATACAGGTGAGGCTGCCTGGTGTACCTAGCCTCGACAGCTAAACCTCTTCCAGTCACTTTATTCAAAACTTCTACACCTTTCAGAGGTATATGGTTTGGCCCAACCAACTATGAAAAAAATTATCATATACAACAATATAAGAATATATTGAAACCAATTAATTTTACTATATAAATAAAGGCAGTATTTTTCACCACATTAATTCCATTTATCCTTTACAGTAGCTACATTTATATTAGGCTATGATGATATTTTCAAGCCATCTATAAGACCCATACACAATCAGTTCATAAAAAACATTTAACATAATATAATAGTGGTGTTAGTCATCTTTTAAAAGCAATATTATATAAATTATAACCCTAAAATGCAACTCTCCGGTTAACTCATCTTTCTTCGGTCCGAATGAGCATCGAGTTAACCAGAGAGTTCAGTAGGTTGCACAACACCAAGTTGTGTGAACTGTACTCAGTTAATAAAATTGAGGTGATTACATCGCGGCGAATCAAATGGGCTTGTAAAATTGTTGGGCTTAGTAACAGAAGAATTCCTGAAACGTTGATATTTGCTGTACCGAATGGTAAACGTCCGAGAGTCAGACCGAAGCGAAGGTGGAGAGATTGTGTTAAAGCTGATCTGAAGGAACTGGGTTGGGACAGTGAACGGTGGAGGGAGGTGTGTTATAAGCGATTGATGGTGTTGGCATCGAACCTTCGGGTTCACTAAGCCTTTTATTACTATTATTATTGCTCTTTGCAACATGTGCTCTTCTTATTTTCATCAGTACTATTTTGACAGTCTTTACAATTTATTGTATATACGATATCTGTTCTATTATCTTTATTTATTTTATCTTTATTATTAGTGTAAATGTTCTGAATTTTGTTCAGAATATCAATATCTGATTTACCTTAAATTAATATAAGTAAATTCATTCATGGAATATTCTTGTATTATGTTTAGTTTTAATTAATCTAATTATAAATTGATTTAGCGACTTAGTCCTATTAGGGTAATAATTTATATAATATTGCTTTTAAAAGATGACTAACACCACTATTATATTATGTTAAATGTTTTTTATGATCTGATTGAGTATGGGTCTTATAGATGGCTTGAAAATATAGAGAGGATTTGACCAATCAAATCATGATCTATTATCTATTAGAAGATATGAGTTATTTCATAATTATTTACAGTAACTGTAAATCAGTAGTGTAATATTTTGATAAGGTAAAAAAATGAATATAAGCTTTGCAAGAGCCAATATAATCCAAACAGATGAACAAGTGACAGAAGTAATAATCACAAAATAACAAACTCTCAAGATGTATATTTCAAGACATTTCCATTTATAAAAAAATAATAATGATAATAATAAATTACTAACCTGTATAGCACTATTTGCAGCAACTCCAACTGGCATTGCAGTAAGAGGTGTTAAGAATCCTCCATAAGAAGGTGTCAGTACAGGAAGATTTGGCACAACTAAAACATTCGGAGATATGTTTAATACATTAGTATGCATAATAAATGAAGTACGCATAATTACAAGTTAAATATTGTGAGCATGTTGATTGGGTCCAACAGGCTGTTGTTAAAACCTATAAACTTTGGCCTAAGATAACAAATCGAGTGTTTCGTGCAAATACGTTAATAATCTAAAGGTACTATTTCGCTGGAACAGTCCACAAAAGCAACAGTCATCCCATACTAACAAACATTAATGCTTGTGTATTTCACTGAAACTGCTCACTATAGCGGCCAAATTCTCTTGATTTAGCTAGCATCCTAGTTTGAAATTATTTTAAATAAAACCATTGCCTTTAGATTTAATAGTTTTCATTTGTATCAAGAGGACAGCAATACATATGATGGCAGAGTTTCGATCTTATTTAATTAATACACATTTTTTTAGGCAGCTAAAGTTGTATAACAAAGATAAGTTATGTCTTTACTATAAAATTCTAACAATGATCTACATATTAATGCAGACAAAATGATGTTTCCTTGTAATATTTTAAATAGAAAGTATCTGCACCATAATAGAAAGAAAGTGATGAAATCTTATTTTAAAAATTGAGGTTGTATGTCTGATTTTAAATTTATTACTTATTATTAGTATGATCATTTCAGTAATAAATATCATATATTTTTAATGAAATCATGGCAGAAAATGTTTTACTGTTTTGCCATTAGATAATCAATAAATCAGCACTTTAGTTAAAAAAGACAAACTGATTTTTCAATATTTGGATTTCAGTATTTACCTGAGATTAATTTTTTTTTCATTATGTTGGTTGGATTTAGCTACTTTAATTCATTTATAAAATACTTTTATGGTTGACCGCGGTGTATAAGATAACAAGTAAGAAGATGGTCCGGGGTGGCGTTGATAAAAAGACTAAAATAGTAACACACTATTTTATTTAAAGCCAACGTTTCGACCCAACTTTGCAGTTCTTCTTCAGAGGATTGTATGCAGTATGGAGTTTCAGTTGAAACACTAAAATACTTATAGTGTAATAAATACGCTTGTTCCTCCAATCTTATAAAAATTATTTAATATAGCTTTGCTTAAATTTTAAACAATTTTTAATTTGATTTTGACTGGCTTAATTAATAAAAAAGAACTGAAACATTGCAACATGACTGTTATCATCAAAACTCTTCTCTGATATGATAACATAACCTAGAATCATAGTAATTTTAACCTCACCACTGCTTCGAGAGCAATCAGAAAGGAGTAGTAAAGACACGACGTCATGCCAAGACTACTGAGCAGCACCAACGAAATATGTGCGGTGGGCAGTACCAGCGAAATAGTACTTTAAAAAGAATTTTTTTTTTATAAAAGTAAAAATTTGGCTTTTGGTAATAAATGTATATATACTTTACAACGTAATATAATAATTAACACAAGAAATTACAAAACAAAAAAATTAAGGAAGTATTTTTACCATCATCTAAGTCCAACAATAGATCTAAATTAGATTGCGGCTTTGACTGTTTTTGACGGCTTTGACTTTTAGGTGCCTTTATCTTTTCATCGGATGATTCACTTTCTTCACTGTCGTCACTCGAACTCACATCGGAACTATCACTCTCACTTTCACTATCTTGTACTATAGTATTCTTTTTCATTTTAGTAACAACTGCTTCCTACGAAATGATCAATAAATTATTTAAAATCAATATCACAATACCTGGTTATTCAGAATAAAATTGAAGTAACAGATATAAAATTCAAACCAACAAAGTAAAATTATTGCTAAAGCTGATATATTGAGTTTCATTGGCTAATATTAAAAATTAAAAAAAACTGTACTACTAACAACCCATGAAGGGTTATGGGTTCAGTACAATGTGAAGAAGTACTGTTACAAGGCCAAAGGTTGTGCAGGGAGGTGACAGGCCAATATCACGCTCAACCACCAGGTTTGCCCCAGGAGGGTCGCCCGGCCATAGGATTGACCCTCGGCTGATGAAAAATTACTAGTCATCAGCCGGATTCGAACCTGGTACCTCGAGCTCTGGAAGTCAGTGCTCACTCACTGAACTAAACCCCGCTCCCTAGGGAATTTCAATTTGATAATAAAAATTATTTTCATTTCAGATAAAACCTTTATTTACAACCTATAGGAATGGAAGAGTGATCATAAATGTCTATCAATCACGAAAACTAGATCAAAGTCACTACAAACAAAGAAAGGTAAGTGTACCAGTAATATACACTTTAAGATAATTTTACAGCATTAATGTGTGTTTATTATACATGAAAAACTTGAGAAATTCCGATAGCGTATTTTGTACCAGTGATAAACATTCAGATTTTGGGGTCAACATATTTTTTTTTATATAATAAAAAAATAAATAAATAAATTCTTCACAATTTCAAACAAGGAAATAGCAAACTGCAGATGAATAAATAAAAAATTCAAACCTATCTCCTGAAGAAAAGTGATAAGGAAAGCACTCTGAAACAAACCCCCAGCCTTAATCCATTGAAAAATCAACTCAAACTCAACCAATCGGCTATTGCGGCGTGATATCACCTGAGGTTCAGGCATCACCCTCTTAAGCGCTCAAGCCTCAAATCTAATTGTATTTGCACTCTCTTTCCAACTCATTGCATGTTAATGAGTTGAAAACTGTTTATTACTGGTACATTTACCCTACAGAGACAAACTTTCAAGGGGAAGATTGACCCAGAAGTAGCGCGTAGGATATCCAAAGCCAATCAGGTATATTACCCTATCAGCAACACTATAGTAGGGCACAGGGAAGTTGGCAAGGAAACGAAAAGGCATATATTCAAGTCGGTATACCTCCCAACCCTCACGTATGGAAGCGAAAGCTGGATTATGCTGGACAAGCAGGTTACCCGCTTGACAGCAGCAGAGATGAAGTTTCTGCGGAGAGCTGCTGGAAAGACCAAGAGAGACCGCGTCAGAAATGAATGCATAAGAGAGGACCTGGAGGTGGCAGAGCTAAAAACATTACTGGAAAACCGACAGTTGAAGTGGTTTGGCCACGTTTGTCGGATGGAGGAGGAGAGAGACCCGCGGAAGATTCTGGAAGCTTGGCCCACTGGGAGGAGGCCGAGGGGCCACCCCAGAATTTCCTATCAGGAGTATATGCAGCGGATTGGAGAGAAGAGAGGCAAAACCTCCAGGAAATGAGGCGGCTTAGTAGGGACCGAGAGGCATGGCTACATTGGATAGAGGCTCCTCGATGCTAGTAATGGCATGAAGAGGAAGACAAAGAAGAAGACAATCTTTCAAGCCATATTAGAGTGGATTTAAAAGAAAAACCAGTATATTGCCTAATCTAGAGCAGAATGTGAAGAAAACCAGTATATATTTATACCATGGGAAGAAAAAACTGAAAATAATTTTTATGCTGAAGTAATGTAATTTTTCTTGAAATAGTTTTAAAAAATACCAGGTCTATAAAATATCATGTTGGTTGTTTAATAAAAAGTCATCAAATTGAAGATGGTTAGAGTGAGAAACACATCATGAAAACTTTTTAGGTTTTATCTTTTCTTAATTTTTATTATCTTGGCAAAGAATCAACAAATATGCATAAGAACCACCAAGTTTTGCATTTCACTAACAAAAGTTACTTATTATCAGTTTTGAATTTTATCTTTTTTTTTTTGTTCTCCCCTTCCTTTCCTTTTAGGTTACACGGGACTTTTCCCGGTCTGGGGGAGGATATGGAGGAATTATGCCGAGTTAAAATTCCTATAGGGTAGTGGGATTTGAACTCATAATATTTTTCCATCTAACTTTTGTTATCGCGTTGCCGGGATATGTGCGGTGCTGTGCACACGCGTTAGCCCATTTGGCCACACCGCCCCCTTATCAGTTTTGACTTATCATTGTAGTACAGGACTTTCCCTGTGTCATTTTAAATAAAACTTTGAGTATCCATTGAGTGTATTTCATGCAAGTCATGTACCCCCCAATCTTCCATAAATCAGCCCATCCCCAACTGGTCATGATGTAATTAGAAATAGCATTGAGTCTGAAAACTTACATCAGCAACTGTTGAGTCAGATTGAGAATCAGAATCTGAATCACTGTCGCTATCACTGGAACTTTCTTCTTTTTCGTTGCCCGAATCTTCTTGCTCATTGCTACTATCTTCATTTGAACTTTCTGAATCTACAAAAATATTATAAAGTAAAAATACATAAGTATATCATATATAAAAATCATTATACTTTAATCTTTTTATTTTAAGCCTTGTATACATGGTAACAATTGTTATCATGGTAACACAGTTAAGTCAGTAAGACAGAGGCAAGTGCCCTTATTTATATGCTGGTTGTAAACTGGGAAAATGGTGGACATAGAACAGCTGGTCTCATGATAATTCTAACAAAGGTAAGTAACTCATTTGTATGTAAATAAATATATACTGTTTGTTTTAATTGCCAAGAAGAGGAGTGCCAAAATACAAAAAAAGTAGAATTTTACAAAAGAATCATTCAAAGTTTGCATATTAAGGTTTATCGCTGTCCCTGACTAACTTCAAAATCTCTAATCAGACATTTTCTTAATAAATAATGTTCAACTTTTTGTTTAAAAAAGGAAATAAATGTTCATTAGGAGATACCCCTCCGTGGACAATTCCACCAATCAAAAATGAACTAGGACTGAACAATCTTCCAAACAACACTACCCCAGAAGAAATTAGATATAGTTATCATGAAATTGTCCATAAATTATTCCATAATCATGACATAATTTTTACGGACGGTTCAAAATCAGAGAAAGGTGTAGGATGCAGTATAGTAACCCAAAACAATATAAAAAAATGGAAATTAAATAACAATAATTCAATTTTTACAAGTGAAACGTGGGCTATTCTCAAGGCATTTGAATATGTAATCGACACCAATATTGAGAAATCAGTAATTGTCACCGATTCCTTATCTGTAATCAAGGGACTGCAAAATGCATGGACATGTAACACATTGCACAAAAAAATTCAGCTAATGAACTTGAAACTAAATAAAAATAGTCGAAAAATAATATTGTTTTGGGTACCCTCACATATTGGCAATGAACGAGCCGATGAGGGAGCAAAGGAAGCTGCCAGAAGCACAGATTCACCTGTTTTAGGATCGATGTTTCTCAACGAATGGAGAAGAGAAATTTCAAAGAAAGTGAACGCCAGTTAGAATGCACAGTGGAGATTACTGCCACGCAACCACCTTCATCTGACCAAAGACGAAAATCGAGCTTGGTATCCTCCAAAACACCTGACATCAAAGGAGTGTTCTATAATAAGCAGGCTCAGGATTGGACATACCAAACTGACCCATCTCCACCTACTTCTTGGCTTACATCGACCAACATGTGAGGTATGTGAAAATGCTAATCTGACAGTTGAAAACATATTCCAGTGCAAAAAGTTCCGGAAACAGCAAATCGAACTCCAAATTGAAGACAAGGCACCGTACAAGGAAAACGCTGGTATCGAAAAAACGCTGAAGTACATCCGAAAAATAAAATTTATTAGTTATATTTAAGAAGAACGATCGTCGCTAATGGCCCTGGCAGTCGATGCGACGTTAAAAAACAGCAAATAAAAAAAAAAAAAATGTTCATTATTATTTGATTATTAAAAAATATATTTTGTGGCAGTTTTTCTTTAAAAACTAAAATAAGTTCTTATTACCATAAATATTAACATTAAAATCTGAATTTTTTTCCCCTAAAGAAATATAGGTGAATACAAGACTTTTAAGCAAAAAATGGAAATTTTCATATCATGGCACTCTTCTTCCAAACGAATAATATATTTATACACATATAAAATAATAAATGAATCTAGAAACTTAGTTTAATTTAAACTAAATTAAATTTAAATAAATTCCTATTTTAAGAATTGAATAAAGTAAAAACAGTCGAAATAGTCAATATTAAGATGGACAGACACAATTACTATTAACATTCAATTAGACTAGATATGACAGTTTATTAGTACCTATATAGCTGTCACACTTGTGATAGGTACTGGCAACTGTTAATCAAAAGCTGATAGTGTGACAGTACTCCCACGAACCCAATTGTTAATATTATCGTTCGGTTCATATGATGGAAGTGGCCAAGACAGTTGTTGCCATGGCTGCAAATTTCTTTGTAACTGTCATTATGTAAACAAGGCTTTATTTCTTAAGTTAATCAGAATAAATAAATAATACAAAAGATCACCTTCGTCAGCAGGGGAACTATCTGAATCGGCATAGAAAGGCTTTTCTTTAGTTCCTTTTTTCGAGTGAGTGGTTTCTTTTGGAGATGAAGGAGCTGGTTCAGCAATATTGCGCGCTGTTGGATCCGGAGCTACTTCTGGGAACGGAGGTAGGTCGTGATAACCAGAAGCTCGCATATTTATATAATGAGTCAAAGATCCCATCTGGTAATTCTCTCTATCTAAATAAACAAAATAAATAAATTTATACAAAACATTACTGTCATAAACAATAAATAACATCTCTAATAAATTAAGTCCGCTGCACAGACCTCTTTTTATCAAATTATTTACATCTGTCTAAAACTTTGTAAACGGCTTAATGTTGTTGTTACCTACAACTATTTTAAAAGAAAATTCTCAGAAATGGAATGTTTTCTCATTTAACTAATTAATTTAATGAGATACTAAAAACTCATGAGCACCCATTTGGTTTCCACTTGAATCGTAAATTATTTTATCACAAAATCGAGAAAAAAAAGTGGCCTACATACATATTGGGCCATTTGGAGTGACCTCCACCCCCTAACTACTAACTATCGTGGCGCTACAACTCAGTGAAGGGTCTTGGCCTCCTCCACCAGCTTCCTCCAGTTATCTCTGTTCTGTGCGGCCATCATCCAGCTCCCGACTCCAAGGACATCCCTTAAATCTCTTGCACAAACCATCTGGTCTCCCCCTTCATCTAGTGCCATAGAAAGCTTCTGTCAGGATCATCTTAAGGATTGCTTTATTCTCCATAGTAACTATGTGGCCAACCCATCTCAGTCTTCCAAGCTTCATTTTCATAATAACATCTTGATCATTAAAAATCGAGTAAATTTCGGCATTTGCTAGCTTTTTCCAATTTCCATCGATCTTTACTCCTCCAACAAATATTCTACGAATTTTTTTCTCGAAGACTAGGAGGAGGTCTTGCTCAATTTTTTTAGTTGTTTTGCATGTTTCGGATGCAAACAGTAGGACTGGGTGGATTAATGTTTTATAAAGAAGTAACTTGTGACCTCCACCCCCAATAGGTCAAAATAACAAGAACACGAAGGACAAACTGGCCATCTTTTTTTTTCAATTTTATGATCAAATTATCTTACGATTCAAGCGGAAAGCAAATGGGTATTCATGAATATTTAGTACCTCATTAAATAAATTAATTTAATGAGAAAACACCCCGTTTTTGAGAATTTTTTTAGATAAAAAGGTTTGGAGGTAGCGATAAGATGAAGCCTTTTACGAATTATTAGATGGATGTTAATAATTCGATAAAAAGGGATCTGCACGGACATTAAAGTTAAACCTCTGTATATTGAGCTTACATACATTAAAAATCTCTACACATAAAACTTCTTTCATGAGAAGGAGTTAATCGGGGAGTGCGGTCAAATAAATACTAAATTATAGAAATAGTATTATTTAATTATTATGCCGACGTTTCAATTGCCTCCCACAGTGCCACATCCCACGCCCTGATGAAGACCTGCAAGGTGGGTCGGCATAATAATTAAATAATACTATTTCTATAATTTAGTAATTATTTGACCGCACCTCCGATCAACTCCTTCTCATATTATATCACGGTCAACAATCTCTACATCATTAAAAACTTCTTTAAGGAACCTTGAATTTTTATTAGAAAAAATATTGTACATAAAAGTTTCACAAAGCTATTGGAGTTTATGAAAGACCATGTGTAAAAATAAACTAATATCGCAACCACACAGAAATGAGATTCTCTGGATCCCTTTCTAACATAAAGTGAAATTTTTAATTTGACTTTAATGAAAATACTTAAAAAGAAAAATGAAGATATAGTAAAAAAAAAAAATCAAGTTATAACAAGTACAGTATCAATTGAGAGTCAAAATGGCTTGATTTCAATATGAGCATTTTTTGTCATAACACATCTTTTTTATTTTTTTTTTTGGGTCCTCCCCTTCTTCGCCGTTAAGGCTATAAGGAGTTTTCCTGGGCCAGGGAGTGTGGGAGGGGATTTATAAGACGCCTTGGCACTGGGACGCGAACTCGTGTCATGTCATAAAACATCTAGTTTATAATGGTAAAACTGGTATAAAATAAGACAGTTTTAACTAAATCAGATTACAATTTGTTAAAATTGTCATGCTTGATACCCCCTTAAGGTAGAGGCAAGGACTGGATACTACTAAACTACATTGTCAATCTTATATAAATGAATGTGATTGAAACATGTACTTGAGTATAATATTTGGAACATAATCCCACATAAATATTTAAAAAAAAAAAAGAAGAAAAGAATGAAGTTTGAAAAATAAATATTTTGCAGTTATTCAAACTTGAACTTGTATAATTTAGTGCACACATTTCTCAATATTATGAATAACTTAGATTAATCTAATAATTATACAAAATAATAAAACACCAAGTGAAAGAAAAAAAATAAAAATAAAATTACCTTTGAACTTGGATTGCAGAAGAGGAGCCGGCTTAGTAGCTAAGAAAATCTGCTTAGCATATTGTGATAAGTTATTTTCATCATTTGACGGAAAAATAAACTGTTTTAAAAATCGTGAACGATCACGTATATCATAGTTTTGATCGTAACGAGCAAGATTGAAAACATATTGGCAAAGTAGATGTGTTTGCTGAGGATTCGTCAAATACAGTTTGATAGATAAATTGAGAATCTGCAATTTCACAATATCTTCCTAAAAATGATTAAAACAGGAAATTAGCAAAAATAATATTTAAAAAAACATATATATATTTCAATTGCAAATTCATTTTAAAAGCTATATTTTAATTTTTACTTTCCTACCTATACTATGTAAGGAAAGTATTGCAATCATGCGAGAAAATTCAGGAAAAAAAGTTATAAATAAAAGAAAAATGTCTTGGGGCCTAACTCATTAAGTATATATTCTATGGTAAACTTTATATACAAACTTTTGAAAAGTAATTGAATTACCAACAAAAAAAAAAAATTCTTCGGAATCGAAGCAGTATTAATGATGATACAGCATTTTTCACACAACTAATGATAATTAAAAGAGCCCTATACCGGGTCTTGATGTCTGCATACAATACAATTTTTTATGTCTAAATAAAATTTATCGCGTATTGATTTGTAGAATTTTGAAACCATCTGTGTTTTAAAACCTTCAAATTTTTCAACTATTTATGTTGATGTTGCGCTCAGAGAGTGGAAAATGGGAAAAAGGATTGGGGAAGATTTGTGCATCATGAGTCTAATGTTTGCTGATAACTAAGTAATCATAGCCCAGGTCAAAGAGGACATAGATTATATGTTCAGAAAGGTTGTCGAGACATGAAAAGTGAGAGTTGAGTATTAAGATTATGAAAACAGAGAACCTTGGCACTTCATCTGATGAGGCACCAATTGAAACAATCACCAATGATATCGACAGGAAAATTGGTGAAGGAAGAAAAGTCATGGCAATACTTAACGGTATACGTTGGAGCTCGAATATACAGCCCAGTACAAAGTGGCAAATATATAAGACTATTTTCGAGGCAATAACGAAATATGCCTCGGAGACATGGGTAATCAATGTAAAATTCCATAAAATACTATTAGCAGTAGAGATGGACTTTTGGAGAAGGGAAGCAAGAAAATTAAAATAGCAAAATGAACTTTTTAAAGGATAAAATATTCCTATCATGATTAAAAATAAACACCTCATCATGACTTCATCGAAGTTTGAAACTAAATAACATATAATTCAAAATAATAAATATTAATTTGTAATTATTAAATTTTTATTTTTATAAAAAGGAAATAATGGATATACTTTCTTATATTTTATACTCGATAAAAATAAAAAATGAAATAATTCTGGAAATGATAGAGATGGAAAGAAACAGTATAGCAAATATTGAAAAGAAAAGATGCTGGTTTAAGAAAAGAATGACACCTGAAAGATTGCTTTTAATACGTATGGAACTGGAATCAGAGGAGAGAAGGAAAAATGGAAGACCAAAGGTAAAATAGAAAGACGAGGTGGAAGAAAGCCTGGTGAGGCATGGCATCAGAGAAGAACAATATTATTCTCTCTTATTTCATACATTTCTATACAATACATTTTCCCACACAATTCTTATACAATACATTTCTCCCTTCAACACTTTTGGAGAAAGCCCTGATGAAGACCTGAACTTCAGGTCGAAACATCGGCATATGTAAAAATAAATATTATCATTTATTTTTGCCTTCTTTTTTGACTGACCACCCCAACTATTCTTCTCTTCAAGAACAATATTAGTTTAGAGAGAGAAGGATGGAAGAATATCTTGAATGATATTTAAGTCAAGGATAACTGCAATAGCGGACAAATCCTCAATAAAAAAAAAAAAGTTAAAATTTGCTAAAGTTCTAGAAATTTAAAGATCAAAATTTAAATTCACCACTTATCCATGAAATTCCCGTTCAATTGATATCTTATTCATCAAAATCCATCACTCCTGAGAGCTGGAGATCTATAATACCATGTTATATATATTGCAGATAATGCTAACCTCACTTATAAATGACTTAGCCATTTTCCGAAGCACATCGGGTGCTATTGTAGGAACAAGTTCCGAGTACTCCCCCAAGAGCCATAGAATTGAGGCTCTTGCTGCAGGTACAGTAATGGTATCCATCAACTTCGCCATAGACCTAATGATGTCCCTGTGTCTTGATGGTTGTGACTGTAACAACTTTTTTATCACAACAACACTTTCAGCAACGACGGCCTCTGAAAGAACGATAAAAACAGGCATTTCATTAAGTATATAAATATAAATGATATTTTATTATTAAGACAGTCTATTCAATAAAACACAATTAGTGAAGCTCAGTATTTATAAATGTCGCTGTAACAATTAACTTTATAAACAATAGGGTTGCCCTAAAGGAAAAATATCTTTCAGTTCATCAGTTAAACAATAAGATTCAGAAATTTATTCTAAACCCAGTCTTGTATTCGCTGAGACCTATTGAGCTGGTGCAGAAGTGCAAGAGAATTCAATCTTGATAAGAGAAAAATATATTAACAATAAAGAAAATTAAAAAATTGTTGACAAAACGTGTTTATTTTTATTGAAAGTTTTGAAGTGTTTTTTTTTTTTGTGCTAAGGGATCTGAGAACTATCCTTCTTCCTTTACTTTTTCAATAGATATTTAGCTAGCTGTAAAATATAAGTAAATAGCAACTTTTTAATATTTAAAAACCTAAACATATGGTAAGTACTCGATGGCAACCATGGTATGTAGTAGGCTTTAGGCGAGAATTATTGTCTTGAAAACATTCAAAAACACAAGGCATGTTCCAAAGAAATTTTACATCTTGATGTTTGTGTTGAATTCTTTAAAATACATTTTGTCACATTAACTTTGGAGTTTTGAAATTTTTTTTTAATGATTTTTACAAGCTTAAGGATCAAAACTAGGGATCGACCGATACTGATATTAATATCAACCAATTTAGTAGATTTTTTTTATTAGAACTATTGAATTTCCTCTAATTTAAACAGCCGAGGAAACAAAAAAAGTAAATGACAAAATGTGTTTCCTATGGGAGATAAGAATGAATCCTACTTGTCCTTCGAATTATTAAGAAATGCGATGGGACTGGGGAAGGAGGAGTCTGGTCTGGATCAGGAGAATGATGCAGTCTGATTTGTGAAACTTAAGTAGCGATGGGACCGTTCATTGGTCAGCAGCAAGCTTCAGATTCTGGTCATAATACAAAAAATATTATTTATTACGGTTAACTGTTTTGTTAACGTCATTTTCAAACTCAAAGCATTTCCCTCATAAACATCATTTTGAACACCTAATATATACTAAAAATAATACTTTTTATTATTCAAAACAAGATCTGCTGTGATATGTTGATTCTTATAGTTAGATGGACATAATAAAAGAATAAATTAGTAAAAACAACCAAATTTTATAGCTTATTCAAATTTTTAAAAATAACAATAATATTCAAAAGAACAAGATAAAATAATTACCATCTCTATTGGAAAGCATTGAGACTAAACCACATAAACAGGTGTCCGTCACTTCTTTAATATTAGATGCACATCTATAAAAAGTTTAAATCTTTATTAAACAGAGTAGTAAGAAACAGTAAAATTTCAAGAAACTACAATATGTTGGGGTAAGACTAACAAATCCAAAAAGAAAATAATAACAAAATAGTTTTATTTATTTTTATTACCCTTAATAAATAATAATGTAATATATATTTAAATATAAAATGTATATTTATTTTGATATATATTTTTAAAGGCAGCAGAAAAAAAGCATTCAATTTTTATTTTTGTACAAATTGAACTGGGTGTGTCCCAGGAGGGTCTCCTGATCCCAAGGTCGCCCCACGGCCGATGAAACAGAATAAATAATTTTTCTGCCATCAGCCGGGATTAAATCGAGGGACCTTGAGTATTGAAAGAACAGTGCCATACCAATGAGCTACGCCACTCCCCTCAATATAATATAGAAATCTTTATTATATGTTTTTGTGTCAGTTTATATATCTTCATTAATTTTTCATCAAATCCAATGAATGAGCCACAATTTTGAAGATTATCTTCTCCTTCAGGTTTGAAAAATTCAGAAAAAAGTTATAAAGAAAAGGAAACTTCATTTGTGCTCAATTCAAAAATTAAACAACTAATAATTTATGATAAACAAATGATAATTAGAAAGATTTAAAATTCTCTACAAAATCATCAAAATTGAACCATTTATAGCAAAGATACAGCCAATTATAAGTTGTACTTATGTTTTATTCATCCCGTTTTGTGTTGTCTATTATTTTGAATGGAAATTAATTCTTTCCTCTAATAATATAATAATTACATTTATTTATTTCCATAATACATTGTCGTTTATTCACTGACCAATACACTATATGAATTATTCACACAGGCCAATTAGTAGTATCATAAAGCAATATTTTTTTTTTATCCATCAATGAAGTTTATAATAACATGGCTGCTATCCTAAATCTGTTTTGAAGAAGGAAATGTATTAAGCTAGATAATGAAAACATGATTTGAACTAATAAATACATTAAAATTAACAGATCAAACACCAAAAAACATTCCGAAACGCAAATCATTAATATAACTTATTTGAAAACATATACATTATTCAGATGAATACAAACCTTCCGATTGCTTGAATAGCAGCAGCAACAAACTCTTTGTCTAGGCTTGATATGTAAGTTTGGAATTCTCGAAGGATAACAGATATACTAGTCTCAGTAGCTAAATTTGTTAATATTTCAAGTTTTAGCAATTTTATATGAGTTGGATCGCTTGTTCTGACAAAGAAACTTTTCAAGTATGGCTCAAACATTCCCTGAAAATAAAAAAATACAGGTATATTATTTAAATACAATTAAGGCAAAAATTATTTTTAAAAATATTTCTACCTACTTTTCTTTCCGTGGATATTGTAGCGATACAATTTAAAACAACAGATTGTACTTCCCTATGTGATCTTAATAACCTGATTAGCGACTTTGCAATAGCGGAAACTTCACTTCTCGGAGCTAGATGATGATAAAGTTGAGCTACTGCCATTACTACCTGATGTTTACACACAAAACAGCAAATATAAGATCAGTATGATAAAGCTTTTTTATTTAAAATTGAAGTTACAGATAAATGGAGGGTAGGCTTACAGAAGCATTTCTGCTTTGTAGGAGAGGTTTGGAATTTTTTAAAAGAAGCCGATGATCTTGATCTAATGTGAAAGAACTTTTTTTCCCTTTAGAATCTTTTTCATCTTCATCATCATAAAATGGACGTTCTCCTTCATCTTCTTCGACCAACTATAAACACAACATTAAATAAATATCTCACCACTAATTTCTACAGTTTTATAATACAACTAAAAAAAAAAAAAAATGCTTCCTTTTGCTGAACAGAATATAGGAAAGTGCTTGTTCATCATACTTATTTATCACAAATAAATCCTATGATATATGAATCCTATAGCATTCATTACGACTTTGATAAATAAACAGAAAATAAAAAAAAAATTTATAAAAAGGAAAAATATTTGTTTTAAAAGATGCAGATTATACAAATTTGCTCAATTAAAATAGAAGATTCTAATTAACAATCCCTTTATCTCAAAAAAAAAAAAAAAAGATTAGTCAGAAATAAATAAGAAATCTCAATGTATATATATTAATATTTGGATAACTTACACCAATGTTTGGATCGATAAATTGGGTTCTAGCATATCGGGTGAGCATGTTGATGATAATAACTTGTCCCCATTCGTCAACATCAACCAACAAATTACACAATTTTCTGAAATTTTTATGAATCAAATCGATTCTTTCAGGGCACACCTTAAAATGAAATGAAAATGATCAGACAAATTTATTAAAATAATAAATAAATAAATAAAAGCTTTAAAATTAATAAAAAGTTACTTTATTTCATTAATAAATAATAAATAATCAACCTATATTAACACATAGGTCAACCTTAATATAAGCATATTCAGATTGTTCTTTTTTTCTTAATGTGGTTAAGATTCAGGAAAACTAAAACAAGAATAAATAAAATTGACTCGAAATAAATTGTTTAATAAAGGAGAATAACATTCTGAAAAACAATTTCATTTAGATTCAGAATCATGATACTTAAATAGAATTTGTTAAGTTCACTAAATCATATTCAAGATTAACATTAATTTTATTCTGTTTTGTAATTAAAATATTAAGTTAAATAGTCGCATTGTCATATTTTGAAAAATAATGTTATATGGCAACTATAAAAGTAGTAAAACAACTATTTAAGAGTCGAATAGATATAAGTTATTAAATTTATTAATTGACATAAATTTAATTATATTAAAACAATAAATCTATGGTTACATAAGATAACTTGGTAAGTCCTAAAGTGGTCCTTATGAGTAATTATCGTCAAGTGAATTGTGATAATTTTTTCTAAACACCATGAAGAAATTGACAACTCCATCTCTGAAATTTAGAGCTGTGAGTTACGAACTTCTTAACCATGTGCCATAAGTAGGCTTCTCAGATGATCATGACACATATAACTAATGAGGACCATTTTTCGACTTACCAACTTTCTATCAATGAACACAGGAATAATAGTCAATATATTTTTTTGGAAAAAGCTTATTAAAAGTTCACTTATAATCCTCCTTATAGCAAAAATGATCTATGTATTATATATTAATTTCAGTTACCTCTTCAAAAGCCATTACAGCTGAACCGACAACTAGAGTAGTTTTATCAGATAGCAATTTTTCGATGACATGAACCAGTTCATCTTTCTGCTCTGGATCCAAACTAATAAATTTTACCATATAATAATTAGGATACTAATTATAAGATAATAGTAATTATAAATTCAAGTAAATTATTATTATTGTATATTTAATTGATATTTAACGTCATTGTTATTATTATAAATACCTATAGAGTTTGGGAATAGCATGAGATGCTGTTTTTCTGACATATGGAGACATATCTGAAGCAGAATCTTTGATCGCCAGCATGACGATCGGGACTATAACTGGTACCCTAATACTAGATAACACTCTCAGAGCACTTGCCCTTATAAGTTGATTAGGATCCTAAAAATAACAGAATACTTATACAAAAAACAATTGCATGATAATAATAAATGATACATAAATAATGGATAAGCTTAAAACCTTAAGGGCCCTCTGAAATGTGGATATTGAAAGTAAAGCTAGATCCTGTTGCTCTTCTGCATAACGTACTAAGTAAACATACACCAATTTTTTTACTTCTATATTCTTGGAAACAACATTTTTAACAACAGCTGGAAACAATTCTGATGCATCACGACCTTTAGCGATCATCTGAAAAAGATAAATATTATATAATTTGTTCATAAAAATCAAAGGATGAGAAGAGAAGAGACATACCCCAATAATGCGTTTCATTGCTTCCAACTTCAAGCCATCTTTATTTGCATCAAGCATTTGTTTCAAGTCATCGTGCCTGCAATAATTATTAGTTAGATTTTAAGAGATGTAATAATAAATAGGAAGTAAAAACTTCATAAAGAATTCAATTTGCCAATAAAAAAAATAGCTTTAAAGATAATTGGTACTATTTCGGAATCATTACGCCAAGATAACAGCTGGTTTCAAGATCACTTTGAGCACAGTGTAGATGGGAATCCCGAAACATACCAAATTTGTTCAAAAATAAACGTAGACAACTGATCGCTAACTATCCCTAGTAGAATGTTGACATTAGATTAGGGTAGATCAGATCAAACCTCTGTCACATTCACTTCTTTTGTATAAAAAGTTATTAATATTAATTTAATTATATTATATAAGTAGCAGCATGAACTAACTTATGAAAATGTTTGTTGGCTGTTTGTCACACCTTTCACTTCTCTCTAGAGAATAAATATCAAAATATAGATGTTTCCAACCTATTATCATGAACATCTATACTCTCTATTATTAAGCACAATAACCGAGAATAATCATAATTACAGAAGAAAAAAATAATATTAATTAGATTGAAGCACTGCTACAATCAAAATCAAATTTATATCTGAAATGCGTTAATTTGTGTCCTACATCATACAATAAACTAATGAAGTTCATTAACTCAGCGCTTAGTTTTAGAACTTGTCTGTATCATATACAGTAGTATTATCACATACATTGTCCATCATGAAAAAGAAAAAACACTTTTCCCAATTAGATCTCAGTGAATCGCTTTAAATGCATTTTTTCACAAATATATGTCAGTACGAAATGTCTACGTTGTATATAAATATGATTTTAAATACTAGATAACCTTCGGCACTCCTCAGTTTCTGTCTACAGAGTTCAAAATCAGCTGCCATCTTCGAGTAGGGATTTAGAACTGCTGTTAATAGTTTTCAAATAATTTTAAGACAACATAGGATGACATTTTTCAATTATTGTCAAACATATTACAATCTGATATAATTCATACAATATAAACAAAATTATACAATTGCTATCAAAGCCTTGGATTCCTGACTCAAAAGAATGAAAATATAGCAGAATCTTGGGAGATCCTCCAGATCATAGCATTCCTTCGCCAATCGCTTCCAATGTATTGGAGAGAGTAGACAAACAGTAATAGCACATCTATTAATATGATCTAATACTAAGTATGCTAATACCCAGACTTAAGGTAAGTACTAACTTTTTATAATCAGAATTGAAAAATCCTCCAGATGCTGGATCAGTTGCATAATCAATATCGGAATTAATAGCCCGATCATTTCCATAAGAACCATTATTGGCCATTGTAGATGATAAAGAAATGTTAACAGAAGTCGTCAGTGTCAAGTTATGTAATATGGAGTACAGTTATCTGATTTATAGAAACTAAGAAATAATAGTCTACACTTCTTTGAAGAATATCAAAGTTATGACATTATTTTGTTTTGCCAGAAAAATTGTAAACCCAGAAAAAAACCTTAAATAACCTGGCAACAATTTCACACTCAAAGGTTCACACCTACTGATTTGTTTGCCTAGGTTAACAGATTCTATCCAAAGAGAAAAAAGTAATCATGTATTGTCGTTCAAACGAGAATATTTTACTGAATCTAGACATACAAAAAAATGCAGAAAAAGATAAGCGTATAAATAACATATGTGTAGCATAACTTTTAACAAGACATTATAGCTATTTCTATCATTAAGTTATTCCAACCATTTAGTTCCTATTATTCGTTTGTTCAGTAATAGTTTTGAAAACTAGAGGAGAAATATAATTGGTCAAGAGGCTAATACATTCCGTGGTTGTTGATTGAATGATACTTATTTCATTTGAATGGCACAGTAAATAATGTTAAGAGAGTTAAAGAATACTTCATCCTTTACTGATAGAATTCGCTACAGATTGAACGATGTTATGTTAACTATCGGAAGCATTAGATATTACAAGTAGAACGAGGACTAGAATGATACACAGGTCGACGTGAATATTAAATAATAGATTTAGTAGGATCAATTCAAATGATTAAAATAAAAAAAAATACTACTTTCAATTATCAAGAACGTGAAAAAAGTTGAAAATACTTCAAAATTTAATAGTTTATACGAGGTATCTATTAGCTGCAACAATTAACTCTATTTTGTTATATTGAATTTAGAAAAGTTTATTTTTCTAGAATATAGTATATTTATTAAAAAGTCAATTCTTATTGTAAAACACAAATCTACAAATAATGCAGATTGACTTGTTAAACATTTATTTGATCAATGCCAAACATTTTTTTCTTTCTTGTAAAATTTTATGGTGCGTTTAGATATTTCGCAAACTATGGGAGAAAAATATCTATGAATGGTTGTTTTACTATGCTAGTATTTTTGTTTCTTGTTTTTGATATTTTCCATCTGCTGTCGATGTCAAGAGAAATAAAATAAATAAAATAATTCCTGGAAGATTGGAATCGATAATTTTTTTGACGAAGGGATAGATGATTCCACTTGACTCCCAACGTGGAAGACCAAAAAATTGAAGAATTGTTTGATGTGTACTACATGACGAGATTGATGCCTTAAACATTTATTTTTATTATACATTTTATTAAGACTTCTTATTTATTCACTCATTATCACCTTCCATAAATACTTCTCCTACATCCATGCGAATATCCCACTGTTTGAAACAGCGTTGGATGTCTTCTTCTGTCCTCCTTCGATATGTTGCCGCTTTCTCTTTCAAAGCTTCAACTGACCCAAATCTTATTCCTTTAAATTCAGATTAACGAATCGTGTTATGGTTTTTACTTATGGTCCCGAAACGAAACGCCAACCCATGCCCTGGAAGAGCCTAACTTCGCAGAGAACTAAATTATCTCGAATGAGCAAATCATATTTCAAAGCATTGATGATTTTTTTCGATATTCATGGGATTGTGCACCGTCACTGGGTTTCTGAAGGTCAAACTATTAATAGCATTACTACATTCACGTTCTTGCTGAAAGAGAAAGCAGCATGGTTCCTGAAGTTTCTGAATGAAGAAGACTTCCATTACTGTTTTAAACAATGGAAGATGCACATGGTCCGTTGTAGGAATAATGAAGGTGTGTATATTAATAGTGATAATAAATAAATATGTATGAAATAAAATTAAAAAGTTTTACAGCATCAATCTCGTCATTTAATAGAAGCATTGTGAGCACGGGTGTACACAGCTCACTTTGCGTGGTATCCTGATGGAAGATTATTTGATAAAATACTTATGAGTTTGCGTCCCAGTGCCGTGGGGGCTTTCAACTTGGAAACTTATCCCCCGCCCTCACCCTCTGGCTCGGGAATTCTCCGTATAGCCTAAAAATAATGGACAAAAAAAAAGCTACACTTCGTATGTGACTGGGAAATAGAGTCGTGGACAAACACGTCTAAGATGGGTGGATGCGCCCAGGTACTAATTATTATATAACTATGGGCGCTCCCATTAGTAATTTCCTAAACCAAAATAATGATTGCTAAGAAGCAGAAAAACACACTACTTCTCCATTTTTTTTCTCTCGAAACAATTAATGTCCAAATGTCATCGAAATTTTAAAATGACACATATATTTATATATGTTTTTTTTATCCCCTATCGAGCCATTTATAGTTTATCTGTTGGTTGCCTTTCAGACAACTGTAATCTGTTCTAATCACATTGGGAAGATCCGGATTAATTATGGATCCACCACAAAAAAATTTCAACCTCCCAAGGGACATCTCCTGATTGTCAATAGTTATAATTGACAGGTGCGGATAAATATGTGTAAGTGCAAAAAAAAAAAAAAAACCTCCCAAGGGCAAAATCGAAGCTGCATCACTTCTTTCCCGAGGTTGCTAAGGTAACTACTTTAACACACTCGACCACCACGGTCTCAAAAAAATAAAAAATAATCATGTTTTATAAAATACAATGTAATATAACAAACGTTTTATAGGAGATATGTTTACAACGTTAGACTTCATACTTGATTTCTTTCTAGTAAGTTATGCTTTTTTATCAGGGATCATCCAAAGAGTTGTTTTTCTTGTGTCTGTTAAATTTCACAGAAAACCGTTCTAAAATGTCCATGGAATTTTGCTTAAAATAGTGAAAAAGTTAAAGTATCAAAGCACTATAATCACAGAAGAAGTTAGAGAACAAATCGACAATCCAAAAATGTCGTATCAATATATTACAGAACACAATTTAAATTTTTTCTTGAGTCTTAGAAGAATCACTGTCTCTAGGAAAAATTTTAATATCATCCGTAGGCTCTAATCTGTTATATTTTCCTTTTACAATTCATGAAATAGCGTAGAATTTTATTTCATATTTTAAATAAAATATTAAATTATTTTAGGTACTGTTTTTTGACATACATTTTTATGACTGGGGCAATATGTTACTGCTGTAAATTCGAATCAACAGTTGTATCGATTGCAACTGATTGTGTTTAATGCAAAACTTTCATTGAATAAGTTCAAATGTAATTTTTTGTATTTTTACGGCAATTAATTTTAAAAAATCACAATATTGTATAAGCTTAACTGTTTTTTATATTTATTGTGTTCTAAATTTTTATTTCTAAACCATACACATGAATTTAAATAAATTTATTGGTTTATTACTGTCGAAATTTTGATTGGTTATTTCTAAATGAAAACAATTACATCATTTAAATACTTGATTAAATTTATAAAAACATATATCCAGAGAACGATTGTTTGAAGTAGACTAAAAAAGTTCAGTTGGCCGCTGTGTAAGTGATCAAATGTGTACGTACAACACTGTTGATTAGCCGAACTAGCGCGGATTGAGTTTTCAACAGATATGTTGTATTGTTTAAGTAATGGATGTATTTAACTTTTTTTTGAATAGCAGTACTTAAACGTGTGTTATTTTAGGAAAGGTGAGATTGTTGTTTGTGTATTTCATATATAGACATCATAATCATTTTAACATCATTTGTAAACATAATTTTTTTAAATACGTATGTATTTTCTGAAAGCCATTATTAATTTCTCATCTTTTTTTTTTTTACTAGTTAGTAATTTTGTAAGTGATAGTTTGTGGATCGACTCTTTTCTTTAATTACTCCTGTTTTGTTATTCCCAATTTAAGTTGCATGGCAGAGTTTGTGGATCGTAGTTTAGAATTTTGTTGGATTTTTGGTGGAGATCTTGATGGTAAGTAATTAATCAATTACTGATTGTATCGTATGTTCCCTTGTTCTACTTTATTATGTTATGTATGATATGAATTTTAGCAAGAAGATAGTATTGTTCCATATAACCATGTTTAGTTATCCATTTTCTGTTGCTGGAGGTTCCGCTTTTGGGAGGAATTATTCTCATCAAGAAAAATCTTTTAAAAGAATGCCTGTCAATAAAGAAGGTCACTTTACTACAGTTGATGGTATCCCAGTTAGAAAGCTCTTCATTGCAAATCTGACATCATTAGTAAGTATGATAAGTGATATTGACATGCATTATTTAAGATGTATACTTGATGTACTAAGATTGTGTAATCTTCCAGACTGCGGAAAGACATCTTGTGCTGGCATTTAAAAACTTTGGCAATATTGTTGATGTGTCTATTATTAAAACACCAACTGACAAGTCAAATAAATCCAATTTTGGATTTATTACATTTGAAACTCCTGCTGAAGCTACTAGGTATTTATTTTAATATTGGCCTGTAATTAAGTCATACTTAGTATTATTATTTATTTTAATGTTAAGAGATTCTCCATATAGTGAGTTTTAATTTTTATTTTTTTAATTTTGCATTGCTTTTACTGGTGTAATAAATAGTGCATAGTTATGTAGTGTTACATCTGGAAAGGTATTTCAAGATCATATGATCACATTGCTGGAATTCTGTGGTTTGTCAAGTGTGTCTTTTTTTACTTTCACTTACCTATATATGTAATACATAGTGTGGGTAAGTATTGTGATCGTGAAATTTTCGAATCTGAGTTTTCAACGGCAATTCAAGTTTTGAGGTACCCTGAGTCCAAATAACTAAGTCTCTAATAATGGTCTGTGTGTTTGTGAACACTCTAGCTCGAAAACGAAAAGTCGTACGAAACTGATATTACTTATTTAAGATAGGTATATGCCTTAGGTGTCCTAGCTACTTTTCCCTTAAAATGGGCCACTTTATATCAATGCTGAAACACATTTTTACAATTTTCTCAAAAACAGCTCTAATGATTTTGATTAAACTCTGTGTATCTTTGTAAAATTAAGTTGTCTTTAATATCATTGAGGCCTTATCCCTGTTGATTTCACTTTACAGGACTTTAAATGCCCAATGTTCATATAAATCTTCCTCTAAAGTACCTTTAATATGGTTCATTTCAAAAAATTAACTATTTCTCATTATTAAATGTTACGAAAAAATGCTAAATATAACTTTTTAAAGAATTTGATTTTTGAATAAAGGAGAAGAAAAAAAAAATACTTATCCAGATCGAAAATGAATCTCTGGAAACACTAGTCAGAAGGTATTCGTATAATATATCGTTGGAAAGTGGAGAACTTTAAGAAAAGAAAAACAATATCTAATCTAATCTAATCTAAAGTTGTAGAAGGTAACGGAGAGTGGAAATAAAATTATAAATAATAATTTTTGAAAGCTAATAATATTTAACGTTAATCACATGTTTTCAAGGAAATTAAATGAAATTTACTAACTAAAACTTTAAAAAAGTTAATAAAAAGTTTTTTTTTTTTTATTCATTAATATTTACAACTGTTTTATAAAAATAAATACATCTAGTAAATGTGCACTCAGGAATATAATAACATGAAAGCGCTTGTTGAGAAACTACTCTATCGTTTAAAAAGTATTTAAAATCCACCTGATCAAGGCAATGGCATTGTTAAAATAACTATTTCATTGTACTTGTGTGAAAGAAGAAGTAAAATATAAAATTATTTCATGGATGTATAAAGCATATGTTTATAAACTTAAAATATATTAACTGTAGTTTAGTGATTAAAGATGTGATATTATATTTAAATAATTAGGTATCAACGTTTATTCCGAAAAATCATTATGCAACCTTCAAGAAAATTAAATTAGTGAATAATTTGATGAATTTTCCCTTTGCCATATTCCAACAGAATCCACTTACAATCAGTGTGACAACTTTTGACCTGTCTATGACAGACAATACAAATCTCTTAATTCCGTTTTAGTAAACTTTGCAATGGAAAATAGCAGTTTAATAACTAATAGTCGTATAATCCATAATCAACCGGTGATATAATTAATAGGACTTTTGTTATTTTAATAGTATTTATGATTTCTTAGCTGTAATCTTTTTAGCTTTAGATCAGTTAAAAATGCAGTTCAAAAATTTTATAATAGCCCAATATGGCCAGAAAATAATTTCTATTCAAAATTGGATGGTAAGTGAAAGTTGTGTGCACCAGATGTTTTTACATGTTAGATTAGGTTGTATTTATAATGTATTGTTAAATGAAATAACAATTAAAGGGATCAGACTAAATAAATTCCCTATAGATTATAACATTTTAAGATGGAAAATATTAATCAACAATTATCTAGACTATTTATTTTACAATTTTCTATAACAATACACATTAATAACCTACAGATAAGAGGTTTATGGCAACACTGTTCTCTTACAAAAATAGTTTTAATAATAAACTAGTAGGCCCGTGCAAAAAATTCGCACAGCATGTTGTTATCAAATGCCAAATTTATAATAAAATAAAATAATGTAACATATCAAAAGATAAATGAATCAATTGTTACTTTATCGAGAAATATAATCGACAAAGGAAACAAAATTAATTTAAATCTTCATTTTTGTTTGGAACCAACATATTTACAAATTTCAATAAGCTGTATCTTTGCGAAACGTTGACCGATTTCAATGATTTTTTTTCCTTTTGTAGACAATTTAGTAATGTATTACATAATCATGGGAATAACCAAGGGAAAAGTGTGTAATTTTTTAGTTATTCGCAAATAAAGTTTCTTTTCTTTCATAACTTGTTTGTCTGAATTTTCGGAATGATTGGACTATTTTGCCCGCCTGAAGGAGAAGGAAGCCTTCGAAATTGGTGGCTAAATCTTGAGATTTGGTAAAGCATTAACGATGATGTGGCTTGCCGATCAAAAACACCATCGATAAATAATATAAACTCCTCCTGTCTCGATCATAGAGACCTCAAGTTGACGAAATGAGACATGTATCTTATGCCAGTACTACAATAACGTCAGGTTACCTCAAAAATAGTACGTTTTTTGGCTTAAAAACGCAGGATCCGATAGTTCTGGAGGAACTATCAGGGTCTTGCTGTACGCATCAAAATCTTCAAGGTCCAATTTGTCCCGCATCGATCTACAGACCTACCACCGTTAAAGCCTAGCATAATGTTTGTATCGACTTTATTTATTTTAGAAAGAAAAACAAGTTGTTTTTTCTTCCTACCATGCTTTCCAGCAATATGGCTTAATTATTATTTTATTTATTATCTACCTTTGCTGATAATGTTATTATGTTATTAATGCTGATTATGATTTAGGCGCGTTTTTCACTTATTTGTGGAGAGTGAATTAGATTCAGCCGGAAGATTTCTGATCTTTTATGCTCGGGTAAAGTCGGCTGGAATTTACTAATTGAAGTGTTTGCTATATCGATTAAAATATCTCAAAAACTAAAAGTTGTATCTGCATATTGTTAGCAGGGAAATGTTCATCATTTTATTCTCTTTGTAATGAACTATTATTCAAAATTGTATCAGAAGTCGACGCCGTGTTAAATGGAGGGAAAAGAGAAAAAATAGTGTTGAAAAGCAAATTATAACGAGTTTTATTGAAGATATGGATTAAAATATCTTATATATTATACATATTGTAAGCGAGGGAAATGTGCAGCATTTCATCCTCTTAATAAGAAGCTATTATTTATAATTTATATTTCATATTATTAATTTCATCTTATTGATGTTTTCACTTCTATTGTGAGGTTTAAAGCATACATCTTAGTTTTTTTGTTTGTTTTAATTCAACAGCTTTGTTATAATTTTTTATATATTTTTTAGAGCTTTGAAAAAGAGACACAGTTTATTTATTTTGAATCGCAAGGTTTATGTCTTCCCGGCTGACAGTTGGCATCAACCTCTTGAACTTCCAAATGGTCAAATAATTTGGGATAGAAGAAAAGCTCCAGCTGAACCCGAAGCTGAAGTTAGTTTGTTTTATTTTTACATTTTTAATTTATCTTGTATTACCGTTATACCGTATTACTTGTTGATTTTTGTATTAATAGTAAATGAATTTTATTCAATTATACTTGCATTTTCTCTGGCTATGCTGCGTTAACTTTTCTAAAGTGACACTTACGTTTTAAAAATATCACTTAGTATTTTTATACTTTATACTTCCAAAAGACTAAGTATATGGAACTGGGAGATGAGGAAGATGACCTACACATAAGTGAACAAGTATGTAGAAGAGTAAAGGCATTTAAATACCTCTGGTCCTATCTGGACGATGTTGGAACGTCCGAAGTGGATGTCCGAAACAAGGTAGAGATGGCAAGAAAAGCTACTAGAATGCTACATCCTGTTCTCTGGAACGACACTATTTCAAACGCGAACAAGCAGCGTATCTTCATGGCTATTGTCGAGTCCATATTAACCTACGGATGTGAGGCATGTTCGATGAATGCTGGCTTGTATACCAAAATTCGGACTGTAGAAATGGATTTTTGGAGAAGGTGTCTACAGTTAACGAGGCTGGACAGAGTCCGAAATGAAGTGGTGAGACTGAGAATAGGTGTAGAGGAGACCGTCTCTGAGAGGATTGGGAAACGGCGATTGAGGTGGTATGGGCACTGCAGGAGAATGTCGGAAGAGCATTGGCTGAACAGAGTCCTGGACCGGCAGCTACCCGGAAAGCGTAGGCGAGGACGACCGAAACCACGTGGATGGAAGGAGTCCGAGAAGAGATGGCCGGCCGAGGTCTACAGGAGGGTGACTGGGAGGATAGAGATGTGTGGAGCTCTGCTCTGCCCTGAAGAGGTATCCCACGTTGGAACACCGGAAATAAGTAAGTATTTTTATAAACCTGTACTTCTACAAACCATGGGTTCAATGCTTTGTAAGTGAGTAGTGTTTCTAGGCCAACATTTGTGCGAGGAGGTAACTTGACCGAGATCATGCTGATTCTCCAAATTTTTCCTTTTAATATAGAGGATCTTAATACCTACTTCATAGTGGTTGGTTGTACCGCAGAAGGGTCTCCTGAACCAACGTATTATCCACCGTTGATGAAACAGAATAAATAATTATCTGCCACATCCGGACTCTGATCTAGAGCATTGGAGCTCAATGCACTACTCACTAAGCTACTTCACTCCCATCCAATAAGTATTTACGTTTTGAAAAATTTCAGTTAGCATTTATGTCTATGGAATATCTAAGGAAATGGAAGAAGATCACCTGGGAGAATAGTATGATAAATGGAATCGCCATCGGGTGACAATCATGAAAGGAGCTACCTCAAGCAAATATTTCTCCACTATTCTGAGCCATTGGAAAGCGAAATTAGTTCTCCTAGAATACTGGGTCTCTCGATTCTTTACAAGGCACGGGGGATTCCGTTCTAAATTGCATAGTGTTGAAAAATATATAGATCCTTTACTCTACAGATTTGAAGTACCAGAGACAGCTGAGTATGCCATAGTCTACTGCACCACCTTTTGGCGGTCTGAGGGCCGGAATGCTGAGGAAAACTGGACTCAATGCCGTTGCAGACAACTAGTGATAGAACAGAACTACTCGTATTACTTTGTAAGATTTTGTTTGTATGGCACACGTCAATCTGAGGAGAAGAGGACTAGCTCCTGGAAGAGTGCCAGACTGACGGAACTATCTTCTATCTCAAGGCCCTAAGGAGAGAACAATATTTTACGAGAAGTTTAGAAATCATGTATCTTTAATAGCAAGGATGGCATACACACAGTTTTGTGATCTTCCATCCCTAAAAAACCTGTGTAGCCAAAAGGCAAGAAAGGAAATAAATAAAACTAGTAGGCCTGTGCAAAAAATTCGCACAGCATATTGTTATCAAAAGCCAAATTAATAAGAAAGATAATAATGCAACGTATCAAAAGATAAATAAATCAAATGTTCCTTTATCGATAAATATAATCGACAAAGGAAACAAAAATTAATTTAAATCTTCAATTCTGTTTGGAACCAACATGTATACAAATTTCGGTAAGCTGTATCTTTGCTAAATATTGTCCGATTTCAATGATTTTTTTTTTGCATTTTGTAGAGAATTTACTAATATTTTATATAATCATGGGCATAACCAAGGGAAAAGTGTAATTTTTTAGTTATTCGCAAATAAAGTTTGTTTTCTTTCATAACTTAACCGGCTTAAAAACGCAGGATCTGATAGTTCCGGAGGAACTATCAGGGTCTTGCTGTACGCATCTAAATCTTCAAGATCTAATTTATCCCGTATCGATCTACAGACCTACCAGCGTTCCAGTATTGAAGCCTAGCAAAATGTTTGTATCGACTTTATTTATTTTAGAAAGAAAATCAAAAGTGGAGAATATGATTCGCTAACCCCCCATGAAATTCTGAATCCAACGGTACCCCATTCATGGTATTTGAGCATGACAGGAGCTTATATTTGGTACAAAACCGATTTCAAGCCTTACTGTAATAATATATGTGGGGATTCGTAGCATTTATATTTTCAAAATTTCTGTCATACTTGAAATAATTGAATGGAACATATTTTAGATATAATTTTACCGAAGCATTTAATTTAATACTTCATTAAAAATTATGATGTATGCTTTATATAATAATTTTGTAGTTCCTTCATACATATTCATTCGTAATTGTATTTTGCATTGTAAATACCCATTAAATTATGCTTATGAATATGAATATCGATTAAATCTCACTAATATTATTTGTTTTAATTGAAGGCTAATGTCGCCGATGAAGATAAACTTTGTGGAACAGAAGATTCTTTTGCTGAAACTCTTATCCTCGCCGAAGTAGATGAACCCGATTCAGATTGCTCCGTATCCAAATTGAATGATGATTGCTTGCTTCTCATCTTTGACTGGTTGCCCATGAATGAACGGCTGGTTCTTAATAAGGGTAATGAAATAAAGCAATACTTATTTTAATATTTAACTTTCGTTAGTATCAGAGCCCTTCGAAAATGTGTTGTTTTTTTTTGGGTCTATTATGGCACTTAATTTTTTTAAAACCCTCCTTTTAAAGGAGGATGTGAGCCAATATACTATTCTGCAGCTAAGACCCTTTTTTATTTAATTATTTATAAACCTACAACTTTTTTATTTATGACAATTCTCAGAAACGGGGTATTTTCTTATTATATTAATTAATTTAATGAGGTACTACAAACTCTTTAATAGCGATTTGTTTCTGATAGGATCATAATATAATTTGTTTACCAAATTAAGATAAAAGGTGGCATACAAAAATATTGGGCTGTTTGGCCAATGTAACCTTGTTATTCTAACATGTTGGACTCCAAATTTCCCAATATTTTTGCAAATGACCTTTGTAAATAACCTATTAAGGGTTTATTGTAAATAACCTGTTTTGGCGGCAATTGTAAATATTCCTTCCGCTAAGTCAGGGGACTAGGTTATTTACACTCGAGAATTTAATTTTCTTAAAACAAAACCCCGGCACTGGATATAGACTTTTGAGGGTGTTTAACTGTTGTTGGGAATTCGGAAAACTAATACTTTTGTGACACTGAGTGAGAATAAATAATAAGAATATATATATGAAATGTCGGACTGAGTAAATACACTTTGAATGAACTGACTCACCTGATTTATTATTCTTCAATTGTGAGGCCTATAGGACAACTAAATAAAAGGACTATTCACTCCTGTCTAACAAAACAATTTATTTTGACAACTGTAATAAGTGAATCTATTAAAGTCTTATAACTTTAGGCTTGATCTTCTTAATCTTCAGCGCAGTGCCTCTCTCTTCTGACAACAACCGTTCTTCCTGTCCCAGCCTAGAGTGTTTGCTTTGTTCTCCCAGCGTCCTTCAGTCGCTTCCATCTATCGGCCCTTTTCCTGATTTCCTTTTTCGTCAATTTTTTATCGATATTTTATTTTTTAATAAACCACTTGTCCTCTGCATAATTGAATATAATTCATAGTGCAACCCTACATTCCTTCTCATTCTCTCACTTAATGTCATATAAATGAGTAAATACTAGAGGCCATCTACTACACCTTTTTTTTTTTTTTTTTGATCAAATTATCATACGATTCAAGTGAAAAGCAAATGGGTGTTCATGAGTTATTATTACCGCATTGAGTAGACAAAGATTACCATTCTCCAGATTGAGAAAACTGTTTTAAGAATTTTAACCTTTTTGATCTGGTTTAATTTTAACGTTACAAAGATAGCACCAAATTGAATTAGAAATTGAGGAAGTTGCTGGAAGTTTACTATGTTATGAAATGCATGAATTAACAAATAAACTATATAATATAATATATGTAATAATATTTTTTTCACAGTTTGTCGTAGATGGAAACTATTAAATATGCGTATGTGGCACGGTATAAAGAAGTTGGATTTTACTGTTCCGCCTCTTGATTCTACTTTGTCCGACGAACTCCTTAGAAACTATCTGAGCCTTTGTCCAAATGTGACTCACATCAACATCGCTCAAGATGGACATAAACTAACTGCGGATGCTATTGTCACAATTGGTAAGTCGAAAATTAATGTTTCAAAGTAGAATATTGTAACATCCCTCTCATGTTTTACAAATAATAATAATACCCCGGAAGCTCACTTCTTACCATTGGGATATTTCCTAAATAAATAAGAGGTTGTTTAATAATAAACAAAATTATAAGAGAATTAATATATTTATTTATCTCAGATGTGGGTTACTGACAATCAGATCAACTCGGACAAACTATTATTATTTACCCTATTTATATTAAAATTAAAAATAAAGTCAAGTATGAATTGACAAGCTAACCTTTTTTCTACATAGAATGTTTCTTCCTTTGTGGCACTGAACTCATTTGTCTTCACACATTTTCTTATGTTCTGCCAAACAAATATCCCAAAATGGTAACACTATTCTTTCACTGAACTCAAGCTCTCTGGGAAATCCTCACTCTTGCAATTCCAAACAACTATTCTCCCTCCCAAACAAGATCTTCTAAGATGGTAAAACTATTACTGGGTTTTACCCACTGGAGCCAGGATAGGATATCTTTTCTTAACCTCTCTTCACTGCAGTCACACAACAAACTGTTTGCCAAAACAAAAACCTTTGTCCCTCTCCTCTTTGGGATTTTCCTTCTTGGGAAATTACAGAGTAGCCATTTTCTTTTCTCTGTACTAGTAGAACTAAATTAGCTTGCCTTTTAATTGTTCAACATTAATTTATTAAATCATTTTTATCCACTTCCAATAAAGGTGTATATTACAATATTTTATATTTGATTAGATTGTTAGTATATGAATTAAGCGGAATCTTGATATGATCATGGGAGTTTTCAATATTGATTTAGATATTATTAATTTTTTTTTTTTTGTTTTAGCTAATTGCTGCAAGAAACTGGAATCAATAGTGATTAGAGATATTAAAATTCATAAAAGGAGTCTAGCTTTTTTGGCAAGAAGCTGCCCTATGCTTAAATCATTTTCCATGGATGGTAAAGCCCTCTTTTTTGTTTTGTTTTCATGAAATTTTTAATTTTTACTTAACAATACTTTTCTTAATTTCCTTATTCCTTTAAAAAAAAAAAAATAAATAAATAAACATGCAACGAAAAATAAAATCCTGACTTCCATTTTATCTCTGAAATAAATTATTTCTATTTTGTACCATGAATTAAAATAGAGACAAATAACTAATAGAATTATAAAGTTTAAAAATAATAATGTGAAGAGTTTATTTCTTTAAAAACTAATTATTTTCTCACATGATGTGCCATTCTCAGTCTTTTCAATTGAACTTTAGAAGAATAGTATGATAGTTTTCCTTTAACATTCTTGAGTCTAGGGGCACTGGTTTTGATCGGTACATAAAATTGAACTGGCCTGTAGAGGTTCTAACTTATTTTGTGGTAGACCAATGGAATGAATCTCGACCTCCCCACTCCGGTTAAGGTAGGTTTTGGTTGTGCCTCTAGGATAGGGAACCTCAACCTTTTTTCCCCTGCAGGCACGTTTATAAGTTATGTTTTAGGCAGTGGGCGTCATGTTTTTTTATTAAATTTGAATTGCAGCTAGGTTACTGTTTAAAAAGAAAATGTTAAGGATATCAATAAAAACTTACATATGTATTGTTAGGCCTCATTCGCTCAGATCTTTATTTTTTTTTTCCCATTATCCCTTTTTTAATGTTAGTTAAATAAAATGTTTATTTATTTTTTGAAAAGGTTTGAGGGACAATTGTTCCTATAATGTATCTCAGTTTATAGTATTTAAATATTGGGTATTATTTGCGATGTGTTATGACATTTGTATGTGCACCCGGCAGTAATACCTAGTCTTAGGGATTAAGATATGAAAATACTGCCGGGTGGGCAGTCTGGAACTAGCCTTTTTTTTTTTTTGTGTTGGCCATGAGCACGTCGACCCCTAATGGGTCCATTGTGCGCCAATTTCAGTTAGTCGTTTTAATTAAAAGGTTAATCCTGTCGCTTCCGCGTATCTAAATAGGCTGATTGGATTGACCGACTCATAACCTCTGGGGAGATCCATTTGTTCCTCCCCAAATACCATCAGTCTCAGCCTTGTAAATCTATCACATCTGCATATGATGTGAAAAGCTGTTTCATTCTCCTCCTGACAGAATCTGGATAGTGGATTCGTTATTACTCGGAGATTGAACATATGATAGTTTACCATTGATATAATATGAGAAGGAGTTAGTCGAGGGTGCGGTCAAATAAATGAAAAAATTAAAATAATTTATATATTTTAATTTTTTTATTTATTTGACTGCACCCTCGACTAACTCCTTCTCATATGATAGTTTAGCTTACAGTGACCAAGCTTTTTAAGGGCTGCTCTGTCCATGTTCAGTAGCAGTAGCTCTTTTCACAAGGACCTTTAAGGAACAGCTTCGAATGTCGCTGTTTCTTGTCGGTCCAGTAATTACTAAATTTGTTTCCATAAATCTCCCTGATCCTACGCTTGGCGGTGCTGAGGCTGATTCCACAGACAGGCTCGGGAGTTACAGGAATGGTATCTGAGCCCAATCTGGCTAGTTCGTCAGCCACCTCGTTGCCTGGTATGCCAGAGTCACCAGGCACCCACTCTATTGTGCTCAGTTAGTTCGTTAAGTGCTGTGTTCAACTAGCCTTTGTGGACGTCTATCCCTACCAGTCCAGACTCACTTCACTTCACCTCATCTCACCTAGCACCATTTTCAAAGAACAGCTGCTCGGCTCATCGACAGTCGTTGATCGAGATCGATTCGATACTTTCTCACCGTCGACTGTTGGGCATCGTAGAAGTAGAAGGTAACCTCGTTGGAAGCAGAACCACCAACTTGGCTCGTCTTTTATTATTCTCCACCGTCACGAAAGACAGTAAATTAATTTAATTTTCGTTTCACCTGTAAATTATTTTTATTCTTTTGAACAGTTATTTATTTTCTCTTGGTTTTATTTATAATTTAAGAAGTTGGTTTTATATATATTTTATTCATAATGTTTAATTTGTTTTTATTTTCTCTGGATATTATATTTATGTTTTATTTTTTCTCGTAACTTTTCATCCTTGTTTATTTAAACTTTTGTATAAATTTATAGCTTTTTCCACTATAATAAATTGTAAACGTTCAAAAGGGGATTTTTATTTTCCATTTTACTGGCTGAATATTTTTATTTTGATATGTATGTTTTTTGTTTTTCTCTTTTATAGGTCTCATTTTTATTCACTAATTTTTTTCCCCTTCTTTCCCTTCATTTTTCATTTTACTCGAATTTTTCCCACCTTTGAGGAAACGCACCAGGGAAAGATTTGTACTTCGGTTTTGAAGTACCCCTGGCCACAACATGTATAATAACAGAAATCTTTGATGTTTTTTAAAACTAATGTAATATATTTATACAGAAAAGGCAGAAACACCAAGTGTAATTGATGTTATTAATTTCAGATAGTTTTGTTTATATTATGATGCATTTAGACGTTTCACAAACTATGAGACAAACAAATATAAGTGATTATTTTCATCATCATCATCATCCGATGGCGCTATAGTCCTTGTAAAACCAAGGCCTCCTCTACTATCTTCCTCCAAATCGACATGTCTTCGACCGCCCTTCTCCATCTGCTTACACCCTGGCTCCTTAGATAATTTTCGACGTCTTCCAGTCAACAAAATCTAGGCCTGCCTCTTTTCCTTCTTCCACCTGGATATTCCTCCATAATCATTTTAGGGAACATACCTATATCAATGACCTCCATGACTCAATTCTCCATTGTTCCCACCACCTTTATGCAGACGATTCTCAAATATACCTATCCTTTTCTCCCCCTGAGCTATTGGTAGCATTTACTAAGATCCAAGCAGACCTAGATCGAATCTGTGCCTGGGCAAAATTAAACGGATTAAGGTTAAATGCTTCAAAAACTCAGGCCATTGTCATTGGTTCCAAGCCCCTCCTTAGATCCTATACGGACTTTCCCATACTAAACCTTGGTGACCAGCCAATCTCCTTCTACTCCTCTGTAAAAAATTTAGGACTATTTATTGATCAAACCCTCTCCTGGAGTCACCATATTTCTCACATCTCCCGACGGACAGTCTCTACCCTCAAACTATTCCATTGCTTCCGCCATCTCCTACCTCAACATACGCGCAGACTCCTCGTTTTCTCTCTCATCTTCCCCCACTTTGACTACTGCTGTGTGGTGTATGATGGACTCTCGGTGGAGCTCCGCGACAGACTGAAAAGAATAATGAACAGTTGCGTGAGATTTGTAATTGGTGCCCCGAGATACTACCAGGTCTCTCACCATTACACTGAGTTAGAGTGGCTCTTCCCCTCCATTCGAAGACAATATTTCCTAGGTGCATTCCTCTATCATATCATCAGCAATCATCGTCCTTCCTACGCCTACAACCTTCTCCAATTCAAGTCCTCAGTCCACTCCCTCTCCACAAGATCTCGACCTTCCGACCTTTACATTCCTTCTCACAGATCTGCCTCGATCCAAAACTCCTTTATTGCACGTTCTGTTAGTTTCTGGAATTCCCTTCCTATCAAAATTCGACATTCTTCATCCTTATCTACATTCAAAACCCTCCTATTCCAATTCCTGTCCCAAAAACAGTCAGGCACCAGCTAATCTTTTATGTAAAATTACACATTATCTATAAGATCATATTCACATATAGCTCATGACCTGAATACTTATTATAGATTCGACTTTCTTTTTCTCTTTTTTTTTTTTTTTTTTCTTTTTCAACAGAAACAGATTTTACTGTTAAGAAGAATATACATTTATTTTTTCTGTATTTTTTATTTTTTCTTAAAGGGTTTATTTATATTTTAACATCGTACATAGTTTTAAATATCTTAGTATGGTTTCAAGAGTTTTTTATATAGATTTTTTTATTTTATTTTGTATATAGTATGTATAACCAATATTTTTTTTCTTTTCTTTTCTTTAATTACCTATCATTATCTTAATTTGTTATGTTTGTTTTTATCTGGCCAGATGTAAAATTTTAATTTCTGTACTTTTTTGTTATTCTGAAGGGACTTCGTCCCAGAATAAAATTATTTTTCTATTCTATTCTATTCTAAATATTAAATATATAAATATATTATATACCATGTTCCATTCTTTGCACGTGACCCAACCATCTTATCCTCCCCCTCTTCATGGTGGATATAATGTCTGAGGCATTATATAGCTGCTTCAGCTCGTCGTTTGTTTTCGTGTGCTAAAGATTTCCTTCTTTGGTTGGGGCCATAAATTCTATGAAGGATTTTTCTTTCTCATCTGTTCAATCGTCCCTCTTCGTTGGAGTGTGAGTGTCCAGCACTCGCTTCCATATATAACAACTGGTTGCAGGACCGTGTTATATACTCTTGGTATATCGCAATTTCAAAATATTTGCTTATGGACCAATAACACTTATTACCAGCTGTGATCCTTGCATTTATTTCTTCTCTTATGTTATTTTCAGTGATAACAGTGCCTAGATACCGAAATTGTGGTACTCTTTGAGATCTCCCTCGTTTTTAACACATAATTATTATGTTACCAAGCTATCATTATTTTTGTTTCTTGTTTTTAATAATTTCCATCTGCTGTTGGTATCATGATAAATAAAATAAATGGTTTGATTTAGCTTATAAATAATATCACTGTTAGTTAAGTTAGTTAATTGTGTTTCCCATAGTTTGTGAATAAATTTTGAAATTACAGTTAAAATTAATTAGAAGCAATATAGATTATAACTATATAACTAGTTAAAAAAATAAAAATGAATTATTATTTTCAAATAATTCATTTATATTTTGAATTATATATCTATAAAGTCATGTTAGATTTTTAAATATACATATATTTAAGAAAAAACATTTGAATTGAAAACTCGTCTATCTGCAGCAAGCCTCGTTAAACAATAAGTTAAACAATAAGCCTCGTTAATTCTTTTGCATTTGCGAACTAATTTATAAGTAAAAATTTTATTTAAGGCAAAATATGCAAATTTGTTTGAGTGAAAACTTAAATTGTGCAATTTAATTTAAAATAAAATTAATCATGATGCTTTAATTCGTCAAAATAAATTATTCTTAACTGATTTTAAGCCAACTGAAAAAAATCGCAGTTGCAACATAATCCTGGCTCTGTTGATAACATCATGTTAATTGCCAGAAGATCCATGATATTTTGGTTATGTTATATTATTAGGATTTAAATGTTTGAAACTAAATAAAGTTCGAAGCAGTATTTTTTTTGTAAAATGATATATATACAATTAAGCCTCCCTCCCATCTTGGGAATAGTTGAAAAACAAAAAGAATAAAATATGAAAAAAATAATACCTATACTGTGGTAGTTATTCAAGTTAATTTGCTTCTTATAATAAAGTTAAGGATTTATGGATGTATTATATACTTACTATAATATATATAATTATATATAATATAATTTGGAGGAAGTTCCACCGATAATGGAAGATGAAGTTACTGTTGCCATTAAAAGGCTTAAATCTGAAAAAAGTCCGGGACCGGATAACATAACAAATGAAATTTTAAAAGCAGGAGGAAAAGCTCTAATTAAAGAACTGTCAGAATTATTTAACTTAATTCTCCAGGAGGGAAAAATTCCAAAGCAATGGAGAATCGCAAAGATAACCTTACTCCATAAAAAAGGCAATATGCATGACATAGAGAATTACAGACCCATCTCCCTTTGTTCAACCATGGCAAAACTTTTTACCACCATAATTAAACAGCGACTCACAAAAAGAATTATGGAGTGTATAGCAGATGAACAGGCAGGATTCAGAAAAGGATTCTTAACAATAGATCACATCCAGACGGTAAATCAGATGATCGAGAAAGCCAAAGAATATAATTTCTCTCTCTACCTCTGTTTTCTTGATTTCAAGAAGGCTTTTGACACCATTTCACATGCAAGTATAATTAAAGCACTTAGAGCAATAGGTACAGAAGAGAGATATATAAAGATTCTAACAGAACTTTATGTCAGCATACATTATGACAGAAAAGAAAGGTCAAAGCTTCAGGGTTAGGAAAGGGGTTCGTCAGGGAGACCCATTATCACCTATGTTGTTTATCTTGGTGTTGGAGCTGGTGTTTTGGAATCTTGAATGGGAGAATGTTGGTATAAGGGTGAATGGTAAATGGTTGAGCAATTTATGTTTTGCCGATGACATCGTGCTCTTTGCCAAAAATAGTCGACAATTGAAGGAAATGATTATACAACTTTTAAGGTTGTGCGAACAAGTCGGTTTATATCCAAACTATAATAAAACCAAAATAATGCCAAATAGGGAGCCAAAATAAATAAATACACCTTAGAATATGTAGACGAATATGTGTATCTAGGCCAGCTGGTTTCCTTCTCGGATAGAGCAACAAAAGAAGTACAAAGAAGAATCACAATGGTATGGAACAAGTTTTGGTCACTGAGGCACATAATGAAAGGAGATTTAGATGTGGATCTTAAAAGACAGACCTTCGATAGCTGTATCCTCCCAGTAGTGACATATGGTTCTCAAACTAGGTCGTTAACTAAGGCCCACGAGAGAAAAATCCAAGTGTGGCAGAACAGTATTGAGAGGAGTATTATGAAGGTAAAGAAAAGAGAAAAAATAAGATGCACTAAACTAAGGAAAGAAACAGGCCTCAAAGATACAATTTTACAGTTGAGGAAAATTAAATGGAAATGGGCTGGTCACCTCTTACGTAGCAACGATGTTAGGTGGTCGAAAATAACAACCGAGTGGACGCCATATGATCTAAAAAGGAAGAGAGGCCGACCAGTGAAGAGATGGTGCGATGTATTCAGGCTGACGATGGGACCCCTCTGGTGGAGAGACGCTAAAGACAGGGTTATATGGAAAAAGAAGTGGACGGAGCTCACGGACCCCGCTTCTCAACAGGGCTAGTCACCCAGAGAAGTGCTGACTACTACTCCCTCATGGGAAGGCCTGTGCAGGATGAAAGACAGAAGAAGAAGTATATAATTGTGTATGTGTGTGTGCGTATCCATGTAGATATGCATGCTATTTTATATTAGTACTTATAAAAAAAAAAAAACCATTTGTACATATGTAACTACTTATTTTGCATAATAAAGGCTATTTCATTTCATTCATATACTATACTTAATGAGGTATATAACATTGAATTTATAGCAAAAATCCACTGAGTACATGATAATATAGCTTAATTTTAAAATATATTTTTGAAAATTTAGACTATATTTATTGATACAAAAGCATTTCAAGTGCATGAAAACAACACAAACACTTTTATACACCAAATATAGTTACACAATTGCACATTTTTTTAATTTTATTTAATAAAGGAAGAATTAAATAAAATTCTTAAATATTTAAGGTTACGAAATGTCACTTAATGACTTGTAAATGATGATATATTCAACAGAAATAGAATGATATACCTGAATGAGCTTGCTTATGTGATCCAATTAAAAAAAATATAAAATAAATTAAATATATGAAAACATAATCTTTTTCTCTACTAATTTATAAGTATATATATATTAATTGTAGAGAAAAAGATTATGTTTTCATATATTTAATTTATTTTGTATTTTATTTATTTTTTTATTATATATATATATATATATATATGCTTCAGGGGCATTAAATTAAACCTTTTGATATGTGCCTTAAAAGTGATATACTGTTATATTATTCTGTTATTCAATTATAAAATTTTATTCTAATTTATATTTACTAATGATTATGACAGCATGTTCTACTCAACACGATGGTGAAATGGTGGCCTTGGTTAAGAAATCTTCCCTTGAAGAAATCAGCTTGAAGTACAGTGCTTCTTCTGTCGGGTTATGGTTAAAATACTTGCATCCTCCATTAAAATCGATGTCGCTGGAAATGTATGAATTCAGATCAGATTTCTTATTACAGGTATGATAATATTCCATCTATTATTATTTTTTTTTAAATTCTTCATGAATTACAGTTTTTGTATTCTTCTCAAAATCGCAAATATGTCATATAAGGTAAAAATCCAAGTTTTCGGCACTCATTGCAGTTATTAAAGAATATTATGCATTGGAATGGTCTAGAGGTGGCAAAAAGTACTCGTTTGAAGCAGGACCCCTCCAGCGCTCGTTTATTTTCGTTACTTTAGTTACTCGTTATTTTAGAATCTCCCACTATTTATTTAGTTTTATAGCTCGAAAAAATCGTTGAAAATTATAAACCTGACAGATGTCCCCCAGAAGAACAAGAAACACACATTCCTGCATAGTATTATTGTAGTTCTTTTTATTTTGAAGGCTGCCAGATTTAATTCTTAAGGTTTTTGAAAATTTGGTAAAGTTTGTCGAAAACTCGCGAATACAGATATCTTTACATTTTTCCATTTTACTATAAAAAAAAAAAAAAAAATCAAAAATACTGCTTCACATATGTTGTTAGATTACATTCATTTGAAAAGTAATCAAACAGTTTCTGAACCAAATTATTTTTATTTTACACAATAATTATTTTAAATTATTTCTCAGGTTGGTTTGAGACAATTCAGCACACATTCCTCAAATATATAATATAAAAGCATACATTAATTATATATAACATTTATGAATTTCCATTCAGTTTTGTCGGGGTCTACTCTTGACACTTTCTAATTGTCATTTATTTTGCACTCGCCCTGGTCCGCAGTGAATCTTCCTCTGTATTAATGCTGCATGCTTTATTTACTATATTAAACTTCTGCAATCTTATAGTTCCCTTTCTTCGTTTAGGTACCCACTACTTGTTGGTCTCGATGATCTTTCCTTGCTGGATGGTCACTTTTTTTTAACATTGCTTTCCCCTCCATTTCTCTTTCTCCGCCTCTTTGTCCATTTTCGACAGTAGTTCGTGACGTCACTGCTTTCGTGCCACTATTTAAATTCACTGTGTAATATTTACATTACAATATATTTTGAAATTAGAGATCTTTACTGACTTAACAGAACCGAAATTGTTGAATCTAGTACTCATGCGATTGAAAACGGTACAAACACAGTTTAAAGTTTCCTTAAGAGTGCCGAAAACTGGGTCTTTTACCTTATGTTGTTTCTGAAGCAACCTGTTCAGTTTAATATCTCTCTTATCAACTGAATAATTGTTGTATCACTTTTCTGTTATTTATATATTTTTTTGTAGGGGATAAGAAATGTTAAAGACACCTTAAAAGAGTTGAGATTTGTCTCTTGTGAGTCGATACGGAGTAATGATGTGGAAAGGATAGCGTCGATAGTGCCTGAACTGAATTCATTGACGCTCGCTGGAGGATTTATCGATTTTAAGTCGCATTCTCTCACTCCGATAACTAAGTTGAAGAAGCTGACACGACTTGATTTGGATAACAATGCATTCGTTTGTGATCACTTTCTCAACGAGCTTTCTCAACAGTGTAGTCTCTTGAAATACTTGAGTCTATCAGGTGGGTTTAACTTCACTTATAATTAATTTTTGAAGAAACGTATTTGTTTTTAAAATAATCTGGTCTGTACAGTTATCATCAAACCGTTATTATTTCAGCAACCATGACGTTTTAGATTTTAACGTCATTTCTAAGGAATAAAGTTTGGTGAAATGTGTACAGACAGCCTAGATTATTTTAGTAACTTAATCTTGAATGCATTTGTTTTGTTTTCTCAATAAATATGGTTAAAAATATTTATTTTACTATAAATCTTGATGCGGTGGATTGGTTAATTTAATGTTCGTGCTATCCTGATACTTCATATAAAAGGCATTATCTCATTTTATTAGAGTCTGACTGCCATGGCTTTTTTTTTTTTTTTTTTTTTTTTTTTTTTTTTTTTTTTTTGTATTCCTGTGTAAAAAGCCATTTTAATGGTTACAAATATTTATTTTTATTATAAATCTCAATGCAAATTATTGTTAAATTTAACATACTTACTATCTTAATACTTCATATAAAAGGATATTATCTAATTTTATTAACAGACTGGCTGGCATGAAATTTTTTAGGGATTCCTCTGTAAAAAGCCATTTTAACTTAATCTTATTATATTATTAAAAACTCTAAATTTTGTTTATGAATTCATTTTATTGTAACCTACAACTTCTTTATCTTTGAACATTATTAGAAATGTGGCGTTATAAATCTAGAAATCTATTAACTTTGTTTATTTAATGAGTTACATAAAACTCATCAAAACCCATTTGCTTTTCACTTGAATCGTAAGATAATTTAATCATAAAATTGAGGGAAAAGCTGGCCTACAAAAACATTGGTCCATTTGGCATGACCATCTCCCTTAATGCGTTAAAATAGCAAGGTTATGTCAGCCAAATAGTCCAATATTTTCGTAGGCCACCCTTTTTCTTGATTTTGTGATAAATTCATCTTACGATTCGAGTTAAAAGCAAATGGGTATTCATGAGTTTTAGTGTCTCATTAAAGTAACAAAATTTACCAATCTTCACATCGAAAACACTATATAATTTTCTTGAATAGAAAAGTTGTAGGTTATGATAAAATGAAGCCATTCATAGATTTTATTCACATATCAGATCATTCCATAAGTAATGTCAGTATTTGATTGCATCATATAAAGGGGTGAGATATAATCAATGAAACATTTCAATCTAAAATATATTGATCATCTTGTTCTATAATAGTTTGCTTTTTTAAGCGAATTTTTTTTTTTTCTGAAAAAATTTTGTTTTTGAATTAAAGGTATAAGTAGTTTCCCAAGTTACAACTATAGTAATTGTTCCTTGGGCCATTTAATATTTTTAAAAATGATTTTTTTCGTAGTCAAAATCTGGTGATAAAATAATTTAAAAATTAATATAGTATCTTCAAAGCATGACAAATAAAATTCTATTTTGAACTTTTAAAAATCATTGTTATTTTATAAGTTATGGAGCATTGATAAAAAAGTGACCCAAGATACAGGTATTTACCTATATATTAAGTTTGTAGCAATAAAACACAAAAATGTTCCAGATTTATATGATATTTTTTGCCAAGATAATTAATGTTGAAGAAAAGTGGTGGGGACGAAACTACGTCCAAGTGGAGAAACAAGGCTGCATTAGCAGCCGCCAGTGCTCTACTCGCACCCTTGATTATATAAAACATTTTAGCATAAAATATTTTTTCCAGCTTCAAAACTTCCATACAAGAATCATTTTGTTTTTTCTCTCACTCAAATATTTAGTTATATTGTTAACTTTTATAAATCCATGTTTATAAAGTAGAGCTGAGAGAAGTTTAAGAGTATCTTGTTTGGTAGATGTATGCATGCCACAGTGCACTCAGGCCATACCCACGGCCCCCACCACACCTCTCAGATGTACTGTTATTTCATGTTTTTAGCTAAATATGAAACCATTCCTTATTGTAGAAGTGTTACCTCAACCTTTTATTCATTAATTATCACTTCAATTGCAGTTCAAATTTACATGTATTTTTTTTCTCGCAAGTACCAAATTGTAAGAAAAGAATATATGTGATTTTCACAATATTTCTCCAATTTTTCTTCAGTGCATACTATTTATTTTCAAGTTTATTTATTATCAGCCATTTTACACCAATTTTGTCAACTTAATGACTACATATCTAATTACGACGTTACGGCTCGAAGTCTAAATACTAATCATGTACCTGTCCTTTTCACTTATGCAAATTGCATGCGTCTACTCATAATAAAAATTTTTATTTTTGTCATGTTCATCTTATCATGTGTCACTGAATAGAAATGAGACTGATGACATGTCGGTGACACATGATAAGGTGGATATGACAAAAATAAAAAAAATGATTATGAGTAGACGCTTGCAATTCGCATAAGTGAAAAGGACAGGTACATGATTGCTATTTAGACTTGAAAATGGCTCAACGAGCCGAAACGTAATTAGATGTGTAGTCATTAAGTTGACAAAATTTTGAAAATTGGTGTAAAATGGCTGATAATAAATAAATTTGAAAAGATATGTGATGTATATAATTATTCAAATTTATTCTCAAGTCCGTTGTAAAAAACACTTTATCCAAAACTGTAAAAAAATTTTATGGGTGATAAATATTCAGGACGCAGTCTTTTTAATTTTTTATTTATGCCAATGTTTCAACCCAAAGATGTGTGTCATCTTCAGTGCTCACAAACCATGCCCTGAAGATGACACACATGTTTGGTTTGAAACGTTGGCATAAATAAAAAATTTAAAAAGACTGTGTCCTGAATATTTACCACCTATGATATGTAGAACAGTCGACTAACTTCCTTTAAAAAAATTTTATGGTACAGATTTTGATTTAAATTTAATTTAATATATGGACAAAAAGATCCTTGAATTTTTGCATGTTATATCTCTGTATATATTAAACTATTTTTTTTTTTAATTTTAAAACAAAACTATCGTTTTATTTTAAGAATTTGTGTATCATCTTTCAGTAATTATTTTTTGTAGGAATAGATGACAGATATTTGACGGTGCAAGGTCTCAGCGTATTGTCGGAATTCACCAGGCTGACTCATCTCACTTTGGCGTGTTTGATCAAACTCGATGATTCGATACTCAAGTCAATTTCGCAGAAAATCAAAAACCTACAACATTTGGACCTCATGGGTTGCAGTTCCATCACAGATGAAGGATGTCAAAGGTAATGAATTTTGATTTATTATAATTAGGGCATAGTTTAAACGTAACGTATCTAATCTGTTTCAAAAATAGAGTACTTTTGCTAAGCGTAAATAAAATTAAAAATTTTAGACTAATATAATGAATTTAATCGAAATAGTTGAAGCTGCTTTTGAGAAAATCGTAATAATACAGAAAATAGATTATATAAAGAGCCACTTCCGACTAGTCCATTTTAGCGTAAAGGTAAAGGTTGGCGTCTTTTTTACTTTAGGTATGCTAGTTATTTACTAACAGGAAAAGTATTTGTTATAGAAAATCTTCCATTGTTTATATTTAATTATCTTTTATATTAGAAATTAATGTAAAATGATCAATTATTAAAAATTGAAAAAATGAAAGGTACTTTAAGGAAAGCTAGTATTGAAAATTAACCATCTGAGCCCTGTTAGAGAACATCAATCAGAATAAAACCTATATTTTATTTAAAACTGCTTAATTTTACCCTGATTTAATGAACTTAATAAAAATTGTTAGTCATTTTCGAGAAAATCGTAAAAAGTGTTTAGTCCATAATATAAGGTGCCTCTTCTGGTTAGCCGATTTTGACGAAAAAGTTGCTGTAACATCTCAAGCATATAAAATCCTTAAATATGCAATTTCACTTTCGTACGACTTTTCATTTTTCAGCTAGACTGTTAACACCGTCACACAGACCATTTTGCGCAGGACTTCGTTATTTCGGATCAGGGAACCTCAAAACATGTATTTCAGTTGAAAACTCAGATTCCAAAATTTCCATGATCGCAATACTTTCTCTTACTATATATTTGATGTATAGGTAAGTGAAAGTATTAACTCGCATATATAAAGTAAATAATACCTTTTGGCTGTTGTAAATAACCTACTTAAAGTTAAATGTTAATTTCAGTTTCTCATTCTTACAACTTTATCACTCATATTTTGCGAAACTTGGTTATTTATACTCAGAGGACCTCAAAAAAAATTTTCACGATCCCATTGAAATTATTAAAGGTTTAAAAAAAGAAAACTATTAGTATAGAAATTTAAAATTTCCTATTCTTGCATTATTATTTGAATAAATTTCTTATTAGTACTTGGCGTGTTCTTCCATTAGGACATTTGTGATAAACAATAATGATATCGTTACATGAGCCCACAGAAGTTAGCTCCTCATGACAGTTTTACACATTATTGTAGTTTTGAAAGCATTATTTACTTCACATAACTTAAGTCCATCAGTGCTTTTCAGTGGTTTAATTAAGATATTATGTTATTTATAGTTATAATAATGTACTAAACCTTTTTTTATTTATTTTACAGCATTGTTAAAAATTGTAAGGAATTGGAAATCCTCGACGTGAGTGGTTGCATGCACGTTACCAACCTGACCGTAACAGCTGCCATCGCAAGCAGTTTGGAAAATGCAGGGAAGAAGAAACTCAAGATAATCGCCGGAGGTGCGTGGATTACATAATTAAAAAAAAAAAAAATCGATCTGTGTAACATTTTGTTATATTTTATTGTGACATCAATTATAAAATAATTGACTGTTAATTGTTGTTTTGTATAATATTATTGAAATTTAAATATAAAAATGACGCCAACTGCATAAATTCATAATTCAGTCGCGTTACTAGTAAGAATCGAGTTGTATTTTTAAATAATGATTCGATAGCTTCCATGATATATTAGTTATTCTGCTTGTATCACATGAAATATCAGTATTACATGCGACATCAAGAAAACATATAGAATACAATTTTTTTTATAATAATAAAAAGGCTTAGCAAACCCAAACTTTCGATGCCAACACCACCAATCGCTTATTACACACCGCCCACTACCAGTCGCCATCCAAACCCAGTCTTTTCAAATCTGCCCACCTTCGCTTCAGTCTATCCCTTGTTCGTTTATCAGTCAGCACAGCTTATATTAACCTTTTAGGAATTCTTTCTTTACTAAAATTTTATTTAGTGTACTAAATTAGTAAAGTATTTCATAGATTTTGAGGCTCACATATTTTCATAAAAACTGAATTTTTTTTTAAATAGGGCGTATCTTAAATCTGAAATATTTTTTAAAAATATTACTAAATCAATTTCCAAATGAAAATATAAATCTAAAAATCAGGGGTTGGAAATTTTGATTTTAAAAGTTTCTGTAAAATATTTAGGAAAAAAGTTTTTAAAATAAAAGTTCAAAGAAACTTTTTTGTTAAAAAAAAAATATATATGCTAAGCAAGTAGGAGAAATAAACATTAATAGGACTTAGATTACTACAGGTGTAATTGATCTTAAATAAATAACTTTATTCTCTCTCTTTCTTTTCGGAGTAGCTACAAATATGTTGCTCAACTACTGAGATAGACTTTTTGGCGAAATAAATTGCTTCAACAGAACCTATTTTTTATTTATTTTTTAAAATGAAAATTCTGTAAGATCAATCTTGAAATGTTGCAAGGAAAAGAGTTCTAGTTCCGAAATAACTGAAAAAATAAATTGAAAATCAAGATTCAAATCATAATGAAACAGATTAAAAATAAAAATTTCATTTTAAGATCGAGAAGAGTCTTGAAACTTTTTTCTTTTCTTTTTTTGTTCTCCCTTTCCTTGCCTTCACATGGTTATTCCTGGACCAGGGGCGGGGGCAGGGGAATTATGCTGAATTAAAATTCCCACCGGGTATCGGAATTTGAACTTGTAATATTTTTTAATTAACTTTGTATATCAGGTTGCCAGGCAACTTGCATTGCTGTGCACATGCATTAGCCACCCCGCCGCTCTCTTGAAGTCTTACTGCCATTTATTTTCTTTTAGATTCCGTTAAGAGGGAATATCACAAAATATTATTTTTCAAATATCTTTCTCACTACTGCTCTGTCCCTACAATGCTCTATACGAATTTTGTACATTTTCTGTCTGAAAGTCTTCTTCTGTCGGCTTCAAAGGATTAAAGCTTGTTCCATTTGATGAATGGTGATTTTTCACTTACGATCCTGAAACAAACCACCAATCCATGCACAGGAAGAAACCAACTTCACTAAGAGCTAAAAGATCTCAAAGAGCGAAGAAAAATTCAAAGCAATAGTGATTGTTTTTTTAGATATTCTTGGGATTTACCACCATCTCTGGGTTCCTGAAGGTCAAAACTGTTATTACTATAATCACTTTCTTGCTGAAAGAGAAAGCAGCATGCATCCTAAAGGAGCCGACAAAAGAAAACTTCTTGTGCTGTTTCAGACAATGGAAGATTTGCATGGAGTATTTTAGGGATAGAGGGGGTGTATATATTTAAAGTGATATTCAGTAAATATGTGTGAAATAAAACTAAATGTTTTACAGCATCAAACCACATTATTTAATAGAAATATTCTGTATATTTACATATTACTCATAATTCAAAAATATTTTTATGATTTGGGAAGGATTGCTTTTTTTTTTCGTTGGCATTACAGACCATGTAGATCTTTTGCCTCTTTAATAAGCCTGCTCCATCTCTGCCTGTCTCGGGCCATTTCTTTCCATTTATCTGCACGCAGCTCTATTACATCTTTGTCGATTCTATCTATCCATCTGCTTTTTGGCCTTCCACGTGTTCTTTTGCCTTCTATTGAGGCATTAATTGTTAAGTAGAGGCTTCCAGATGGATTGCTACGAGCTACATGCCCCACCCATCTTAACCTCCATGCCTTCATATTAATTGACCAGTTTCTGTAAGCAGTTATTTATTGGTCTTTCTTCTAAATGTGTTAGTACTATTTTTTGAGGCTTCGTGTTTTTCTCCGGAATAGGGTTATTAGCCCTATACCCAACCCTCAATCTGGAGGACTAGGAGCTATGGTCTAAGATATAGTGGTCACTCACCTCCCTGTGAATCTCTGCGTGGTGACGTTATTGTCCCCATGTGGGAATCAAACCCATGCCTTAGTTGTCGAAGTAATCGGGTAGTGCTTGCAATTTTTATTTTTTAAATTTATTATTATTATTAGCTATATATCGTTGGGAATGATATATAGGTAATAATAGACAATAACTTGGATTAACAGTGCTCGAATCATCTTGAATCCAATGTTTATCAATATATTGACATCCATGTCGCAAAAGTCTGTAAGTGCAAAAACTAAAATTATTTATGAGGAAGAATAATTCACTTGATTAAATTTGACAACTAGACTTTCTTTAAATTTCTTTTGCTTGTCAAAAAACTACATTATTTAGTTAACATTTTGGGGGAACGCTCTTCATCTAGAGACCTTCTTAAAATCATTCTGTACTGTATTCAGTCTTAATTTACATTTTTCAGTAACGGACTCCTTTTGTCAAACAGAATAAATAAATGTGGTTTATTTCTATCTTCTGAATTTTCTGAGAGATCTTTTCTATATTTTCATTTGATTAACCATAGCAACTAGACTTCCTTTATTTTTTGTTGTTTTTAGTTGACATTATCTAATTTTTGAACATGTTGAAATCATTCTATACTATATTCAGTATTTACATTTTTCAGAAACGGACTCGTTTTGTAAAACATTACAATTTTGGAAGAAAATTAGTTCGGCTGTTCTGCCTATCTTGGGTGATAGATAATCAGGACCGTCAGTTTTGTTAAGATTTTTATTTGCCAACGTTTCAACGAGCACTGAAGGGATTCAAGTTTTTTCAGAGTACCAAGTACTCCTGAGTACTTGAACACCTTCAGAGCTGGTAGCATGCCCTGATGATGACCCACATGCTTAAATTGAAACGTCGGCAGATAAAATCATTATAATTTTCAGTCAGTGCGTCAGTGACAAGCCTGAAACATTATATGGAAATTGTAATGTTTGTCAAAAGTAACCTGTTACCGAAAAATGTAAGTAAGAACTGCATATAACATGGAACGTAGCATGAGGTGAGTAACCTTTTTATAATGATAAAATGAGAGGTTCGCAGTAATTATAGGCAGAGCTAATGGAGGCTGCAATAATTCTTTATATTTTACCGTTGCTATTTTTATTTATCTCTAAATACAGACATGCACATACTTACATTCAACTTAATTCTATTAATTTCCAAAATGTTACTTAAATAATTAAATATTAATTAATTCTAGCACTAGATTAATAAATCTCTGAGGTCACGGTTCCTCATATATGGTATAGAATGATTTTAACATGATCTGAAATTGGAGAACATTTACTAAAGGATATAAATTGTTTTTTTAACAAATACCAAAAAAATAAATGAATACTAGTTGCTCACTTACAGGCCACTTTTGACAAATAGTCTGTGGTACAGACCCCTTTTTATTAAATTATTATCATCCGCCTGAAACTTCATAAATATTATCTTCTCATCATAACTTAAAACTATTTTATTTACGAAACCTCTTGTAATTGGAGCGTTTTAAATGTGGAGAGAGACAAACTTTGTCTATTTAATTAGGTACTAAAAATTCCTAAATACTCATTTATTTTCTACTTGGATTGTTAGATAATTTGATCACCGAATCGATAAAAAAGGTGCCCTACAAAAATATTGAGCCGTTTGTCCTATACAGCCTCGTTTGACAATTTGTGGGTGTATGTCACGCCAAACGGCTCAATATTTTTGAAGGCCACCTTTTTTCTCGAATTCGTGCTCAAATTTACGATTCAAATTGAAAGCAATTGGGTATTTACCATTTTTTTTAGCACCTAATTGAATATACAGTTTGCACCCATCCAGATTGAAAACTTCCCAATTCCTAGCGTTTTCGTAAATAAAATAGTTGTAGGTTACGATGAGATGAAAATATATACGAAGTTTCAGGCGGATGTTAATAATTCGATATAAAGGGGGCCTGTACCACGGATAAAATATTATAATTTCTATTATATCTTTTAGGACTGTCACTAATGCATTGACTGAAAATTGTGATGATGGGTGATAGATAATCAAGGTTCTGTCAGTTTTTTATAATTTCTATTTGCCAAAGTTTCAATCTAAGCAAGTGGATCATCATCAAGGTACGCTACCAGCACTGAAGGTGTTCAAGTACTCGGGAGTACTTGAATCCCTTCAGTGCTCGTTGAAACGTTGGCAAACAAAAAAATGAAAAAAAAAAACTGACTGTGTCCTGATTATCTATCACCCAAGATATGCAAAACAGTCGAACTAACTTCTTTCGAAAATTGTGATCTTTTACAATACGAGTCCGTTTCTGAAAAATATAAATAAGAACTGAATATAGTATAGAATGATTTCAACATGTTCAGAAATTAGTTAATGTCAACTAAAAGAAGTAAATTGTTTTTTTTAATAAATATCAAAAAAAAAAAAAGGAAGTCTAGTTGCTATACTAGATGCTCAGTTATTTGAGAAGTTAACTTTTTTTTTCTTCCTAAACAGTGATTATTTTTTATCATTTCTCATTTGTTATGTATGTAGTTTAAATATTTTATATATAGTTTGTTTAATCTTGGATGTATTATTAGTTTACTTAAATTTTTCTTTTATTTTCTTTATATAATATAATACATCTGACTAGAAGTAATCTTTTTCTGTAGTACTATTATTCTTAGGAGACTTCGTTCCAAAATAAAGTCTTTTTTTCTGTCATAATCTATAGTTTTAAACAAATGGTTATATAAACAGAATTTTCAAAAAATTCAGAGGATAGAAATAAACCATATATTTTCAATTTAAATTATATCACATGCTAAGAACAACTGTGAAATGTTTTAAATAACATTTTCGGTTTCTATTTTTGTACTTGTGCGAATCCAACAATACCCAAAAAACTCAAATCACATTATAATTATTATAAATAATAAATATTAGTATGTTTTATTAGTTGCAAAAATTAGGGTTGCCTTTTTATGTGATACAATTTTTATGTGATATTTTTAAAAAATATTCATTTCTGTGTAGCTAATTAGCTCTTTGGAGAACTAAGTTAATGCTCGATGTTTATTAAAAAATAATAATAATTAAAGCTGTGAGGAATTCATTTGTCCTCTTTTGGGATGTTGGGCTAATATTTATTTTTTATTGACTTATCAAAGATTTATTGATTTTAGAGCTGATTTGATACAATTTTCTGTAATTAAAGTTAATAATTGTTATGACTAGAATCTGGAATTGATGTTGATATATGCTGGTCGTCGGAAGTGACTGTCGACCCATCATCTTCTATTATGTCGCAATATCCTGGTACGATGCTAATCATAGATCCTGAATTCAGATATGACGATGATTTCTTCAATAATTTGTGTTAGTAACCTTATTATTATTAAATATATAATTAAGTATATAATAAATTTGAAATATTTACACTATTTTATTAATATTACATTTTTTTTTTTTTTTGTTTAATAATTTCTTACAGTCATGGATGAATATGAGTATGATGATCTATATGATGATGACAGTGAATCATTTTTTGATGATGATGACGACGACGACGATGACGATGATGAATTCAACATACCATTGAACTCAAATTTATTCGAATCAGACTACGAAAATTCAGATCCGGGATTTCTTTTTCTAAATTAGAAATTACGGTTCTTGTCCACTTTTCTTACTTATACGTTTTTAAAGTCAGTATTTCAAGTTACATACACCATGTATTTTAATTATGTGAAATATTCTATGTATGAAAGTTATATAAATATTTATTTTTGTATATGTAACAGATTTGTAATTGTTAAGTCATTATGTTATCTGTCTTAGTTTTTTTCTATTCAACCTGAATAAATAATTTAAAATGTGATTCTTTTTTGTTGTCACTTCTTTGTTATTTAAAAAAAATTAGTTCATAATGTATTTCTTACTCTTAATTAAAATAAATTTATAAATATTTTTTTTTGTTTTACCTGATATGTAATTAGAAATGAACTTAATTCTTTGTAAATAATACATCCTCATTGGGAAAAGAAAAACACGTTATTTATAACCATGCTAATTATTCAATCTTATCAAATCTAGCGAGTCATCTTTTCTAATTTATATTTAACATTAAATTTAGAAGTTATGTATAAATATTGTGTTTCATGATTTATTTTTTGTGTAAGGATTCTGTATTTATTTTTATTTTTTGTTTTCTATTTAAAGAAGACAACTCAATTATGTGATAAAATAAATAAAACAGTTGTTATAATAAAGATATTCATATTTAATAACCTGTACTAAGCATTGTCCCTTTCTTTTCTATTTCTGAGCCATAAGTCACTGAAAACTAGGCAAAATTTACTTTATTTATTTATTTTATGCTTTTACTCTTACATTCTTTATGTTCTAACGTTACCTTACTTATCTAAATGTATGACCTAAAAGTTAATGTTAATATTGTAAGCTCATTTTTATATTAATCCACTTGATTTGGTTTTTTTCTACTGGCACAGATTTATCAAGAAAGCAGTTATCTTAATATAGAAGGCTTCACACACAAGCTGTATAACTTTCATTCAGAATTTCCTTATAAAATATTTTAAGATATAAAATACTTAGTAGCTATAATTTCTTTTTATTACAAACAATATGATACAAAAAATGAATTAATATTTTCTTTTTAAGATACCAAAATCCAAAAAAGTATTTTATTTTGTATTTTAAATGCACAAAATAAATGGGTAGTTAATTTGTTTTTTTTGGAGGGAGGGGTTAGTATTTATTTTGTAAAGTCTCTGTTACAATGTTAAAGTACTAACTTTTTTTTCTCCCCTTGCCTTTAGGCTATACAGGTTGTTTGCTAGGCCAGGTAAGAGGGGAGGGGGGTGAATTTTAGCAGAGTTAAAAGATTCCTGGCACTGGATTTGAACTCGTAACTTACGGTTTATCAGGTTGCTGGGCAACGCTTATTCACACATGTTAACCCACTTGGTCTCGTTTTAATAAAATACCGACTACCAAACTAGTATTAATCAATATTTGAGATACTCATTTTTTGTGTATTTATTGCTATCCTATTTTAATATATTTTTTTCAACCTTATCTCTCCCTGAATATGCCCATATTGAAAAACAAGTAAAGGTGGACTGCTGACAGTTGGAGAATAAATATCTTTTATTAGGAGAAGAAAAAGAAAGGATTCCATTAACGTAACATCTTTAAGAATCCTTAAAACGAAATAATTGTTTCTTCATTAATTACTTTAAGTGTTATTTCTCCTCCACAATTTTGGCCTTGTAACAAAACAAAACGATAGTAGTAGATCCAATAAAAATATAATAGTTATTTATTATATTTTGATATGTATATTTTTCTACTTTTCTCCTTCTAAATGAATGCAATGAAATAAAAAAATATTTTATTCTGGGACTACAGTCTCCTAAGAATAATAACAGCATTCCATAATTATGAATATTTGTCTGGCTTAGAATATACAAAAAGATACCTAATTAACTGTTAATTGCAATTTCATTGAATTATACAATGTACAGAGACAAGTAGATTTTACATGTTTGTGGAAGTTTGAATAAGAAGCAGGTAGTGGAATAGTTGTTTTAAGCAATTTTTGGCTGAGGATTGAAGATGGAGGTAGGTGGTAGGTAGAGAGTTCCAAAAGAAGGTAGAACGAAGGATTAACTAAAGGAGGTAATTTTATGGGAGAGGAAATATAAATTTGTAGGTTGATATCTGGTATTGCGACAGTGGATAGACGATAGATAGCACTTGGATAAAGGAAATACCAAGATGGAATTGTCATGAAGAAGGATACAGGCCACTTCAAGTTATACCAGCATGAAACATGAGAACGCCTGGTAATCCCAAAGATGTATCTTATGAAGCCATTCCTGAGACTCAACTCCAGCCAAGCAGACAGCCCAGCAAACAACTGTAGTCGAAGTGGAGGAAATTTTGTTTAATAAAACATTAATAATAATAAGTTAATAAATAAATATTAATTCTGTGTGGATTTTTAAAATTCTTTTATTACCAAATATTCTAACCATTTCATACATATTTTTGCTCTTATACACACACTTAAGTGCTTCAGTGTAGAAATTACAAGATTTGATGTATTTTGTTTCAAATAAATATATTTAAAAAAAAATTAATTATATTTTTCTTTTTTTAAATCCTGAATTTCCTTAGCCAAATCCCCTTATTCCTTCCTCTTTTTAATTTCACTCCATAATTTACTAAGTTAACAAAGATACGATCCTTAATTAGTGATTTAAATAAAATAAATTAAACATACTGACTAAGTATGGTATATTTACTAAAAGGAAATATGATCATCGATGTTCTGTAAAAAGAGTGAATTCATCAAGTTTAAGTGTCATAACAAGTTACCTAATTGTAAATAGGGAATTATCACTACAGATTCTCTCATATAAAAATGGTGAAAACATCACTTTCAAAATAAGTAGTGTATTGTTTGGAATCACCTTTCTTTCAGAACAAGATATAAGATAATATGAAAACAAAATGAATATATTATATAATATAAGAAAAGTATTAATCTAATAGAAGAGAACATGGATAATTTGATAGATAGAAACTTGTGGAAGCTTACCTTCAATAATAGAAGAAGAAAAAATTTAGCAAACAGTTTTACTTTGAATTAGATATAGATTCAGATGATATGAATCTTTAGTTAATAATGCATACAGAAATGAGCATCAGTGTTAGATTATAAAGAAAGAGTGGGGTAAACTAATAACAACTCTTCACAGAAACACATTTATTTGTATTATTCTATTATGTTTGAGCATATATATAAAAACATGTAACAAAATTACTACATATCCATAGTATTTATAAATACAGTTTATTGTCGATGTCACTAGATGCATTCAAAACCCCACTTCATACACTACAGAGCAATATATTTATTTGTTTTCGTCTAGTATGGTTTACCACATATTTAAAAATACATAACAACTATTACATATCAGTATTTTTGAACACATTTCACTGTTGATATCTCTAGATTCATTCAATACTTCATTTCACTCACTATACACACTTTTGAGAAACTACAGATAAATAATTAAACTAAATTCGGTAATTTATAATGAAAAAAACCACAGTTGTCTTTATATTTTAAGGATTAATTTTTAAGTAAAATATTCATCACCGTTGAACAAATCTACTTCCTTAGAGTTCAAGATCTCTCAGTTTGAATATGTATATTGGATGATTAATGAACTTTTCCGAGCTAAGCAGGAATATTGCATATGACAAGCAAGTATCTTTTTTTTTTTTATTCAAAAAACACAAAAGAAACATGAATGTTGTTATATCTTAAAGATGTATAAATGAATTCATCAGTTTTACTAATGTAGACAATCTAGTTTGTAAATTGAAAAATATTAGTTTTATAAACTAAACATTTACCTAACAGTACAATACATTCCATATATAAAATTCATTAATTTGTTTTATGTATATGAATTTAACTTATGTACTTGTATTCTTTACTTTGTGAATATATATTATAAATGAGAAAAATGTAGTTTAATATAAGTGCTTATTTTTATTTCTCTTAAATATTATTTGTAATTTTGTAAAATATATAATAAATAAACTTGTGTAAAAGTTTTATATATTACAACCCAAATTTACCACAAAAAAAGAAAAATAACAGAAGTAAATAACGATAATTTAAGCGATGAGGATATAAATAACATATATCTATTATTATGTATATTCTTGCAACTCTCTGTATCCTTAATTTACTTGTATCGATTACCTTTTTGTTATTTATTTCTGTCTATCCTATATACTTTTATATATCTCATGTATATCTGATTTAATTTCATCCTTACCCCAATTCCCAAAAGTTTGCTTGAGAATTGCATTTCGCAATGAAATAATGATTGAATCCTGATAGTTTGTTCTATAATAAAAACCCACAATCAACTATAATCAAAGTATTCTATAGTATTAAGAATCAGCACGATAATTTCCAAACAACATTTTTAAGATTTCGACTATCAAAAGATTTTAAATTTAAATAAATTAAACATACTGACTAAGTATGGTATATTTACTAAAAGTAAATAGATCATCGATTTTCAAGTTTTAGTGTCATAACAAGTTACCTAATTGTAAATAGGGAATTATCGCTACAGATTCTCTCATATAAAAATGGTGAAAACATCACTTTCCAAATAAGTAGTGTATTGTTTGGAATCACCTTTCTTTCAGAACAAGATATAAGACAATATGAAAACAAAATGAATATATTATATAATATAAGAAAAGTATTAATCTAATAGAAGAGAACATGGATAATTTGATAGATAGAAACTTGTGGAAGCTTACCTTCAATAATAGAAGAAGAAAAGATTTAGCAAACAGTTTTACTTTGAATTAGATGTAGATTCAGATGATATGAATCTTTAGTTAATAATGCATACAGAAATGAGCATCAGTGTTAGATTATAAAGAAAGAGTGGGGTAAACTAATAACAACTCTTCACAGAAACACATTTATTTGTATTATTCTATTATGTTTGAGCATATATATAAAAACATGTAACAAAATTACTACATATCCATAGTATTTATAAATACAGTTTATTGTCGATGTCACTAGATGCATTCAAAACCCCACTTCATACACTACAGAGCAATATATTTATTTGTTTTCGTCTAGTATGGTTTACCACATATTTAAAAATACATAACAACTATTACATATCAGTATTTTTGAACACATTTCACTGTTGATATCTCTAGATTCATTCAATACTTCATTTCACTCACTATACACACTTTTGAGAAACTACAGATAAATAATTAAACTAAATTCGGTAATTTATAATGAAAAAAACATTATATAATAATGTATTGCTTAAGAGATGAAAGAGTCAGACACT